GTGCATTTGCAGCAACTTGTGCTGCAGGATGAGTTGCAGCGGCAGCAGACGAAGCATCGTTTGCCGCGAAAGACTGGCCAAAGTCAAGAGCAGCTATGTTCATACGAGCAGCTGCCGCGTGTCGCATGAATATATGCACTATGCGGTAAAGATCCAATTATTGTATTGGAACAGAGCAAATGCTCCCTGTCCCAGATGTGGTCTAACAGTGACCACATCAACGTGATAGTAATTCAGTGCCTATCGTGCAAGGGGGAGGGCGATGTACCGGGGTAAGCCTGTTACATGTGGATAACCCTTGACACTTGCTAATTATAATATAATCATTAAGGTTGATAATGTTCGTGAATATACTTACAAGGGGTAAGATTCAAAAGCACTCACCGATTGGCTGATATGGGCCATCATATCAGCCAGCTCTAGCGGTCCGACCGACGGTGGACGCGCGCAATAAGTGGCGAGCAGACTTTAGAATGCGTTTTTGTTGGCAATGCATATTTAAGCTGGGGCTAAAACATAGGTTAATGATCAACCTTTAATTATATTATATTTTTGGTTTTACTTTACTAGCAACTAGTCAGTTTCCAACTTTCTTTCCCTCCACCTACGTAGTTTGCAGATGTAGCAAGGCACCACTCACACTGCTGTCGGTGAGGGTGGGTCCACACTGGTTGTCCAGTGTGTTGCTTTGGCACCCCTTTACAGAACAAGTAAGCTACACCTGGTCGCGATAATTACAGTCGGGCGGACATACGCACCAGAATTCGTGATAGACGCTTACTTCACCCACTCATAGAATATACTTTTTTCTGCGTGGGTGGGCTATGCCAACCCACAGCCACATGTAATGTTTCGTCCAGTTGTTTAACGGATTCATATGGGAACGTTGATCTCTTCTGAATATTTTGTTGAAATATCCTCAGTTTGATATAACGCTACATGATTTTTAACATATCGACAAGCCTGGAGCTTATTGTATTACTGTTATTGATTTTTTACACATCATTTGACCTAATCTAGTCCAATTCACAATCCTATTGTGTTCTTATGCACTTGATTTTGCCAAGCTTTGACTAATATGTGTGCGGACTTGACGCTTTACGTCCGCATGCACTCTCTATCGTTTACATGATGTTCAAAGATAGACTCCTACACAACAGCAAGCAATCCCCATCACGCGTTCATGCAAAGACTTCCGAGCTAGTGGGCGATAAGGCTGCTACTTTCCGTCTTAATCATTCATTCTGGAGACTATCTACATCGTTCGCGTCGCTTGCTCGCGACGCGTACTTGATTATTGGCCCTTTTCGTTACTGTATAGATTACTCTTTCCTGTGCTGTTTCGGATCTGTTAATGTGCAATGTAGGTCCGCATAATGGCATTCAGGAGGACGCCGAGATAGTCTTTCACATGAAGCTTTTGTCAAGCGCGCATGCGGACGCCCCTGTTATTACAAAAAGTTAAGGCATCGTAACAAGTGATATACTACTTTACGATGATCTAGTTATCGGAGCAGCCAACCAAGCCTAGAAAACTGCGTGTTAGTTTAAGTTAGCGTCCATCTCATTAATTTCCGAGTGATAGTGCCCGCAAAGTTTCGTCACTTGTACTGAGAAATGCCTTCAAACCTATTTTAATCTATGAACAGGTTCCGATAAGTTCTGTTGGTGTATGTTTGATTGAACTTTCACGTCGTTGTGCATTGTGACCCACCCTCACGCAACGGCCGCATCATCTCCACAAATTCTACGTTTTGTTGCATCATCGGTGCTGGTAGTTGCTCATTTTCGTTTGATTGATAAATTTACACTCACTTACTTACTCACTCCCATTTTTTTAAGGATGTCGCTTACTGTGACTGGATCGCCGACAATGACGTCCGCCAAACGGCATTTGTGCGTATAAAGTGTTTAATTGTACATGATAACACAAAAATGATTTTCATAAATTCAACTGATGTGATATCGTTCCCTCTATTCGTGACTCGTAATCCGCCAATAAATCAGCGTTATGTCAAACCGAGGGGACAATACTAAATACTGAAAGGAGACAAAAAGTCCCTGAATATAGTGCTAATCAATATTTATGCTTGCTACGTCGCGCTCAACCCCGCCCACCTACGAATTGTTCGTTGCACCCGTGACCCATCTAAAATGTGGGCATGGGTGAGCGTGGATGTAGATGCCCATTGTGAAACTCTGACACACGCGGATAAGTAAAATTTAAAAAAATTGGCATTTACTTATCGCAAATCACTTTCAGATTTATTCCTCAAGCTCGCAATCAAAATCCTCCTTTTATTCAATTCACAACTTCCTGGCAGACCTAATGTTCGCTCCCCTCTTGATAAACCAACGGTTATGCCCCTTTCCTTGCACTAGTCTTTAAGTAAAGTAAACTGAAGAGTTTTAATATACAGTAGTGCTGCTTTTGGGAACGTGTGATATGGATCTTGTAATCAAATCTGTTATTCATTAACATGAAGCATTCAGGGATGTATTTCTTCCCATTCGTGTAAAGTTGGAAGGAGAGATCATGGTAGGTCCAGTAACGTCATTTTTTTCGTGGTGATCGCCATGCATTATTCCAGTAAAAAATACATGCCATTTGCAATTCCTTTACAAATTCAATCTTTCCGTACTATTTCAATAGAATAACTACATCCTCCATTGTTGTTATGAGTACGCTTCTTGACCTAATGGGATGTCCGTCCTGTCCTCCTTCGTACCTTTTACGGTCAGTCCAAACTAAAGCAAACTGTATAAAAACCTACTGGAAATAACGATTCCGGTTCGCAAAGTAGCTGCAAAGTCATTGTTGCATTGCGCCTAAGCATTTCGTCATCCTCAACTTGGTCTAATCTCGCGGTGAGAAGCATACAAAAAATGCACGACCAGGGTCTCTTTTGACCACATACTAAGCGGCGTAACAAAGGGGAAGGTGTGCATGCATACATTATCACACAAATTCATTGCGTATTATTGACTGGTTGCGCGTTCTCCTTGTAAGCGAAAGCTCGTGTAAAGGGGTTACACATCGTAGGTACTCGGCACTCTGTGTCTTAGATACCTGGGATGGTATCTCACTGAAATAGATACAGAATATCTTACCGGTTTATAGGGGCTGACGGGTGTCAGTCACAAGATAAGAAAGATCTTAACATGTTAATTTGGGACACGAGTGCCTGGATTGGGTAATATTAGGATGAAAATATTCTATACAGTTAAAACGTAAATAAAGTTCAGTTCCCCCTTGATCTTGTCTGAGACACGTGCCTTGCGAGGCGTCTATGATCGTAGATCGTTAGGAGTTAGCAACATCTCCCTGAGGTATCTACTCTTGTGCACTAAGTGAAGTGGATTTTCCGAAATTGTTCGGTCCTTTGAAACAGGGACCTTAAGCTTTAGACTTGTTGACTCATAGAGTCTAGTTTTTTGGAACTATCATCGCTCTTTGAGCACTAAGTCTTTATCTGACTTAAGAAGCTGTGTGGCTCCGCTACAGCGCGCACTATCAAAAAGTTGGTAGCTTGTAGGATGCAAATGCGAGGACGTATGCCGTCGGCCGACCGGCATTAGTAGACTATCTTTTGAAATTAGAAATCCTGCTAACCGATCAGCAGCTTTCATCGGCTGAACTGGAACCAGAATAAATTGTTTGTTTTTATGGATGCGCTAAACTATGGACGGCTAGGTGGAAGACACTTATAAGAGTATTCATATGCTTTTACCTATGATCATTTGCGTAGTGAGTGACACGGCTAGAAATTAGCTTTAAAAACTATTTAAAAAAAGGTATTAGAATGGAAATATCGGCTTGTAAAGGAAGGGTGTGATTTAAGGAAAAGGAGTGTGAATATATCAATTTCTCCCCTAAAAACCGATAGCGTCGAGGCCAACGACCAACGTCTGTCGACAACCACAATCATCATCGCTTCGTGTAATATACACACGACTAAGGTTTTACAATGCACGCACGACTTTTGTGTCGTCCGATGTCGATTGTCGCTTTGACACAACGGCGCTCGTGTTTTTGGAGATTCCCGGCAACGGCTATTACTTTTCTTTTGATGTGACTTTGTTGCACCCGTTGTCATGCCACATAGACACGTCGAGCCTTTGACAAAGGAATGCAGTACTATAGACGTTCATCGTCAGGCATGTTATACAGCTTGAGTAGCGCCAACTTCTCATTGGACTCTAGTTGCAATGGTGTAGAACCGAACGATAAATAATTACTGCAGATACGCCACTTCGGTCGAAAGATAAACGAAATGTGTAATCGTCATTTCGATACCCGTGACCGCTAACTAGCTTCTTGCTGCAATAACTACTAGCTCAAGATTGCGTTTGAGCGCATAAAGACGCCTTCGCTGCGGCGCTCACGACTCATTTCGTGTTTGCCTCGAATTACGTCACATTTAGATCGCGTCGAGCCAAGCGACGGGAGCGATATAATGGATGAAGTGCGACCACCATCGCTTCTCTACGCAACTGTCGTGCAATGCACTATCCACAATCAGAGACCGACTCTCTGAAGATTCGACCAAGAGCAGCGACGTTTAGTATGCTACCTTCGCTGACGAATCAACAACTCCCCTGTTTACTATCGTGCAAGTCGTTGTCACGTGATTCGTCTGTGTCGAGCCGAATCTTGGCCGAATTCCTGTTACATGTTCTCACTAGGCTTTAGTATGACACACACCGGCGCCGAATCTCGCACCGCTGCTGGAGTGTCGCAATCTCAGCCAGAAATGCCCAGTATGCTCTCTTTTATGCTTCGCCCACTGTCGGGATCCCGATAAACCGCCGTCGAGTCAGACGATATGTGCGAATCTCAGAGTCGTCGACGATCAGATTGACCCGTTTTTTTTCTACACTACTGAGCTATTGCTGAAGCCGCTTTTTGCACGCGCGTGTTGTTGTGCTTTCACTCGGCACTTGACAATTGCTATTGTACTGGAACTGCGACAACCTTCCAGTGACTTTGCATCGCCCTCATGAAGTTTGGCAAAGATTTACTGCGCGAGATTCTTCAGAGCAACCCGGAGTGGGCGCCGTTCTGGCTCAACTACAAAACACTCAAGAAGCGCATTAAGGCCGTCACCAGCGCAGCGCCTCACGCTGCGAGTCACCGCGATATTTGTACGTCTTTTTCATTGAAAAAATGGTAGATGGTGAACAGTGGTTCATGCTGACCCGGTACATTAATTTCCAGCGGAGTCGGACCTTGAGGTGGCCTTCTTTCGTGACCTGCAGACCGAACTCAAGAAGATTTCTCTCTTTTATGCTGCTGAGGAAAGGCGGTGCTCCTTCCGCTTCCGACAGCTTCGTTCAGTGCTTAAAACGCTCAAGGTATGTGAAGGGAAGGTTGTGCAGTACCTGCTATCGATCGTGTGCAGCGATTTTAGCGACAGTATTGATGGTGTATAGACGAAAGGGGAAATCGATACACATGAGGCGCAGCGCCTCATGTTCGCCTTTGTCCACTTCTATCGCGAGTGCATCCGGCTCGAGAACTTTGCCGTCATCAACTACCAGGGATTCTCAAAGGTGTGGGCGAGAGAGACTACGGTGGGAGTGATCTTTTGACACGAGCTGTGTAGCTTACGTCCGTTGGCTCGTGTTTTCTTGTTGACTCAGATTCTGAAAAAGCACGACAAGATGACGGGTTACAACACACGGTCGAAGTACATGCGCCGCAAAGTGAACGTGTCGTCGTTCTCGAGCTATGCGAGTTTGCTGCAGATTTTGTCCAGCATTGAGGACATGTACTACGAGGTAGAGCGCGACACCATCCGTGCCAAGCACTAGATAGACTCCACACAGAGAGAGCCACACGTGATGAAAAAGCAGTGCTCACGTGCTGTGTTGGCTAGACGTCGTCTACAACGACACAACCAACAAACCTCTGGTTACAGTGAGTTGCTCGCTACCACCGCCAAGTTTTATTTATCTGCGACCACAGCTTCGCACCCGATACCGTCGTAAGCAGCTTACGCTAGGGTGGTAAGCACGAAACCAACACTCGAGTGGGCGATAAAAGTGAACAAATTGTTACCTTCCACCTGATCGATGCCAATGATACGCAGTCAAAATCCCTCGATCAACGACTGGTTCTCAGAGCCTGATTGATTTGACAGCATGGCGCAACTTCTTCGTGCTGCAGGTACGTGCACTCCTGGTAACCCACAAGGTTCGCCCTCAATTCGCTTACCCGCATCGGCTTCGCTGTCCCCTTGAACAGCCAATGGCGACCTCGATAAAGTGATCGACCTCCGCAGCAACTGGGGGTTCCAGAACAAGAAGGGCGAGTCAGGTAAACCGCATCTCCACACCTCCACGATGTCTCGAGCCACCGAGAGATTGATGACCTTGTCTTGTGTCGCTTTCGATCGAGTGCTTGCAGTATTGCACGTGGCTGTGGCCGAAGACCATCTGGAGATCGTGCAGTATCTCGTGGCCAATGGTGCGATGCTCAACCTGCAGGACAAGAAGCACCGGTTTACGCCGCTCATGCTGGCGCTGGCCCAGCAACCTCCAACCTTTAAGGAAATCATCCAGGCCCTGCTCAAGGGCAAACCAGACTTGAACGTGCAAAACTCGTCGGGTCAGACGGTTGTACATCTGGCAGCAGGTGCGTCAGCTTTGACTTCTGTTTGATGCTTGTTTGGGAGCGAGGAGGAAGGGAAGAAGTTGACTCCTGAATCTCGTGTGGTGTAAGCGGTTCAGAGTACGGAGAGGCGGAGATTCTGAAGCTGCTGCTGCTGCTGGGAGGGAAAGCCAACGTGGATGCAGCGGGCAGCAAGAAAATGACTGCACTCCATGTCGCGGTTGGAAAAGGGAACCTCGAGGTCGTTCAGCTACTGCTTGAAACGGGTCGTGCAAACGTGAACGTTGTGGATGGCAAGGGCAACACACCACTGTAATTGTCTCGCAGTATTTATTCGTTGTGCGAAGATCAAACGGTGTTGATCCTCATGGTTGACGTCTGGTACATGCAGGCACTGGGCGTGTATCAAGACTTGTGACGACCAGCTCGAGTTGATCAGCTACTTGATCTCGAAGGTCCGTGCAGTACATTTGTCTAAGCTGTGACGAAACAAGCGCTACGAAGCAGTCAGCACCTCACAACTCCACGTTCATTTCTCTCTTTCCTAGGGTGCAAAGCCTCTCAAGAACGGACATGGAATCACGCCTCTGCACGCAGAAGCGATGCACTGTGACCCGACTGCGAATTGGCCTACTGCAGCTGCAGAGGCACTGACATCTGCGTTCCCGGATCTGGAAGCTGAGGTCAGCGACAGAGGGTTGACTGCTCGGCAGACTTTCGAGCAGGGTATTGACTCAGAAGAGCCGGTAAAGCCGTCGCTGGCGAAATCGTCAGTTGAGGAACAACGTCAAGGACGCCGCGGCAAAGGTGACGATGATGAGAAGTACCAGGGTGGTGCTGCTGCAGCACGAGCAGGTATGTCTGGGCTCATTCTCACTTCAACAGTGCCCGTTGATCTCATTCATGTTTGTGATTGATGGATGCAGCCGCTATTGCTCACTCCAAGAAAAAGAAGATCCCGAAGCCTAGCGACGAAGGCAGCAGCATGGCTCCGTACATGTGGATTGCTTTGGTCTTCGCCATACTGGCGGTCTTGAACGCCGTGTTTTCGTCGTACTCGTAACTCAGATATGCTGTGGTGGGTATCTTGAGAAGGAGCATCATATGCAGCATTTGAAGAGCGAAGTTATGACATGCAACCACAGCTGTCTTTGATTACAACACTTCTGTAGTGCTTATCAATCACTATCAGACGAAGACGATGCGTTCTGGCTACGTCGCTCTATCTCGTCTTCTTCATCTTCGACGTCGTCGTCGTCGTCGTCGTCTTCACCGACGTCGGCCTCTTCTTCGATAAAGCGATTGCTACCAGGAGTGCGACCAGTGGCATCTCCATCCGATTCAGACTCACCGTCGTATGGATTGCCATCATCATCACTGTCATTTTCGTCATCTTCCTCTCCAGACGCCTCTTCACCACTAAGGTCACTATCATCGTTGACGAGGAAGCCTCTCAAGTTACCATTCTCATCGACATCTTCCTGATCCAAACGGCTGGGAAAATCTAGACGCCCGGCGAGGTCAGGTAAGTCAAGAAGGATTTCATCCTGGTTGCCATCGAGGTCGTCAAATACTTTCGACAACAGCGCCTGCTGCACTAAAGCAAGCTTTCGCTCCAATTGCCAGTGTTCACACAGCTGCTGCAGCAAATAGCCCACATCACGCACTGTCGACAAACTCTCCAGCAGCGGATATAGCAGTTCTAGCACTTCCGCGTTCAACTCCATCAGCGCAACACGACGTTCTAACGTTGCAATAAAGTGTGGGTCACGCATACTCAGATCTCCATTCTCTACAGCAGACGCTATTTTGTTCATGAACACGCCGGCATTTCCTGATCCAATTTCAAAGATCTCGATAAGCTGCTTCGCAGACAAGTTCACACCCAATCCTTCCAAGAAATCGACACTCACGAGTTCGGGGCAAGTCTCGCAGAGGAATCGTGCCGTCGCGCTTTCTTCGTATTCCCATTCTGCAGCAAACAGCCGAACCAAACGACCCACCTCTACGAGCTCCCATCTTTCTCGAGCAGCGGAATCGATGAGACGTGAATACAGAGACGAGCTACCTGTATTGTTCCGGTCGCAGTCATCGTCACTGTCGCCTATGCTTTCTGGAGAAGATTCGTCCGAAACTTGGGATATCGCGACCTTGTCGATAGATTTGTAGGAAGCTGAAAATCCACGTCGAGTCTCTTGGTGAATAGACGGAAACTCATCATCTTCCGTATCTGCATTCTCCAGTAACACATCTGCGATAACACACTTGCCACTTATCTGCACCTTCTTTCCTGGCACTGTTTGCCCCTTCTTGGGCACGGCTTTGTCGACACCCTCTGCCATACCGGAGGACCCCACATGTTTGCCTTGCTTGGGTTGCCTAGGTTTTGGTGGCGCCTTGGGCGACGATTCGCCGTTGTGCTTTGCAAGCGCCCTTTTCGTTTCTTTCTGCTTTCTGCAAGCTTTCAATTCAACGAATTTGGCAGCTTTTCCACTGTTGCCGCTCCCTGCGACCTCCTCGTTTTCACGAATAACAGGCATGTTAGCATCCTCCTCAGCAGTCCGTTCCGATGAAGAAAGCACCAGCCTTTTCTTCTGCTTCTGCTTCTTCGTCACGCGTTTCGACGGTTCATTGCAGGTCGCGTCCTTTTCTACTGCAGCATCCATCATTCCAGCAGCTATCCCAGCCTCCTTCATGTTCTCCACCTTCAAAACAGCACTTGTCTCGTCAGCCACCACTGCCCTGTGCTTTTCACGCGACAACCTATCCATCTTCTTCATTGCAACCTCCTTCACACCTCCTAACGCCTGTTCCAACACGTCCACGCCATCAGCATCACCGTTTCTCGCGCAATCCGTTTGCAGTCTATGCCACTGTGGGGCCTGCACTATCTTCACAGCAGCTTCTTGGCACTTCACCCGCTGCAACACAATGCTCTGCTCCTTATTCGAGCTCTTCAGAGGCTTCGCAACTGCAGAGTCCACGGCCCCAATAACCTTCTTCTTGTTCTTCTGCTTCGTCTGCTCCTTTTCTACTGTCTCCACCTGCTCCACTTCCTCCCTCTTCTTCTTCTTCTTCCTCTTGTCCTTCTTTGACGCGACGAGCTTCACCAGTGGCACGACTTCTTGATCGCCTACGACGTCATCACGCGTCAACTGCCTTTTCAGTCGCCTGGTCTTTGACTTTAACCGCACGTGAGGCGTCTCGGACGCCTCCACAGACGGTTCTTCTTGTGGCAGATCGAACAGCTGCGCGTGGAAGACTTCTAGGCGCTTGCGGGTGTCGCCATCGCTGCCTTGATCGACTTGGAAGCTCTCGGACCGCTGCCGCTTCTTCCGTCTCATTTTGCAAGTGAACGAATTGTTGGCTCAGGGCAGACGGCAGATATTCGCAAGGTTAGGGAACGTTATGATGATTGTTTTCTTTTATTTTAAGCAAAGTCATTTAGAGTCGATTAAAGTAGACGATCGATTTGCGAGTGTTACGATATGCGCGATCATATTGTGATGTTTCGCAAATGTTTTTAATGATCAAGGGGCTTATTTGTTATGTGCATTTGGACAAAAAGCTTATATTACCAGAAGACCTGGCATAGGCGCCAGAACGTGGTTGCGACATGGAAGCAGCTTTGTCAAGCGATGTTGTCAAAAGCGCATGTAATCACCTTGTTTGACGGGCAATTGACAAGTACTTATGTTCGTGCTAAAAACGGTATGAAGGTAAACATCGTCGTCCACTACTTGAGAGCTTGCTGCATCATGGCTTCAACATCGTGGCGTATCTGACTTTACCTCGCCAACATCCTTCATTCTACCGGTGATGACGTCAATGTTTCGGTGCATTCTCTTGACTATTCCACACGAATACGACTGCAGCTCAATAGCGCGGCCATTTGCATTCGTTGTGGCACATTGATGAACTATGTTCACGCTTCCCGCTGGGTACACGAAGGCGATCAGGCTAGATGTTTCGATCCAAGGCTTGCTATTGCGTGCGGCTGCAGCTCGAAGCGAACTCACGAAACGATTCCTAGTATGAGCACAGAAGTCATCGTCAAATTCACTCACAGCTTGGCACTCAGATGCGCAGTCGATACCTCAAAATCAGGTCGGTTGTACACAGCGCAACCGCCCAAAAATCTTTGCAAACGCATTGTCCCTACTCACCAGATTGACTCCTTCTTGTGAGATGCTTACAATCGCAGCCTTTTCGCGAGTGCTACGGTGGCCTACCTCAATTCTGGACTCGAGCCCATTGTGCCATGGTGCCACCTGATGGCACCGCTGATGCCGATCAGCTCTGGTTATTCGTACCACACATTACACTATGCATCGCGTACTCCCGAGCACACTTGGGCCAGCCATGAGCAAACATTGACTTCTTTGTCATTGACCACCTAGCAAAGCTTGCCATGATGACAACGATAATCATTGATCATCTGTGTTCACTTCGCTTATGCTGAAATGCGCCGATCACTTTTCGTCCCATCAACACTCGATGGTTTGGGGCTCATGAGTACGTAGTGGGTGTAGTCAAAAACCAAAACGAAACCTCAGATGTACACTCCTTCGCACTACGGAGCCTACACTACATCGGTGTTACGATCCACTGCAAGAAGTCACACAAGACTGTCCTGATGGTACAGCTTGCACTATAGCTCCGTTGCCTTTATCGTCGAGACATCAGCTGCATCCTGACCGCTTCTGTTGCAGGTTTCAGATATCGTAGAGAGCGAAGGCACACTTGTGACTGGACAACATGACTCCTACATGACTTTGTCATTTCGGGGGGAATAAATTAGCAATTCCCACCGTGTTGTTCTCAGTTCAAGTCCTGCGCACTGGAGTTGTAGCTTGGATAATGCTCCTACATGGTGCTGTTGCAATTGGTGTTACTGCCGCAACATCTTGCAACACTTCTAGTACATTTCCTGCTGGCCATATAAGCATCTTTGAGTTTGTCATTACACCGGAAGGCGCTGTTAACAACATGCTACAAGGCCTTCCTAGTCGATTACACGTGGGTGGTAGACGTCTAGGCTGGTGGCACAATGCTGACAGAGCAGAGGGCGCTAGATGAACATCAGCAATACGCCACCGAAAGAGGTGACAATCTACACCGTCATCACCGGTCTGGTCGAAACGTGCATCTTTCTTTCATCGCCAGCTCACACAAGATCAGATTCGGACGTCAGATACCGCGCGAAGAATGCATGCGAGAGCTTTGGCCTCGGAGGTTGCATTTAGTATGTCTCGACGAGCTGTCAACTGCATCGTTACCGCTAAACTCATGGACGTTTGTACTCGTGCCAGAGCAATCGTGATCAAAAAGCCAGCGCATCTTGTCGTCAGTTTCTCTGCGATCAACATTTAAAAGAGAGGTTGCAATGGAGAACACAAAGGTGACGCAAGTAGGTTTGAGTAAATGCGGACTGGGCTTTTCGGGCTTACAGAAAGCTCCCTTGTGCCCGTCTTCGCATCTCCATACCCTGAAGAACATCCACTTGTTATGATGCAAGAAAGAGCAGGACAAGCTACCGGATAGATGTGCAAGGACATCGGTCAGCGTCTGTATCGATGTCAAACAACGCCATTTGACACACTGACCATCTTACTAGCCTCATTTTGGCGTGAGTCCACTGCCTCGTTCTACAAGCATCACATGCTTCTCTTGGAAAGTCGAGCGCTTGCAGTCCCGATGTAAGTGTCGCGACGTCATTCTTGAAGCTGACGCCGTGACAGTCATTTCGTGGACACTGCGCTTGCAGCTGTTTTAGGAGAACTCCGTGCAGCATCAAAGCTGTTCTTTCGCTACAGACGATGAAGCGCCTCAGAGCCCGAGGGACGCGGCGGTCACTTCCTCGAAGGGACACACACCGAGCAAAGAAGAGGATTTGCCAAGATTTGGCGAGTGACAATTTCTGGAAGCCAGAAAGCGCTTCGCATGGCGTTGAAACTAAGGAAGCTGAAATGAACTTCGGACCACTGATTCGAGCGCTCAGACTTTGTGTTCATGTTCTCGTTGCAAAGCACAAGGCGTAAAGCGGGAGTCAGCCGTGTAGTGCGAGTTTGCAACCAGTCTCAGCTTTGTGCATGTCCCCACTTCCATCATCTTGTATCTTGACAAAGCCATGGCAAAAGCTTCATGTGGTTGAGGACCTTACAAATCAAGGAGCTTGGACTGGAGACGTCCCGACTCACACTCTGGCAATGCTGGACGTCCCGACTCACACTCTGGCAATGCTGGACGGCCGTGTATCGGGTAGAGGAATCGCTGTACGCAAGAGAGGATGCCCTCCTAGGTGTAGACTGCACGAACGATAGCCTGACATCACATGAAGAGGCAAGTCCCCAGGAAGTGCTCAAGTAACGGTGACGTTGAAAACAACAGAGCTTCCAGTCACTGCCTCAACACTCTTGATCGTCTCGTGGTAGCCCAGATACATCACCTCATCCTGTGACTCCGTCAGAGTCGAAGTCGAAAAGTTTTGGTGGGTGAATTCAGCTTTCGTGCTGTCCGTGCATCATCTTTTAACAGATCATGTCTCCGCCGAAACCGAACCGATGTCAGGTGAAGGTTCTCAAGTAAGAGCAGTGGGTTCACGTCTGAAAAGCAGCCTGACAGCTTGGTCGTCTGTCAATCAGACGCCTGTTGTTTGGGTGATAGCTGTCAGAGTCTAGAACATCGTGTAGAATTAGTAACGATTGACTGCAGCTTTCAGGCTAAGAGATGCGCATCAAGTCACGCGAAGACGCTCCAGCCGCTCCAGCTGAACTTCTGTGAAGCGTGTTCAAAGATGCTCAGCTGCTCATCAACATTTTTTGCATCATTCTAGTCAAAGGGCTCCAACTGAACTTCAGGTGAGCAGGAAACCGTCTGTGCCCACGCGCGTTCCCGTGACCCACTTGCTGATGCGAAACGACCGTCCATCTCCTTTCGATGGCGTCTCAAGTTGAGACAACTGCTGCGATCAGACCCCTCTTCGGATCACGGGAACCAATGCATCCACCCCATCGCTCATCGTTCTTTTGCGGTCCGGCATAGACGCTCGAAGCATCAAATCCACGCTTTATCAGCTACAGGCCATGCATGGCCTTCAACGGCGGTTTACATGATAGCACCACGACAGACCTCGTACCTTACCTTCGGTCAGAGTGTTCAGAAGTCAGTCAGTCGGTCTGGCTCTAGTGCTATACGACACTGGCTCAACTTGAGACTCGCGACGACCTTCTTAGAAGTTTAAAAGTCACCAGCCATTCCTCTCGCTTCGTGGGTGCTCGATACCGTTTTTTTCTTCTTCTTCATTTCGTAGGTGCTCGATACGACACCATCGAGTCCGAGATCAGTTTTTCCTTGTGGATTTTTCAATAGGAAGGTGCTTCTTGCCCACCTACCCACCCACCCACTGTCTGCATCCGCCGTGCTCTGAACCGCGAGACATGGAGACTTTCCCAGCTGCTAATTCACTGGTTGGTTGGTTGGTTGGTTCCGGCGTTGAGACGTCCAGTGTATTACGTACTCACAAGTCTCCGCATGGCTGGCGAGCTGACCCCGAGCCGCGACAGCAGTTTCTCTGCCCCATTGACAAACGAAGCCGTCGCATTCTTCAATCCGCTTGACACTCGCGCATTCACTCGCCGTAGTAACGTTTGTGGAGACAGGTTCGTGCCTGCACCTGTTTCTCTTGACAAGTTGGCAACTTTTTGTCGGTCGTCTTCGTACTCTAACACTGTGTTTTCTTAGCAGCTAGCTCATCGAGCCCCATCTGTCTAGCCGAGTATCTCACTTTGGACGTTGAGACGTCACACGTGAATTCACGAATTCAGTCTGAACTAGCACTGATAGCCAACGCATTCGCCTCAATCAAGCGGCCACTGACGACAGGAGAGAAGCAGAGCGATTCGAAAGAGGAGGTGATCGATCATGCCAGTGCAGGTGCAAAGCGACTTGTTTGGTGGAGACCGGTCGTCGCAAAAGCTCGTTCATCGAGATGACCCCGTCGTTCCGTCAAGCCGAACGGTAGACTTGGTGGCAACTACTAAACGCAAAGTACTTGTGAAAAAAAGCCGATCGGAGATGGAGTCAACAGGCGAGCGTGTCAGGAAATTGAAACCTCTGCCGAGCGACGAGACCGTCTTCTACTCGAATATCTGGTCTCCACCTGAAACACGACGTGACGTGTCGGCTGCTAAGAAGTCGAAGCAACTCGTGGACATCAGTCAGGTGGCACACGTGTTGACGTCGTTGGACTATAAGAGTGGCTACGAGAAACCCGAGGATGCAGACTTGTTCAATATTTGGGCGCCGCTGGGTTCACAGCAGAATATACAACGTGCAGCACAGTTGAGCAAGACACAACAACATACGATCGGCAACGTATCGGCACGGATATCCGAGCGCAGCAGTGACGAAAGTTTAGCAGTGGTTACCCCTTCTAGCGTACTGAGCCTGGGTCCATTACGAATGGATGTCAACACGCTCCGAAGACCGCTGTCGTCAAATGGTGTTGCTAGCATGAAACACGATCCTGTGTCGGCCCCGTATCGAAAAGGTGCGAACGTGGTGTTCTCGAGCGTATTGACGAGCAATGGAACCGTGGACATGAGCTGGAACTCGCAGTTCTTGTTGGGACTGCACGAACCGGTTCGCCATGCTCTCTTCGTGATTGATCGGTTCTTGGAGCGCAGCCGTGACTGGAAGTCGCCGACAAATTGGAATGTGCGCGAGTTTTTCAGCTGGTTTAAGCTGCACTTTGTTGAATTCGTGCGGAACCAACGCGATGTGAAGGCGACGGTCCTCTTTCCGCTGGTGGTGATCAAGTTTGGGGAAAAACGTGACATCTTTGCACTGTACGAAGCTATTTTTGCACTCATGGATGTGGTTATCGCACAAGAAGATGGCTTGCTGCTGTCGGCTGCGTCGTCAGCTGGTTCATGGATAGCTTGCCTCAGTCTTCTTCAAGACGATATTCGGCGTCTCAACCACCTCCTGCTCAATGTGCTCGCACGAGAAGAAGAAGTTTTCAAGCCTGCGATTGAGCTCGCGTTTTCCGAGAAAGCTTTCCGTCGATATGTCATGCCGCGGATCTTTCGTGCGATTCGACCGAAGCGCGTTATGATCCCCTGGATCGTGGAGCGAAGCCGTGTTTGGGGCGACAACAAGGTCGCAAATGCGTATAGGGATGACTTGTCATTTACAGCACGGTTTCTCTACGAACATGTCTGGCACCCGTATTTTGCGAACAATATCGCATCGGCCATGAAGCACCTGGGCAACGATCTGGACGGTGTGGCTGCCAAAGCCTCAGACGAATCGTGTTTCGGGTGCGTTGTCATGTAAAATTGGATGTTGTACTGAAGTCTCGTGACGCTTTGTAATACACTACCGTCGAATTTGTTGATGATTGTTCATTCGTACTGCACTTGTCGAAAGAGGTGGTGTCTTCAGTACCCATCACCCACCCACCCACTGGCGGGTGATCAAAAAAGCCCAGGATTCCGGTTCTTTTTAGACGTCCGGTATGACTTGTCGGGGGTATCTGATCACCCCGTCTCTTGTCGTCTTGGTGTCGTCTTTTTCTGTTCTCTCGTGTCCTTCCACATAATCCACTGTCGGACACATCACCGTCTGCGACATGGTCGACAGTGGCCCAACCAGTGGCAACAGCATGAACCAAGTGGTCAGGACACAGGACCCGCTACGTCTCCACCAGCCTTCAACGAACGGGAAAGCCGAACCCGTGCACGAGTGGATCGACACGCTGCTTCAGGCGGCCGTGATTGCCACGGATAAACAGCACGAGACACGTGAGCCCGACGGACAGCCGTGTCCAGCCATTGCAGTAGCTGTAACAACCAGGAGGAGCTCTGCAAGCTCGACAGGAGCTGCGATGAACGTGTCGACGTCCTTAGTAAACCTCGATGCAAACAGTATCGAGTCTGTGGTCGTGAGTGATGCACTGAGCAAGTGTAGAGACCACGACGACGATGAGTCGTTGACGTCTCTGCACTCAATTGAGCACGGAGATGCTAGCAAAGGAGACGACAGCGCGTCGGGCACCACTCGGAAGCGCTACCAACGTCGACGGTGTGAAGTCATAGGGTGCACGAAGTTTGCCCGGTTGAACAATGCCTGCTCAGGGCATGGTGGACGACGTCTGTGTGCAGAAACTGGCTGCACGCGAGTGGCCCAGTTCGGCCACAAGTGCAGTGCGCACGGAGGGATGAAGCTATGCAGCGTCGAAGGCTGTTTCCGAACTGTGCAGTCTCGTGGCTGTTGCAAGACACATGGCGGCGGGGTCCGGTGCCAGTATCCCGACTGTACCAAGGGTGCGATCTCGAAAGGGTTTTGCCGCTCCCATGGCGGCGGGTCGCGCTGTGCGGAAGAAAGCTGTGAAAAGTGGGCGCAGCGTCACGGATACTGCGTGCGCCACTCGAAAGGCAGCACTGGAACGAATGAAGCGGGGACGATGGAGGAGGTCAAGTCGGACACTTGCACTTCGTTCCGACCTGTCGAACCTCTCTCTACGGTCTAAATTTGGGAGACTGGTCTCTGATTTAGCATTTAGAACAAGCCAACCAGAATGAAACCCCATCTTCGTGGTAAAGTGTCGACACGGGTGGAGAGATGGATACTTAGCAGCCACCTTTTTGGTGTCACGTGGTTTCGGACATCTCGGTGTACCACATTAAGTTTTGAAACGCCCACGAACAGATTGATGGACAGCAGCAGGCCACGGGACCCCGTCTGCCTTCCAGGGTTTGCAGCTCAGTGCGTCGCGCCAAGTCGATTGTCGCAGTTTACACCGGCGTGTATCCATCAACTGTCTTCCATTCAAGAGCATCGGGATACGCGTGAGAACGACAGATCGATCGGTGGCGTTGGTTGTGGAAAAGGTGCTCATTCGTCAAGTGTGTTGCAGTGGTCGAAGTTGCCTGTAAACCGCGATCGAGTGGCTGCTACTGCGGCAATGACAGTGCGCGACAGAGCATCGAGTTGAGATTTGGAGACTTTATCGACTACTTTCAAGCTGCTTTTACAAAGCACTCGCACTGGCTACAGACGGTGGAGGAGCTGGACTTTTACTTGGCCCAGTGTCCAATTGCAGTACTGAATTCCAGTGAAGTAGGCACGAAGGCCACCTTGCCTGCTGTCAGAAATGACGTCTGCATGTACGCATGTGCTTACTGCGTTGGCTGGGAGGTTTTGATGATTCGCTGTTGTAACACGAGTGTGTCGCTCTAGACCTGCCTGTCTTTGTGACGAAGAGCTCATTCAAGTCAATTTGTGGATGACGGTGCGACCTAGCCGGACTGCACTGCATTATGACGCGTACCACAATGTCCTGGTGGTTTTATATGGGAGAAAGGTTGTTACGCTGTATGCTCCGTCAGAGACGGCAAAGCTGTACCCATTCCCTGTGCACAGCAAGTCGGTAAATCATAGTCAAGTTGATGTCGTCCAGCCGGATCTTGCAAAACACGCACGCTTTTCGGAGGCGTTGGCACAGCAGTTTACTATCACAGCTGGAGGTGCAGTGCTTCTGATGTCGTAGCGGTGACTTTGTCCATTACGTGTAACGCGTTACTCGTTTCTGTTGTAGACGCACTTGTGATCCCAGAAGGATGGTGGCATAGTGTAGAATCGGACGGGTTTACTATAGCTGTCAACTACTGGTGGAATGGCATGCGAGAGCAGCTCGTGGCGGATAAACGCATGGTGCCATATTACGCTCGGGTCATGCTGGAGGAACTGGTTGTGCAGCAATGCGAAGAGCGCCTTTTGGCTTTCCGGTCTCCGTCTGGGGCAGGTATTGCTAGGAAGTACGACGATGAGTGCAAGGCGGTGGCTGCAATTTTAGCAACCACAGATCAAGGTTGCCATGAACAGGTGATGTTGTCACTGGAGAGTCGAGTATTTCTGAAGACGCAAGAACATCTGGCCACAAATTATGTAGCAGAGTGGCGAAGACTGCTTGCAAATGCAAGCGTGAATTTGGCGGCTGCATTAGTCAAGTGCTGGGAGAGTGACGATGTAGGGCCTGGTGTCCTCGGCACGTTATATGGTGCTCTCGGGGATGAGGAAGAATCGATTAAGGGGTTGGTGGCCACGAAGCACGCGCAGTTTCTCCAAGATTGCGCCTCTGACATGTATCGGTCATATTTTGGCTAGCTTCGGTGATGGGTAGAAATGAAGAGGGTACGTGCGAAGGAAAACGATTTTGTGGACAATGACGATTGCTACGAAATGCGATCGAAAGTCGGTCATGCATTTTGCTGGACACTCAAGTTGTCCGTGCGGCAGTGAACCTGTAGTTTTGGATACAATATGTCGGCTCGGTTGGGTTTTTCAAGACTCGATAACCATACTAAGTCCATGCATACGCCACGTCAACAGTCTCGAGTGCTATCGAGAAGGCGTGGTCGAAGATCAAAAGTTGGTGAGGTCAGAAGTCAGGCTTTCTAGACCAGGCAGCAACAAAACTGGAGGTCAGTCGACTTGGGCGAGATGCCCAACTTCGTCATGTCCATGCTCGCGTGGAATCGTGTTCTCTAGTATTGGACTCTTCGGTGGGCTGCACAGTTTCCGTTCAAGCTCCGGTCTCTTTGAAGACGTGCTATCGTAAGGCGTTCCGAGTCTAGTGCATAGTGGAAGTTGCTTGACCCGATTCAGCATTCTTTGATCCCATCGTGGGCATTAACAAAACTTGTCCGAGCTATCCCGTTAATTACTGATGGAGCGCGACGTCGAACGATAATCGCTGCCGATGTCGCATGCGTTTATATGTGTAGTGCGAGACCCATCTGACTTGATGGCTGAAACATGAAGGTCGTGGCCTTTGTTTTTGTACGTCTTAGCTCTGCATTTTTCACTCATTTTTGCTCGACAAAGCTGTAGGCAAGTCTGCACTCGAATAGTACTGTCCAACGGATACTGACTAAATATAATTTACAGGTGACAACAGTTCCGGCTGTTGGTTTTCGCATTATGTGAATGAAGCTGATGCCAGCAGAATACCAAGTGGAGGTGACGATAAAGCGCATGGAGTACGCCAATTTCAATTACAGCACATTTATTGATCGGTAGTAACTTTTGCAATTCGTTCGCTCAAAGTATGAGATGGTATGACCGTCACACGGTAGGTAAGCTGTAAGACTTGGCAGAGTACGTACAAGGATAAAGTAGGAGCAGTGCTTCAGAGCTTCTGTATCCGTAACAAATTCGGTAAGCACAGTAGGGTGTCTTGGGCCTTTGTTAAAATAGACTCGGTCATTGTCTGGTAGTGTGCTGAATGAAATCGACGAAGGCCTCGAAGGATAAAGACTGTCGACAACTGCCGGCCTAGCTGAACAAACCCGAGTGCAGGTTTCTAAACACCGATACGTGCTGAAACCCTCAGTACTCAACTTGCAATATAAAGTCCAAAAAACGAAGACGCATGGCTACCGGTCAATACAATCAAAGCCGTGGAGATAGACGCTAACGGCACAACACCCGGCTTTCGACACAATTCCATTAAGACCGAAAAAGTGACGATTGACGATTTCGATGAACAGGGGCGTACACATCGTCCAAACTTGTGCAGCAGGCCGAGTCAGTTGCCTGGTATCGGTTCACGATCAGAGGATCAAACGTAAACCAGGTAGCACACTGCGGTCACCTCACGCCTTATCAGTCCATTCCCAGTTAGTTGACAACGAAATGTATAGCACTTCAAACAGTGCCGAGTGGATCAGAGCACAAAGTCGAGCTTTGCATCACGTTTGTGGTGAGTAAGATAGGTCAAGATCGCTCGAAATCCGCCCGAAACAACCGCCTTCGCAATGCACTAGTCTATTTTTGACGCAGTCTTCTGTTTTTCTAACCGATAGCAATCGAGGCAGTGGACGACAATATGTGAACTCCGATGGCAGATGGTCGACAAACCCATCAAGCATCCAACAGCCACACCCAAATTTACAAACCTCCAGTATGTCGACCGTTTTCTGACCTCTCACTAACTCTATCCCCCCAGACCACAACCGCGCACAATTTGTTTGCCTCAAAACCGAATAGTAGTACCAATTTCATTCCATTCGATTCGCAAGACGCACAAAAACCCACGCACAAAAAACCCACGTACAAAAAACCCACGCACAGGCAAAGACACAATTTTACCATTGCGTCCCTTTCACAACAAAAAAGCACGCCTCGAATCCTGCAACACTTTATACAAATCAGTTTAGCCGGTCGCCGTCCCCTCGACAGCACTCGCTCTTCTTATCAGCAGTCGCGAAGCCTCCCACCGACTCGAAAAGTCGGTTCCGCTCTCACCCGGTCGCCTCGCACACAACAAGGACGTGACTGACCGACCGACCGACCGACCGACCGAGCGAGCTCCGTCGACGACGACCTCATGCGTGGCCACAGCCGCGTGCTGCTTGGGCTTCTGACAGCGCTCGCGTCGCTGCTCCACTCGAGATCTTCGCTTGCCGCTGGCGCTCCCGTCGATGGCGTCATCATCGTCCGTGGTCACAAGCTCTACAACGCCAAGACGGGCGAGCGGTTTTTCATCAAAGGCGTGCGTGATGACGATTGAGCGAGCGGTTTGGCCGTGTGCTTGAATGATAGGGTCGTCTGTACTGATTGCGCGGGCTCTTACTTTGTGGTGTGTGGTATACCGTGCGATACCGGTATTTTGTGTGGTGGTTTCGTTTGGTTTTGGTTTGGTCTAGTTGACGTACGAGTACGCCGTGAGTGACGAGTACTATGACAAGTACTCGAAGGCTACGATCGAAGAAAACCTCGCCGGGCTCAAGTACAATACCTTGCGGCTGTACAACATCAACCCCGAGGCGTCGTACGTGAAGTTCATGGCGGACATGGCCAACCTTGGCGTCTACGTGATGGTATCGGCCTCACCGGACAACGACGTGTATTACGGTAAATACCGGTATTCGACGATCACCAAGAAACTGAGCTGTACCGGGAAAGTCTCGGCCGGTGATGGGGCAAAGACGGTGGACCAGACAGAGACGTGCTATCCAGCTCTATTACTTGAGTATGGCAAGAAGATCATTAAGAACTTTGCTCAATATGACAATACGCTGGGCGTTGTCGTGGCCAACGAGATCATGCAAATGGACTTGACGTCCGCTTCTTGTGTTAAGGCGTACGTGGCTGATCTCAAGACTTGGATGACGGTGAATGGCAAGCGGTTGCGCATTTTGCCGCTTGCTTACGCGGCTGCGGACAGTAGCACGGACAAGGTCTCGAACGCCGATGATTACCATGTGATTAAGGTCCAGGGACTCTTGTGCGGCGACGAGATGAGGAACGGCATGATGGCAAAGAGCATTGATATCTACTTGATCAACGAGTACCGGTGGTGCCCGGATTCGACGTTCGACGAGGCGTACAAGCGCTACATTGATATGGCACAAGGCATTCCGGTCGTCGTTGCGTTTGGCGAGTACGGTTGTAAAACGTCGGCCTCGACTCCTCGTACGTGGGGCATGGTCCCTTACATGTACGAAGAGCCTTCCAAGACCAAACAGTTTTCGGCGGTGTGGTCTGGAGGGTTGGCCTATTCGTATGGCGAGGCGAAGCTTGGCAAAGATTCGCTGTTCCCGATGTTTACGGGTAAGTTGTGTGCATGCAAGCAGATGAGGCTTTGCGTTCGCTTGCATGGATTCAGTGACTGATACTTGTGTCGTTCATGAGCAGGCGGCAGCACGGACTTTCTCTCGACGCCTAGCTCAAAGCCCTTGGTGGATTACACGAATTTGAAGGCTCAGTTTGCTAAGTACTCGGGCTACAAGGACGATGCAGAATGGACTGACGGCACCACGTGCTCGTGGACGCCTACGTTGGAAACGAAGACACAGCCTTCGAACAAGATCGCGTCTCAGTACGGCTGGATTGTGAGCAGCTGCACTGCGAGTAACTTGAAGCTTTCCAGCACCGACTCGTGGATTTGTTCGAGTCGTGAAGGCGTGGTTTGCGGAGACGATGGCAGTACTTGTGACGTGGCCTTGAGTAGTAGCCTCGGTACCACTCAGGAAGACATTTGCGGCACGTATGAAGTTGTGAGCGGCGGAGGTACCTGTGAGACGACGACAGACTGCGGTGGCAACGGGCAGTGCAAGGAGTCGAATGGCACCAAGTCGTGCAGCTGTCTGTCGTGCTACACTGGCACTGATTGTAGTGTGCGGGACATTACCTCGTGCGCGACGCTGAGCAGCTCGACCTCGGCTCCTCACATGATTTTTGTCGGCGTCGGCGTGTTCTTGGGCGTCATGTTGGTGGTGTTTATCGCCCTCGGTGTTGCAGCGGCGAAGAAGAAAGCTGGTACGTGTCTCGCTGCTGTACATTTGATTGCTCTCAATCGCATCTGTTGGCATCTTGCACGTCTAACATGTGCGACGTGTCTGCTTTTTGTGGTTAGAAACCAACAAGTTGGCGGAACAAGTGCGAGCTGACGGCAGTAGCCAAGCGACGGCAGATACGCTATAGTAGCACAGTGACTGCAGCTCTCGTTGGATCCTGCAGTGTGCACACCACGGCAGCACCTACATGTTTAATTCCAATCCAACAACAGCAAGCTACACACGTTTCTAGCTCTGCATTTGGGTCAACTAGTGTCTCGATGTGGACCAAAAGGCTTTTCTATGTTACGAATTAACCTCCCAGCGCCTATTTGGAGCTCTTCGTTCATCGTGGATAGGGTTCCGCACCGTTTTCGGCTCACGAGCACCAGTCATTTATCAGTCCGTCAAGCCAAAAGATGCCGCCAAAAGGGAAGAAGACGGAAGAGGTACTTGCTCGCTTGGCTGTATCTCTCTTCGTTCTCTCTCTCTCTCTGTCTCTGTATCTATCCATACCAACCAACTAACTATCCACTATCCGTGTGTGTGTGTGTCTTGTATTCCTCTTCTTTCCTCCTGTTCGTAGCCTACACGCACCTATTTAGGTCGTCCTGGCAACAACGTCAAGATCGGGATCGCCGGCGTCCCAAACGTCGGCAAGAGCACGTTCTTCAACTGCCTGTCCAAGCTCCACATCCCCGCCGAGAACTTCCCGTTCTGCACGATCGATCCGAACGACGCGGTCGTCCCTCTCCCCGACCAGCGCTTCAATTGGCTCGTGGACAAGTACCAGCCCACGAGCGTCGTGCCGCCCGTGATCTCGATCACGGACATTGCTGGCCTCGTCCGAGGCGCCGCAGAAGGTGCAGGTCTTGGCAATGCCTTTTTGTCGCACATCCAGGCCGTGGACGCCATTTACCACATGGTGCGAGCCTTTGACTCGACGGAAGTGACGCACGTCGAGGGCAATGTGGACCCTGTGCGTGACATGAAGATCATCCAGGAAGAGCTGCGTCTCAAGGACATTGAGCGCGTGAAAAAAGAGGCGGTTGGTGTGAAGAAACTCGCTGAGCGTGGCCTTGGTGGCAAGGAGAAGAAGCTCGAGTACGAGGCGCTGTGCAAGATCCAGGAGTGGCTCGAGGCGGGCAAAGACGTGTCGTTTGGCACGTGGTCAGCCCAGGAGGTGGAGATCCTCAACACGATGCAGCTGTTGACGGCCAAGCCCGTGGTCTACCTGATCAACGTGAGCAAGCGCGACTACTTGCGCAAGAGCAACAAGTACTTGCCTCAGATTGCCGAGTATGTCAAGGAACGCGGTGGCAACGAGCCCGTGGTGCCGCTCAGTTGCGAGTTTGAGCTCGAGTTGCTCGACCTCGAGGCTGCGGGTCAGCTCGAAACGTACACGAAGGAGAACCCGACGCACAAGTCAGTGCTTAACCGTGTGCTCCGCATGGGATACCAGGCACTTGGTTTGATCCACTTTTTCACGGCTGGCAAGGATGAAGTGCGTGGCTGGACGATCCGCAAAGGTCGAATGGCACCTCAAGCTGCAGGTGTGATCCATACGGACTTTGAGAAGGGCTTCATCATGGCCGAAGTGCAGGCGTTTACCGACTTGAAAGAGCGTAAGTGCGACGAGGGATTGAGTATTTGCAGAGACTAAACTGGTGCAGGGACCGAGCTGACGCGATGTGTGTGTGCTGTTGTCGATCGTTTTGTAGTGGGAACCGAAGAGGCGGTCAAGAAAGCTGGCAAGCTCAAGCAGCAGGGCAAGAAGTACGAGGTCCAGGACGGCGACATTATATTCTTCAAGTTTAACAACTAGACAAGGACCGTCTTGGCTTGTCTAGTGGTGGTGTCGAAGGATTTCGATAAGCTGCAGTCGCTAATCCGCTGCTAATGCAATGGCGATGTGCGAATGTGTTTGCTACTTGCAGCTTTGGTGAAGTAAACGCAGGTATCTTGATGAACACGGTTTATTTTACCGCTGGAAGGGTGTGTACGTGCTAGGTCCAGGGTATCTGCTGCTGCGAGGAACGGACGTGATATGCCGTCCTGATTTGACTTGTTCAGGATGGTTGACACAATGGAGATAGACGGCTGGCGCGACATGTATCGGGCAGTTCTTAAGGGGACGGGAGTGACGAGACATCACGTCACTGACGATTCCAAAGCGCAATGTCTCCTGTCCTCTTGCATGCTCGATCTGGAAGCGGGGAGTGCTGTGGCCGGTTCGTGGGAACGCTGCTGCGCGAATGCAGTGGATGAATGTGTCACGATATGAATCTTCGCTGCTCCCGAATCGAAGAAGGTCGAAGTGATCAACGCCATTTCTTCCGATCCATGACGTTATAGTGGTTGCTGGGCAACACGCATGCATGGACGCAGCTCGTTTCGCAGGGTAAGCAGCATCTTGCTTGAGCCACACGGCGCTGGCTTCCCACAATTCTCTGCATCCATTTCACGTGAAAAGCGCCACGAGCAGCTTGTTATGGAGTCCGGTCATAGCACTGATGAAAGTATGGGCTTCTAAGTCACATCGATCGTTCTAGCGACCCAAGTCCAGTCCGCGGTCAGGACGAATGCTGACTGCAGGTTACATCTTGGAAGCGACACAGTCTTGCTGCGTGACCAAAGAACAGTGGAAGAAGACTCTGGTACGACAATCAAGGAGAGCCTGCTGACTGTCATTCAGGTCCGACATTTCCTATCACTGCCGAGCGCTCGCTCGACGTCGCACGTACAGCGAGTGATAGGACGACTCCTTCTGCTCGCCAGCAAAACGCAACTGCACACTGCATTTATCGTACGCACATCCAGAGGTTCGAGACCTCTCCACTGACGCAAGAACCATCTTCCACATACATCTGCGGCACAACTTGAACACGTTCCGAGGCCAGTACAGTATCCCCCATGCCGTCTCCATCCTTTGCCAACTAACTGTACACTTCTCTTAGACAACCAACTGCAAGAGCACCACGACGTCGAGCTTGGCCCACAACTAAAAAACAAACAAGCAGCCAGTCAGTCAGTCAGTCATCAACACTTCCTCTACGCTCGTCCAACTCAAGCCAAGACAGACGTCCGTCCACACAAGTCGAGCCACCACCATCCGCACAAAAGGGCCCAGCAAAAAGCACCCACCAGTCACCGCCTCTCAGCTCCCGCCGCCCATCGCTCTACCTCGTCCTCGTCTCTTCTTCTTCTTCCACTTCCTTCTCCTTGTTTCTCTGCAACGCCAGCATCGTTTCCAGAAAACGTCCGTCATTCACAATCTCCGGCACGCCGCCCGGCGTCTCCGGCAGCACCACTGGCAGCTGCATCTCCGCTCTCTTCTCCTCGTCTGCGCCCGTCTCTGTCTCGTCAGTACCACGCGCCACAGCGACGGCGTGGACTCGTTCTTTGCGTCGTCGCCGCTTGGCCGCGCGTTTCCGAGCTTGGGCCTGGAACTCCTCGGCGTTGCGCTTGCGCACGGCCTCAAACTCCTGCTGGGCCTTGTTCTGCTTGTACCGCTGCTCCATGGCGGCTACACGCTCGAGTTCCCTACATGTCAAAAACGAGCCCCATGTTCGTGTCAAAAATACAAACCACCCCGCTTGTCAAAAATACAACCCTAGCCAGTTATTGACACCACGTGTCAAAAAACATCCACCACAACGTGTGGCCATATTGACACCACCATCAGCGCTTCGTACCGTCTTCGGGCAGCGCGATACGTGTGGAACTCCCCGCTACCGGCGCCAGCGCCACTGCCAGAGACATTCTCGACACGTTTGATACGGAGCCCACCGTCTTTTTTAGCGTCGCTCGAGACGGCAGAGCTCGCGTCTAAAGATGCGGGGGAAGACGTGGTGGCGGCGGCAGTGTACGGCACGGCGGCGCCCTGTGCGTCCTGGTCGCTGAACGTCTGCATCGTCGTGTAGCGGCCCATAGCTGCGCGGCTTGTAGAGCGGGAGTTGTCAGTAATTCCGAGCCGTGGGTTGTCAGTAATTTCAAAACGTGGGTGTCAGTAAAGTGTAAAATTGAATTGGGTTTCGACCAGTGTTTCGTGAGATATTGGCACGCGTCTAAAGAAGCACTTGATCAGATTTGGAGCACATTTAGACCATGAACTTGTTAGAATTGATACGAAATGCTTCGATGTGCGTATTGAACAAAGCACTTGTTTGTGGCTGCTTTTTTCGAACTTTCCACACCACGGGACGATCACTGAACGAGTGGTCTCCATCCGCGTCGAAACTTGTGTTTTTGTGTCGAGCGACTGACCGACCGACCGACTGACTGACTGACCGAGTGTGTGCGTGTGTGTGGCTGGGTGCTTGTGATATCCGTCATGAGCAAGATCGCACTGGCTTCGAAAGTGGCGTGGCACGTGGTGGACGCCAAGGGACAAGTCTTGGGTCGCTTGGCGTCCCAGCTGGCGCCCATTCTACGTGGCAAGCACAAGCCCACGTACGCGCCCAACGTGGACTGCGGGGACTACGTGGTGGTCATCAATGCCAAGGACATTGTGCTCACGGGCAACAAGTGGAACAGTAAGTTATATCGCTGGCACACGGGCCACCCGGGCGGGCTCAAGCAGCGCACGGCCAAGGAGCTCTTTGAGCGCAAGCCGGAAGAAGTGCTACGCAAGGCCGTGTTTGGGATGCTGCCTCGGAACCGCATGCGGGCGCTGCAAGACAAGAAGCTCAAGATCTTTATGGACGACCAGCACGAGTTTGTCGACCAAGTGGGTGAGAATCCCGTGATTCTGTAGCTACGGACGGTCAGGGACGCGTGGGACGGAAAGCTAGTGCAAGCGAACTGGGAGGGAAGGAAACTAAAAGGCCCTGCGTGTGTATGTGTGGTTTTCCGGATAAGTTTGACCTTGTTCAAGTGCCTGCTTTGTTTCTTTTTTCTGCTCTTGTATGAGGCTTTTTACCCTGTGCGGTGGCAATAATTATAGTGGTGCTGTCTGCGCAAACGATAGCTACGGCCGATTCTATCAATGGGTGAAACAGTTGAACGACAAGTCGTCGTCGCTCCTGTGTACATTCGACTTCGAATGCTGCAAACGATGCCAAGTCGATTGACTGACCCGTTGACTCGTGCCAGACCTAGATTGAACACCGCATAACGTCTGCTTCTTGTCGACGACGTCGACCGGGGTCCCGAATAGAGCCAGACGGTCAGTCGGGATGGCAAGAGCAACTCTGGATCCACTGAGAAGCAGTTGTGGAGACGGTGCGAGTTGTTTGGTGCGCCTAATCATTTACAATGGAGGACTCGACATCGTCATACAGAAGGTGTCGAGTCTGCAGATAGTATCCGTGCGAATTGTCTCTCTACATTCATTTTCGGTCGTTCCTTCGGGTTGCGAGCAAGTCATTGACCGCCGCTGCTTCCGTCCTGCACATGTGATCGTGCCTCCGTCTTCTCAATGACTGCAATCACATTACACGACTGTACAACTGGAGGGAAAGTCTCCTACAATCAAGCTTTTTCCTGTTGTAGCCTGATTGTCATTTCATCCTCGAGCAAAATCCAGCGCTTCGAGCGAAGTGGTTCCGCATCGATCGACGTCGAAGGGATCGCGGCTCGACGTAGGGAGCTGGACGAAAATCAGTCCAGCATGTTCCAGCTCGCGACTTTCCTATACGTTGCTTCTCGTCTGATCCACCAGTAACGCATCGTTTGAGTTTGACGTCGTGCGCACACGTGCGTCCGGACTTGTTCGATGTCCAGGTAGCCACAATCACGACAGGACCACGGGCGGAAGATTCCAGACTCAGTTTCTTCATACTTTCTTGCATCGATGTACGATGCCCTTGTAGGTGTTGCCAACATCGGATGGTCGATCGAATGCTCAGTCGCTTCGACAGAATCGTGCATCTTGTTGTGCTGTGTCATCTGCGTCCTGATAAAAAGCGTAGGAAGAGTAGCAACCAATTGTCCTGACATAGTGCTCACTTCCACGAGCAGTAGCGCTCTTCCAGCTGTTTATGCATTCAGATTCGCGTGGATCTATTTTCCTAATCCGCCTTTTGTAGTGAGAGAGAAACGACCACGAGTTCGATTTGTGTATTCTCTTCGTCTTTGTATGATTTAGTGCCCCACGTCTTTCGAATGAACACTATGCAACAGTATCTACTCAAATGTGCAGGTGTCAACGACGCATACGTTCTTCTGATAACAATGAACAAAGCACGTGATCGGATGGTTCAGAATAGAAGAAAAGGCACAGAGGACGTTTCGGCACTGGAGCGAGGCTCAGTAAAACAGAAAGGATATCATCGATCCGATCGAGGGCGTCGATGATCGCAGCGGTCTTCTGTTCTCGATCGGCACTAGCTGCATTGGTGCCGAGTGTGCGACTGAGCTCCACCGGTCGAGGGAATAGGGAGGATCTTGGCGTTGGCGAAGGCGCTGCGTGTAATATGGCGCGCGATGTGTTAAGCCGGTGCAGAACCGAGCCGAATCCGTGGAACTATGGGCAAAGAATGTCCCCACCCCCAATGGGTTCGTTCTGTGGTGTGCGCGTCGACAGTCGCAGCTCATGGCTGAGCCCGCGCAGCAGATGTTGCAGATGGGTGACACCTATAAAAGACCCGTTGGCTGCCTTTTCTTTATCCGACTTTACCAAGAGCCGAGCCCTCGCGCACTATTGTCCTGCTGCCGCTTCTGCTTCTGCTGCTGGGTGACTGAGTCAGACGAGGCGCGACAAAAATAGACGTGCGACATGCGCACTGGTCAACGTGGATGTTGCCGTGGCTGGACGCATCGAAAAACGGCACAACTTGACTACTCTATGGCAAGTCCAACGGCCGCGACTGCAATGGAGCGGCCTGTCGGTCGCTCCGACCTGAGCTTGTCCTCTGGTTGTCGGCTAACTGGAGGTGGCCCAGCGAGCAACAGAAGGGCAGCGACTTCAACCCTAGTCCTTCTCCTCTTGGCCCCTCCCCCAGCAGACTCGTCTATACTCAAGCGATCGATCGCTCGATCGGTCACAAAGTGGTCCACACAACAACAACAAAATGTGGCGTCTTTATCGACCTGGATACAGGCGGGTGGCGTGCGCGGTCGGTCGGTGCACACAACGTTCACACAAAGAGGTGCCCCCACCTACGCGGCGAGATCAGTCATTTGTCCCATCCAAGCATACGATCTCATCGGTCCCTTTTTTTACTGACCAACAGGAGGATTAAATCGAATATGCGCCAATCACGATGCAAACCTCTCCAAACTCGATATCCATTTTCCGACAATAAACCATCCGTCTCCATCGCCTCATAATCGATTTCGACCGGTGCAGGTGACAGCAACAGGTGACTGACTGGCTGATCAATTGACGGAGTGACTGCAGCCCGCACAAACATGACCCGCAGACGACAAAGAATGCGGAATCAGACCGAAAGCGACATGGTCATTGACGAGCGACCGGCCAAGAAGAAGTCGTCGCTCAAGGGCCGTCGCAAGTCGCAAGGATACGACAATCCGAGCTCCTCAGCTGAAGACGAGGAAGTGGACGAGACGTTTGTCGCGCTCCAGAACCTCCTGGACGCGCTCAATCGCTCGAACCGCAGCAGTAGCATCAGCAGTAGCAGCAGCAATGCGAGCTTTACCGGCAGTAGTACCGTCCCTATAGGACCGACTAGCGCTACCGAAAGCGCTAGTCAGCAGCGCATGTCGCGCGAAGAGATGCTCGAGAGTCGACGCCAGGAGCGCGACCGTTTCCGTCGCTCGCTCTTTACAAAGAGCAACACGAGCAGCGTCTACAATTCGTGTCGTCGACGGACGTGTCCAGCTTATTATTACTCGGAAGAAGAAGAAGAAGAAGAGGTGCAAGAGCCTTCAGTCGAGAGCACGATCTCCAATCGGTTCATGAATGGATCGTTTTCCACGCTGAACGTGCACGTGATTTCACGCAGCAGATGGTCCGCTGAGGACCGCGTGGTTGAGCGGCTGCCAATTGTGATGCTGCCTAAGAGCGGCCAGTTTTCTATTCCGACCGATAACAAGAAGATTGGCGTGGTGCACACCGACGAGTACATTGACTTGCGCGACAAGTTGGTCGCGAGTTTGCCGCCGGGCGCGTCGCTCTTGCATTACCTCACGCCGCCACGCTCGACGTGGTACATGCACATGCACAACTTCGAAGCGCTCAAGTGCTGAGCGGAAGGAGCTTTTTGTGCTCGAGTCTGAAGGATTGGAACGAGGAAGGAGTTGAATGCCAAGCCGCTCGATTAGGAGAGTGGTGGACGCTGCGGACGTGTGGAGATTACCAGCGTCTTGCCGACAGAATGAAGGAGCGAAGATGAAGCTCTGAGGGACGTACGTACGTACGTGTTTGACTGGTCCTGCTAGAAATCGCGCCTGGAAGGATAGTGTATTCTTATTTATCGTCGTGCGGAGGGACCGTTTCTGTTGTGTAAAGACAATCGTGGTGAACACGCGGGTTGAGTGTTGCTCTGTCTCTCTTGTGTGACTGCGAATGATTTATGGTAAAACGGCGTCTGATTCTGATTAACGAGAGCGCTTACCAGCCGAGGCAATTGACGAAGCCTACAGCTCATCGTCGTCTGGGACTAGAATCGCTCGGTATTTCTCGTACGTGACAAAGAAGACGATACACCAAGGCGCTTTCCGCATCCAGTTGGGTGCAAAGCCTTTATAAAAGGCGCTTACACCTCCTTCGCGAAACGTCTTCCGAATACAGTCCCGCATGCCTTCATATTGGAGCCCCCTGCCATTTGCGTCCGTTGGCTGGCTCATTAACCGTGTCTTGACGACGTCGATCCTGCAGATGCATCAACACCGAAAGAAATGGGTCAATCGTCCACTCACTTGTTCTGACAGAGCAAATCAAGCAGCACTGGAAGAAACGCCACGTACGGATTGGACGCAGTCGCACCGGCAAATCCTGCCACACAGCTGGCGCTCGTATGGGCGAGTCCGCCCTCGTGAAGCAGTCCAGACGAGACCAGTAGCTCTTTGGTGTGATCGTACGTGCTCAGCTCGGCAGCATTCACGATGAACCCACGCTGGATATTGGGCGGCATGCCACGGAGGAAGCCCCGAAGACCTTCTCGCTGGTAGATCGTGCGGAACGCATCCGTAATGCCGTGGTACATCCTGCCGGAACGACTCGCTTGCATGCGCACCTTGATCACATCCACACTACACACAGCAGAAGCAATGAGTCAATTTCGAGTCAATCCGATGTTCGATCCAAGAGCTCGTGTCGCTATCAGTAAGCGTACGGATTGGCGAGACTGATCCCAATGGCGCCAGCGCAGCCCCCAGCCAAGAACTTGTTGACATACGGCACTTCACCATTTCCACTCGAGTCCGCGGCATTCGCTCCAAAGACGTTGCGCAGTGGTTCGTAGAGTGCCATGCAGATGCTCGTGTACGACACTTGACGCAGCAGTGCAGGCATCGCTCCGTTCCAGAGCGCGCCAAAGCCTTCGTGTCGGATCATGGTCTGTGCAGCATGGACCATGCCGTTGTACTGCACGACTGACTTGGTGCCTGTAATCGGGCCCGAGCTCTGTGTCTGCAGCCGCACTTTGGTGATGTCAATTGGCAGCGTCAGGAGCTCAGCAGTGGCGGATGCGACTCCCCCAGCGAGAAAGCGCGTCCATTGCGACTCGACTGTTGGCTTCATTTGGACGGGAACCTCCTCTTCGTTTACGACGACGTGGCCTGCCATTGTCGTTGGGTCGAGAGCGGCGGGAGTCTCTTTATCGTTGGTTGCCATGACCCCTCGCTCGCTCTCTTACTCATAATCGAGTCCCTTTTTTGCAGACTAAGGAACCCGAGACGAAGAGACAGACGCAGTTGGATTTGCATACTGAAAGTGACTTTAAATACTGGCCTCGAGCAGCGAAACGGACTCGGTTTTGTACAGCGATGAACGCATCGTTATGAGACATGAACGGACGACAGCTGCAGCAAGCGGGCGAGATTCATTATATTTGCCGAGGCGGTTCATTCATTTAGACTATTGAAGGCTGCATCATGCTCTTGCAACTTGTAGTGAGCACTGTGTCGCTTTGGTCTGTCACTCTATTGTGAGGTGCCACGATCCTTGCCACGTGAGTCGAGGGAGGATGGATACAAACCACTTGGACGGTGCTCTTTTTTTCACGGCGTCCAGCGGGACCAGTGGTGCAGTAGACAAGAGCCTGGACTGAACGAAGCCGCAGAGGCCGTCGTCAATCAGAGACTGTGAACCCGCCAAGTAGATCGGTAGTGCCTTTGCCTGGTAATGGGGCACCGAATCTTCTCGTCGCAGAAGAGACGCAAACGCATGCATCTCCGTTCTGACGGCCTGGGGTCCGTTTCTGCTGCATTTCTGCGTCTGTCTATTCACAGCTGCAGACACGGCAGCCTTCGCGCGAGCCGATGAGATCCGAGCATTATTTTGCGATCGTAGTGTGCGCAGTTCAACCAAGTTGTGGACCACGGGATCTACAATTGCCATCACCTCGAGTTTGTTTGGGTGGGTCGACAGGATTCGCCGTGCTTGCCAAGTGCACTATCGATGTATTGGTGGATCGTGTAACACCGATGTCTTGTGCGCATACTGGTGGGTACAAAGGCAACGGAGCATGACTGATGATTACATTTGGCGCAGCCATACTGGATTTCGCGTGCGCAGTCCTGTAGAAGTCTCATCTCGGCCGCGGCATGCTGCGAAACCTCAGACTTCTGTCATCTCTTCAGTAGAGGCTAGATAGATCAAAGATGTCAGCTTTGTCAAATGTCTACGATGCTTGTCACAGCTACTTGGCGACATCATTTGCGTAGACAGGGCTGGCAAACTACTCGGGTAGCAAGCAAAGGCAGAGGGCATGCATGCATGCACAACACGAGGACGATGCAAGATCTGATCTAACGGAGGGCTGCAGATTTAGTTTCGGGTTCTGGCCAGTTCTGGAAGGTAGATGGAAGGTCGACTGTAAAGCATCACAGCATGAGTGTGGAAGATGCCGGCCACATACCACTTTCGCCATCACGACAGTTTGCACGGTGGTTGGTGCAGTTGCTCGAGGTCTTTGCGTCAAGGCGTCTGGTGTTTCCCAGTTATGCCATGTCTCGTACCCACGAGTGAGAGGTCACGTTCGGTGCGAACCTATGGACTATGTACAATTCAGCTAGAATATCCGGATATGTTTGGAGACGGACATTCGAGGAATATCCAATTATGGAAGGAGTTGAGATAAATAGGTTTTACTGGAAAATAGAGGCGACTGAAAGTCAAAGGTTTGCTGCCAAGTGCGGAAGGACTTCGATCATTGTATCCGATTCAAATCAGGTCTTGCACACAAACTTGCGTAAAGTCGCATTGACACTGAGTTCACTCACTGACCAATTCTTTGAAGTACAAGATGATCGTCTTGTAACCGTCTCCAGCCGCTTTAAGCTTCGAGTCTTCGGTTTTGTTGGGGATGTCTTATGACTCAGTGGGGTAGATACCGTGTCGCAAGACCGCTTCGTTACATTTACCGCCAAGTACTTGGCTTAGACCTTTGCTTTGAATGAATGCACCCACAGTCCTATAGCGTCCACATCTTACGGACAATAGACTAGACTATTGTTCGTACTGAACGCGGTGCCATCACGCAATTGTGTCCAGGAAGCAGTTCAACGCTATCGGTGCTCGCGTCTTACCTCACGTAATCAGCATTGTTGCAATAGTAGCAACTTGATCACTCACCATTGTACGTTGGATCGACTACTCTTGCTGTTTTTCACACGACGCTGCCGTTCGTGAAAGGCCGCCTGCTCTATCGCCATGTGTGTCGTCGTGAGCTGCATACCCATCACACATGATAGCGTTACCGTTGCTCGACGGCAGTACTGCAGCGTCTTTGCAAACGCACAACAGAACAAACTTGTGCTGTAATGCTGTGCACCCTGTCCGTCGTGGCAGGTTCTTTACCACAATGCGTCAGCTGTAATGCTCACAGCTCTGCGTACATTACCGCTTAGCTAATGGTTGTCAACTCGCAAAGTCATTTAGATATCATGCGTATCGATCTAAGATCATTTCTACCAGCTTCTGCCAGCGTTTATCGAGCACGTCATTTGTATCCAAGCGAAGAACCAACGGTAACGTCTTGCTCCATCGTATCAGCTGTAGACGCCGTAACAAGCTTTAATTCCTTCGTCTGGCCTCTCGGCCTCCCACACAGTCCAGCCATCCTCCTATAAAAAGCAAAGCTGGCATTCTTTTCCAAGCATTGTACGAGTCCACTCTCTCATCAACTGTCGAGACAAAGCGAGGCAAACAGGAGACTAAACACCACAACGAGACAACAAAACCCCGTCCGTCCTCCACCCACTCGGGCCACAAAACGACGACTATCCCCACAATAAGACGCAAAGCGAAACCGACTAGTGAAAACTCCACCAAACTGACTCTCTCTCTCTCTTTCTCTAAATATCATCCCTCCCCCTCTCTTTCTCTCTTTTCATCAATCACCAAATAGCAAATAGACTCTCTGTTCTAATACATCTTATCCACAATAAATCACCAAACAACAACATCGTCAACGCGACCGACCGACCCACGTCTCCATGCGCTTCCTCCCTCTCCTCCTCCTCCTCCCCGCAGCCTCCGCCAGCCCCCCGTCCACCGCTCGCTCCCTCGGGTCCCTCGTCGACTGCCCCATCGTCCGCTCCGACGCGTCGCCGTGTCTCTGGATGGGCGAGAACGACCAAGTCGTGCCCTCGTCCGCCCTCCATGACCTGCTCGTCCAGCGCCGTCTCGTCTCCGCCCGCCACGTTAGCGAACCCGAAGCCGCCGCCTACAGCCGCAACCTCCAGAGCCACATGACGTACGTCGAAGACGTCCACATGCTCGCCAAGACCGCGGGCCACGCGTTCCCCTACCACTTGGGCGTGTCCCAGCGGCACTTGACGTCGTCGCCTCGTCGCCGTCTCTCGCCTCAAGAGCTCGTGGCTCAAGAGCTCCAAGCCGCACAGTCCCGTCTCCCTCGTCGTCGTCTCATTGCCGAGGTCAATACCACCACCAGCAGCAGCTCCTCCTCTTCCTCCTCCTCAGCTGCTGCTGCTGCCAAGTACTGGAACTGGTGCGACGCTAATAATTCCTTTGGCTACAGCGTGTGCTCGTCGGTCAAGAGTCAGCAAAATTGCGGCAGCTGCTGGGCTTTTGCAGCGGCTGATGCCATTGAAACAGCGGTCGTGATTGCCGAAAAGGCGTCGGCAGCGGTCTCGCTCTCGCCGCAGCAGTTTTTGACGTGCAGCACGTTGGCTACGACGCAGACGTTTGCCTACTGCTGGGCGACGGACAATGGCGTCGACAGTGCGACGTGGATGGAGACAGAGATCAAGTGGGAGTCGCAGAACAATGGCTGTAATGGCGGCATGACGCACGGTGCGTTTATTGATGCCGCGCAGAACAAATGGGGACTCATGACGGAGCTCACGATGCCATACGATGACTCCGTTCCGAGTCTCTTGTCGGCTAATAATGCCTCGTCCGTCTGTGCGGTGAGCACGAATGAAACGGCGGCGAGTATCACGGGCTGGGAGCAGATTGTTGGCGTGGACTGCACGACGTCGAGCAACTGCAATACGTTGCTCCGGTCGGCGGTGGAACGACAGCCGATTGCCGTTGCGATCAATTCGGAAGACCCGTTTGGCGAGTACGCTGGTGGGTTCTATAGCTGTCCGAACAATGGGAACTTGGCATCAAAGGACGACGTGAACCACGCGCTTGTGCTGGTGGGATATGGCACGGATGCCGTGGAAGGCGACTACTGGATATTGAAGAATTCCTATGGCAGTGCATGGGGTGCAAGCGGCTTTATGAAGCTTGTTGCCGACTCCAAGGTGAATTGCGGGCTCAATATCTTCCCTGTCATTCCAACAGGTGCCTCGGCTGGTGTTGCAGCGTCGACGAGCATTGACAGTGGCGGGGCGAAGGTGTTTGTTGGGTTGAGTCCGTCTTCCTGGATTGCTGTCGCAGTTGCCACGACTATTTTCACAGTCATGGCTACAGCCGTTGGCCTGCTCGTCTCGCAGCGCAAAATGAGTTCGATCCGCAAACAGAAGCTGGTCATGTACGCAGCACGAAGAAATGGCCAGCAGACGGCGGCCCGTTAGGTAAGTAGGAGGATCCTGATCCACTTCATCAGCGTAGCTTCCTAAATTGATACAACTATAGATACAACTATGGAGTGTGGAGCACACGGAAATGCCGATAACGTGATGAAACGTCCGTAATTAATCACAATGGGTTTACCCTCCCTCCCCCCCCCCTTATTCGTCAACTCGTCGCGTAAACAGCCGTCTTTTCCCTCCATCTTTTTCTCGCTCACCAGATGACGCAAACAGCTCTTGCGTAACCAACCCTCTTGCAATAGAATCTGCTGTACAGAAACGCGCCCATATGGGTGTGGATTTTTGCCCAGGTCGTACATGTCGCAGCTGCACATCATCTCTCGCCATCATCATCATCATCATCAAGCTCCATGGCCGCCGCGTCTTTCCAGAACATCCGCGACAAATCACGTGTGACTCGTGGCTAATGTCCCTTCTTTGGACCAATAGAGTCGACAAACGGACCCGTCAACTCGACTCCTTCTCCTCTTCTCCAAGAAGCAGACAACTCGACCTGCCGCCTCGTCATCAACAAGCCCATGCACGTCCACGTCGCTGTCGTCGCTCTGTGCGTGGCCATCGCTGCCACGACCGCCATCGAAACCACGGACCGACCATTCGGGACGCTCCTTCGCTGCCCTCCCGCTCGCTCTGTGGCCTCGCCGTGTCTCTGGGCCGGCGAGAACGGTCAACTTGTCGACCCGCGGACGCTGCGGGACCAGTTTCTAACGCGTTACGGCGTTCACGCCACCAGTGCAAAAGAGTTCAGTCGCCGTAATTTAGAGCACCATATGACGTACCTCGAAGGTGAGCCGAAGGTGGAGCGAACAGCCACGCGACACGAAAACCAGGTCGCCGCACTGACATTTGTGGGTGTGCTATTTTGTGTCAATGTGGTGTGTACGCAGACGTGACGATGCAGGCCAATCAGGCTGGACTCGAGTGGTCCTATGACATGGGCGTGCACGAGCGGCACTTGGTGCTGACGCCACGCCGCGACTTGACGCCCGAGCAGTTTGTCCAGCAGGAAGTGCAGGCTGTGGCCGTGTCTCGCCGTCTCCAGGTTGCGACCAATAGCTCGGGTCTTCCGGTGCCGCCTCCCAGTAGCTCCAACGCTTTGGGGGCCGGCAGCTCGTCGTACTGGAACTGGTGTGACTCTTCGAACTCACAGGGGCACTCGGTGTGCTCACCGGTGAAGAGCCAAAAGACCTGTGGAAGCTGCTGGTCGTTCGTGGCGGCGGATGCCATTGAAACCGCGGTCGTGATTGCAGAAAACACGTCTGCAGCCGTGTCGTTGTCGCCGCAGCAGTTTCTCATGTGCAGTACGCTGCAAACCACGCAGACGTTTGACTACTGCTGGGCCTCGGACAATGGCGTGCCTGGTGCCAGTTGGATGCAGACGCAGATCAAGTGGGAGTCGCAAAACGACGGATGCAATGGCGGGATGACGCACGCGGCGTTTATGGACGCGGCTCAGCGCGGCTGGGGACTCGTGACAGAGCTGACGATGCCGTACGATGACTCGAATCCCGGGAGCTTCTTGGCATCCAATATGTCGTCGGCGTGTAATGTCCCTGCAGAAGAAGCAGCGGCGAGTATCACTGGCTGGGAACAGATCGTGGGCATTGACTGCTCGGTGTCCAGTAATTGCACGTTGCTGCTTCGAGCGGCAGTGGAGAGACAACCCATTGCGGTCGCCATCACTTCAAACGGCGGATTCGGAGAGTACAGTGGCGGGTTCTACACGTGTCCAAACAACGGTGAGATGGCGTCGAAAAACGACCTGAACCACGCACTGCTTCTTGTTGGCTACGGCACCGATAGCACGTACGGTGATTACTGGATCCTCAAGAACTCGTACGGCAGCTCGTGGGGTGACAATGGGTTCATGAAGCTTGTGGCAGATGCGAAGATCAATTGCGGTTTGAATGTCTTCCCTGTTATTCCGACGGGTGCCAGGGCAGGCGCTCAGGCAAGCACTGTGATTGATAGCGGTGGAGACAAGATCTTTGTAGGGTTGAGTGAGTCAGCGTGGATCGCTGTCGCCGCTGCGGCTACCGCTTTCACACTGATCACGACAGCGATTGGCGTGGGAGTGTCGAACCGGAAATTGAAACTTCTCCGCCAGCAACACTCGGCCATGTACACAGCAGTCTGCACGCCTACGAACGGCGGCTAGACTGGGAGCTAGGCCGTACGATGTGGTGTTTAATGGGAGTGCAATGCATTATGAACGAGCGCTAGTCGCCGCGTAAAGAGCTGGTGTTTGTCGTTTCTTCCATCGAAGTTGTTCCGTCCATGAGCGAGCAGACCAGAGCAACTCGGACGAGCTCCCACGCATCTGAAATCGGTAGCAGGCATTTCTCTGGCTGCTAAACAGAGACAGCCGTTACTCGAACCCCGAAACGGCTCGACGGACTGGACTTTGCTGGCCGCAAAAGCATCGCAGGCATGCGATGCTTTTCACCTCGACAAAGGTGGCTCACCTCACCCAATCTTCGACAATCGGGGATCGGATAATGGGACACCATGTCCGTCGTGGCATGTGGTTTGAACTTGACGTTTGTATTGTTGACCGCCGCGGTGCAATCGCACGAAGGTCGTCCAGGACGCCAGGAAGGCTCTTTCGACTGTCAGTCGCAGTCTTCAACTAGTCTCCCGTCTAGTACTAACAACAACAAGTCGACAGGAGGTTGACTGACGATCAGGATGATAACGACAGCGACGAGGTCTTCCGTATGGTCGAAATGGTTCGTTTTCGTGACCGTCGCTGCAATTCCGTCCGTGACGATTCAAGCGCTGGACAACCAGTTGACGTTCGGTACCCTCCAGAGCTGTGACGACGTGCAGTGTCGATGGACCGATCGAGATGGCGTTGCAGTGACTTCGGACGTGATGGTGACTCACTTTCTGCAAGACGAAAGGATCCACGAAGGGCCGAGCGCGTATCGACGCCGGATGGAAGAGCACGTGGAGTATCTGGAAACCGTGCGCAAGCACGCAATGAAGCACAATTGGGCCTTTTCGTACGCTATGGGCGTCAATAGTCGACACTTGTACCATGAAGGCGACCGGAGCTTGTCGCCTGTTGACTTTGTCCAGCAGGAACATGAAGCTGCTCAGCGGCAACAGCAGCGGCGACTGACGGAACGTCCGCAACGTTTTGCCACTTCGACGCCCGAATATCGTGAGACGTTGAATTGGTGTTCACCTGATAACTCTCGTCACGAAAGTATCTGCACGGATGTCAAGAGTCAGAACCAATGTGGGAGCTGCTGGGCTTTTGCTGCCGCCGATAGTATCGAGACAGCCGTGGCGGTGAATGCAGGGACAAAGCCGCAGTCGCTCTCACCGCAGCAGTTCTTGGACTGCAGCTCGAGGGTGATGACCGCGACGTTTGACTATTGCTGGGCTGAAGGCGGCGTCGATGGAGCGAGTTGGCTGCAGAGCCAGATGATCTGGGGCTCAAGGAACGATGCGTGTAATGGAGGCATGACCCACGCTGCTTTTGCGGACGCAGCACAGTTGAAGTGGTCGCTGCTGAGTCAGTTGAGCTTGCCTTACAATGAGCTGGAGACGCCGTCCAAAGCATCTTCTGCTGCTGTTGCTGATGTATGCAACAGCTCGTCAACGGACAACGCTGCTGCGAGCATATCGGGTTGGGAACAAGTCGTGGGGCCTTCGTGCAAAGAGAGCAGTGACTCGAGGGAGCTGCTGAAGTTGGCGCTTCAGCGACAGCCAGTTTCCGTCGCTATCAACTCGGGTGGGTCTTTCGACGCGTACAAGGGTGGCATTTACGCTTGTCCCAATGATGGCAGCTTTGCGTCGAGTGCCGAGATCAACCACGCGGTTGTCTTGGTCGGCTACGGGTCCGATGGCACGACGGACTACTGGATCATCAAGAACTCGTACGGGGCAAGCTGGGGCGAGAAGGGCTTTCTGAGACTGGCCATGGACTCGAAGATCAATTGCGGGCTCAGTGTTTTCGCCGTGATGCCCACTGGAGCCACCGTTGGTCCCGCACAGACGACAGTCGATGGCGGGGGCAGGGTCTACTTTGTAGGCATGACTCCGGAAAGCTGGATCATACTCGGCAGTGCAGTTGGCCTGACCACGGGGATCCTCACACTCGTTGGCGCCATTTACGCCAGCCGCCAGCGCAATGCCCTCAAGGAGCCGATGTAGAAGTTATTAGTTGAATACGCAACAAGTCAGTCATACCGAGACGAGTCATCGCAGCAAGTCGATCAGTAGCCGTTAGATCAGTAGCAAGTCAATCACTTGAATCGAGCTCAAGCAAGTCCCAGTCAACCGTCGCCCCTCTCGTTTTTCGCAGGTGGTCGGTCACTCACCTATCTTTAGCTCGAATCCAAGCTCTAACGACGAGCGTTGACACGCACGCTGCAGATCTTTTCCTCTCTATTGGCCAATCAATAGCAGACCACCAGCGATCATGCACGACAAGCTCTTGGATCCCACGCGGTATGTGGACGCACAGGCGTACAAAGCGTACGAGCAGCACAAGGGCCACGAACTCGTGGTATCCGAGTGTGTCGTTGGTCCGCCTTCTCAAGTGTTTGACGCGTGGCTGGAGCAAGTCTGGCTCGCAGGTGGCGTGGAGCTGCATGAAGGTCAAGGTCGAGGCTACGTCGGCCACGTACGTGGCGCCCCATTGGGTATCGAAGAAGAGATCCTCTCAGCTGGATTACCGATTGACGGCCATATCGACAGCAACGATGGACGGCCAAGTCTTGCAGCAGCTGAACGCGACCGGTTCAAGATCCCGTCCATCTGCTACAAGATCCGTAAGTTTGGCCTGTTCCCGATCCAGAACCACCTCGCGTTTGTGCAGTTTGTCGACGTTGCTGCCTCTCCAAAGAGTACACCAGCGACGCTCGTGATCTGGTCCCTAAAGATGGAGCCAAGTGCAATTGGATACCTGCTCTGTTGTGGGGGATTCACCAAGCTCTTGCTCCGCTCGGTATTGCGGACGGCGTTAAAAGAGTTGGCGGCAAGTGCTGCTGCAAAGGCGAATCGCTACTCGGAATAGTCAACGCCGGACAAGAGAAGAAGAAGAAGAAGAAGACCCATTCGTGACATGCTCTATGTATTGACAGTAACTTGCTATGGGAAGCGAATTGACGTCATGTTTGACACGCGCTCTTCGGTGTACGACCGATCCTATCGTGGCGTTGTGACAAGCGACAGGTGTTACTTCAGTCGGGTGTATAGAAAAGACGTTGTTGACAACAGGACGATGTCGTCGTCCATCGTTGACATGTGCTTTTCTGTACCCATTTAGTGAGCTCTCGACGTTGAAGTGGCTGGATCTTCATTTTGACCAATCATCAACCTACGTTCCGCTCATTCCCCAATCTTCCTTCAAGATGGCACATCGGTACGTCGATGCCACCGCGTTCGAAGCGTATACGGATAGCGACGGACAGGAGCTCGTCGTGTCGCAACTGGTGCACGCTTCAGTAGACGAGGCGTATGATGCGTGGATCCGCATGGAGTGGACTGGACGCGGGTTGACGCTGAAGGCTGGAGACGGCCGCGGCCTCGTTGGCCACCGTCGTCTTGTCCCGTTTGGAGTCCAAGAGCGGATTCTCTCGGTGGGACTGCCCGATAAATCGGACCGGATCCCTAGTGTACGCTACTGTATCGAAAAGAGCGGTCCACTGCTGCTGTGTGACCATGTGGCGCTCGTGCAGTTCGTGGCGGATACTTCAGCACCTCCTTTGCAGCCCAAGACGCTCATTCTGTGGAGCTCCAAGCTCACGCCGTCGACCTTTGGCAGTGTCTTGCTCTGTGGCGGATCGATCTCTCGACTCGTGCTGAGGACGATACTCGCGAGCTCGTTGCAAGGCATTGCAGCGTCTTTCCAGCACAAATAAGTCCAGTGTCATGCGAGTAAAGTACAAGAGTTTCGTGATATTTCATGAATGGAAAGCGTCGCGCGTGTGACAATGAACGCGCGGACTAATGGCACAACAGGTGTTGATGATGATGATGATGTGGGACGGGTATAGATAGATAGGGAGGTAAAGACTGTGGTCTTCTCAGTGCCAAATCGCAGGCACGGCTTTCTCAATGATCGAGTTGGACAGCGCTCGAACGTCTTTGTCGCGGCATCCTTCGAACGCACGTAGACGATTGAGACCGTCGTGCTGCAGGAGCGAGTTGCAAAACACCGTGAGCTTGGTCATGTCTCGGTGGTCCACCGACAAGTAAAAGCTCAGCACGTTGTGCAGCACGTGCAACGCTTGCTTCACTTCGTGCAGATCCGGTCCAGTCTCCATCGTCATCAGACTCCTCGCTCGTGTAGCATCATCGTCTGCATCATTAACTGCTGCAGGTGAGGGCGTAATCTGCTGAGACTGTGCTCGAGCAAGCACCGTGAGCTCCTTGACGCAGTCTGCTGGGTGGTCCTGCAACATCTTGAGCTGGTCATCGCTCAGGTCCAGTGTATTGTTCGACGCTCGTCCCGAGCCGCTGCCACGCCCAGTCTTCAAACTCTCCGACGTCGCAGCTGCCTGAGCCTCTTCGTTCGCCTTGACAGCGCCCGCAATTTCCTCTTCGAGCTTCCTCAGCAGCACCCGCCGACGCAACATCTCGGCTCGCTGGATATTGGCTTGTTTGAGCGCGTCACTCTCGCTCTTGCGTCGACGAGCGTTGCGTTCTCGCCGTGCAATGATCTGAGCGGCCATACTGATCCCGTCTCGTGCCATATCAGCTGGTGACGGCCGCAGGTACGAGTGGCGTCGCTGGGCACTGCAAAACTGACGTCGTCCATCGTCGTCGCTCGAGCCAGACTCCATATCCCACGCACCGAGCGACTTGTGCTTGCGCAATCGACTCCTTGCAAACAGCTCGTGCGCCTTCTGCAGCTGCAATTGCCGCTCCGAAGCCGCACGCACAAGAGCCGCGTACTGTTTGTCCAAGTGCTTTTCGTACTCAGGAGCGACGACAAAGTACGAGAGCAGCGCCACCGCCACGACGACGATGCTCAGAAGGAGCACGACGAGCTGCGCTTCCGCGTACCCAGTGGTGGAATTGCTGCTCGCTTCGAGCAAAGTGCGATCGGCTGATGGTGGTGGCGGCATCTTGCAATGACGCCGACGATTGGGAAGTGCGAGTCTGCGGCTGTGTAATGACCAGCTCTGCTTTAAGCGTCCAGAGACGTCCTTCCTTGTCGTCAAAAGTCGCTCGAGATTCGGCGGGACCGTCTGCCAGTCGGTCTGTCTTTTTCTGCCGGGATTCCACCGGACTTCCTGCGTCTTTCCGCGCCCGTTGCCCAGCGTTTCGTCCTTCTGCTTTTCTTTGGCGACTTTGCTGCTGTGTTTCAGTATTGAACCGGAATGCTGTGGATGGTACTTTGGCTCGCTGTATGAATGGACCGAGTGGTGAGGGATTGATCTTTCCACAGGCGTCAAAAGTGAGTTGCTCGCACGTCGTGTGTGCCTTTATCGTACGCATCTGAATGAGGTGCGACGGATCATCCGACTCTCGGGAAGTTCAACTGCAGCCAGTATTTCGATGTCTTGCTGCGGTTTGTTGCGAGTGAGACAGCACGACACGGGAGGTCACGGGGCCCCTGCACTGCGACACGACTGGCGACCATGCGTTCGCCACTCACTTAACATTCTGGTCACGCGAAACGAAACGCTTGAGCGAGAACTGTGGTCATGCTCGAGTGCCAGTTCTGGTCAGTCTGATGATCAGTGGCCACGAAAATGGTTTCAAGCCTGGATGTATCGTTCGCCACTGTGTCGTCCTGTCAACGTGGCGCTTGCGTTATCAGGTGTCGGATGAAACTGGCAACTACGAGACCACGACTTGTCAGCATTGATCTGCTGATAAAACCACGGCCAACGGCTTGTAGCTTTCGGTAGCTCCGATCTTTGGCGCAAAGACGAGCACAACATGTCTGCTTGATCCAGGCACGAGTTCCTCCAACCCCTTGAACACCTTTAGCAACTCACCTTCGATTGCTAGCTGGAAGTTTATAGAAAACAAATAGAGGCACGGCCTCTTCGCCTGAGCACCCACGGTACAGCTAGAATCGAGTGTTGTCGCAGCGAAAGTAAGGCGGAAGCCCGGTGCTCTGAGCCGCATGTGTCATGGACAATCCCGCAAAGGGGTTCACGTCCTACATGATCATCAACCAGTACTCGACCGCCCTGCTTGCAACGTAGCATCGTCAAGCTGATAGTGTCTGTATAGCTGAAACCGGTTCGAGCAACCAAAAAGCGCGTCGAGCGGCCATTCCAGCATTTTCTGCGCAGAGTTACGCCCAGGTCAGCAGAATCGATCGCACTGATTACCATGTCGGCTTCGGACTGCGTTCATCTGCGATCAGGGACTCGATGGTGATGTCAAATGCCTATAACGTCCGGCGAAATGTCGTCCAACGTCACACTTGATTGCACCTGTCCCTTCTCATGAGTTGCAATCCAACAGACCTACAACCGCACAGGTTGTAACCAGCAACCCAAGCGCGCAGTCTTCTGTCGCGTTAGGCCATATCGGCATCAGCGAGGAACAACTGTATGTAGTCGTCGACAAGTACGTTCCCAGTCGTAAGCACAGTTCCAGCGCAACTGATATCCCACATGCACATTCCGGGATCCGATCGCGTACTTCCTTCATCGAGCCCACTACTACATGACCCAAAGAATGGATCTCCTCCGAGATGTGCTACTTTCTTATGGTGAGCGACCACGAACGGGCTTCCTGCCAGAGTCATGACGTCAACGTCAAGTACACGTTGTTCCATATCAAGGCTTAGTAACGAGCTTACAAAAAGCGGTACAAACTTCATTTTTCGGGATCGTCCACCGGACCAGACGTGAGATGACCAGCTGTGCGTCACCGCACCCTCCGCCCGAGCCACGCGTCTTTTCTGCCCGCTTTCGTACTTACTCGAACGTTTGCGCAGGCACCACGCATTTCCCCATAGAAACCCTCGCACAGCCACTTTGATTCGCAGGTACCACAAGTGACGAGATGCTGCGGCGATCTATCGCCCCATTGGCTCGTTGCGTCCTCCCGCGAGCTGCGGCCGCTTTCCCGCCATCTCGTACTTACCCGAAGAGCTTCTCCCGCGCTTTTCGAGCCGCGAAACAGACGGAGCGCCACGTTATTGCTGCGTTAGTGGTCAACCAACCAGGTTGTCTGGCTGAGATCGCCAACCTCTTTGCTGCTCGAGGTGGGTACAGACTGAACGTTGGCAATAATGTATGGGACAATGTACGAAGAATGAACACAATTGACGGTTCTTTTTTCACTTCGATCTGCTGTGTCGATGAAGGGTACAATATTGACAGTCTGGTGGTGGGGCGCACGGAGGTTGAGGAGCTCTCCCGCATGACGGTGGTCATTAATGGCACTGCTCAGAGTGCGATCAATGTATGAACAGCAGAAGTAGAGATTACGAGGTGGAGAAACAAGTGAAATTGAAGTGTGGTCCCTGTTGTGGGTTGGCTTGTTGTAGATGAAGCAGCAGCTGGAGGACGTCGTGTACGTGGCAGTGGTGAATATCCTCAGCGGTGGGAACCAGTCCGAAAAGAGCTTCGTCGAGCGTGACTTGATGCTGGCAAAGGTGTCGACGGCTGGTGCGTGACTGACGTGCAGTATCACTGGAATTTGCTGGAGACTTGAGTCAAGTGTTTTGATGTTGCTGTTCTGCGTGCAGAGGCGGGGTCTCGTGCAGAAGTTGTGGAGCTAGCCAACTTGTTTGAGGCCAAGATCATCGACGTGCGACCGCACCAGGTTATGGTGCAACTGGCTGGAACTCCTAGACGGATCGAGGCCTTTTTGAACCTGCTGAAGCCGCTGGGCATCACGGAGATCCACCGCAGTGGGGTTATTGCAATGGCCCGCAGTACAAGTGTGACTGATAAACTGGGCCATTTGTCGACGTTTGAAGGCGCCACACGCACGCTTTTGGACGAGCTTGACGATGAAGAGGTTGACGTCTCCCGCCTCCCACCTGGCTAAACAGACGGCTATAAAGACGTCGATGTATCGCTCGCTACTTGGCATGAAGGGTTCTGTCTGTCTGGCTTGTAGATGTTCTGGCTAGGAACTCCACTATTGTCAATACAATTGCGTTCGTACATAAATTAAAGCTTGGTCCGTGCCTTGTTGGCTAATGTGTGCATTGCCCATTGAATAATTTGTTGCAATACAGAAAGAATGAGGTTTTATATAGAAATGGTTCTCTGTAGGTTGTGCTGTCGGATTAAATTGCCCCATACTCCGTCGAGATTAGAGGGTTGGCGACACCATCGTTTCAATGGTGATCTGGCCGCGAGGGGGGTGACCGCGATCGTATTTTATAGGGAAAATAAAAAGATGCCCCACGTCTTAGTGTACTCAAGATAACGTGGCACACATACACAGACATCGTGCTTTGCTGAAGGGCACAACCTATTGTAATTACCATTCACAGGCAATAGCTGGTACTTCTGACCCTCTGAAATAGCTAAGCCCTTGATTGCGGTCACGCGGATATTCATCGTGACAGAGTGAACTGATGCTATGCTAGTGTATGAACACTGCATTTCGTCAGTACATACATGCAAAGGGAAAAAGGATGCAAGCTAGGTGCCGTAGAGAAAACTCAGGTTGAAATAGCGGGTGTGTTGTCCTTAAACATCTGAAGCACCACTAATTACTGCGAGTTTACTTTAAGACAGGAAAGCAAGCTCTAAGGCTTGTCCTTAAATATAAGTTATTCAGTCCGGAGGGTTGAATTAAGTTGCGGGTAACTATACTAAAGCAGTCACTGAGCAATGAGTATGGTGATGTTGATGTTTGTATTGAAACAGTACAGTACACTCAAAGAACGCAGTCAGTCTTTACTGCAATCGTACATACACATCTATGCACCCCCCTCATCGGTATGTGGGCATAATTTGAGTGACTTTTTGGCTGATTCTCAATTGTGACACATGCGCGTGATAGAAATACAATCGATCAAAGGCGAATTTGAAGCAATTGCACGACGCTCGTAATGAAACGGGGCACCCTTTGTCTGGGTGCCACAAAACTTCACGTACATTAGTACGCGTAGGGGAAGCTAATCTACTTGAACGACTCGTTCAAGTAAGGGTAAAAAGAGAACTGTATTTAATATAGTTAATCTATCAATATAACTTTAATCTTTATCTAACTATATTAAACTATGTCATCGTATGACGACAACCCGTTCACCACTCATTGCGCGCATCCAGCAGCGATTGGTGGCAATCTATGGTTGATATGTCGAAAATCAACCAATCTTGGAGCAGCGCATGAATATTATCCTAAAAGGGGATAAAGTTCCTTCAATATTATCCATCTCGGATAACATTGGTAGGTTGGTGTCATGCTAGACAATATTTCTATTGACACCGTTTGGTGTCAACTTCATGTAACGGGCTACCCCATTACATCACCCCCCCTTAACAATCAATCACCCGTTGTTTGAATTAGAATTGATTGGGACAGGGTGACCACCGTTAAATCACTCTGGGAAAGGGAGCACTTGTTAATCAAACCCCATTCATTTGCCAATCGAACGCATGGTTTCGAAAACCACGCGAGTTGTTACTTTAGCAGCAAGAAGGGCGACTGCACGCATGCATGCAGCCTTGGAAAGTGCCTCTTACACCTCAGCAGCAGGTGATTCGTCGCCTGTTGTTGTGATTTGTCCACGTGGTGAGTCACCACGTGCGACAGGTACATCCGTTAAGTTTACAGCGGGTACCACGAGTCGTAATCAAAATGAGTCTGAGATAGAGCTCATCTATTCTGGCGAGTCTTATGATGCATTCGACTCGAAGGCGACACCCCACGCCTCCGGATCACCCGGGGCGGACAATGCAAGAGCCAGGTTGACTGGACCTGGTCAACGCGGCGGTATCATGTCCGAGATCTTCGGATCGAGTGATTACTCCGACGAATCTCCACCTCACGCAAGTCCATCCAACGATAGGACGCGCGGGGATGGTGGTGATGCATCTATACGTCACCACGACGAAGAAATTCGAGGGATCGGGGTAACACTGGTGCCAGTGCTCATGCTGGCACCAATCAAGAGGCCATGGACCGAAATGTCCTGTGCACGCTCCCCAAGTGGAGTCTCTGTGGATGCCGCCATCCAGGGAGTTGGACCGGTTGGCCGGCATGACTACCGAACGGGATCAAATCCCGTTGTTCGAGTGCTGGAGGAGCAGTCCACCTGATTCCAGCACGGAGACTATCCGTGCTGAGGAAGAATTCTTCACCGATTCGTTCTTTAAACATCGGTGGTATAATGGTAGCCGTGTTCGAGACGGCAAAGTCTTGGTGCAAGGATGGAATGACCTCATCCACAACATCGAGTGTATTGGCCGTGAGGCCTGGCTCGCCAAATTGATACAGCTCGCGTCGGGTTTGAGAAATGCAACCCAGTCGGGGCGCGATACAAGTTGCACCGGCTTTCAAAAGAGGCAGGATTACCCTGTCTCTCGTGGGGTGATTCGTGTCCAGGTTGCCTGGACAGCTCGAACCGTGCCACCAGGGAGGCCTTCCTCCCTAATGATACCTACTGGAGGGCGCGCATCTCTTCCGATATGGCCGAAGGGATTGACACCTTGCAATCCTTGTACTCGCGCTCAAGGAGGTCATTTTCCGACGGCCCTTCTTCGAACGCAGCGGGGGGTCTCGTCGTACTGCTCGACGAGACCAATGACATCAGCAATCAGCTGGGCACGAGGCTCCCAGCTATCTCACGCCGGTAAATAGCCACGCCAGCGGACGAGGTAACTCGTCCGGACGCCATTCACATCGCGGTGGTTCAAAATACGCTCCACCAGAAAGCGTTGACCACCGCTTGAGTCCACCAAAGGATGTGGTAGCGGCGGGAACACCTGATCCGGCTCGAGGGTCGGATCAGCTTGATGTTCAAGAGCTGAACCGTGCAACGGAACAGTTACAAGATGACCTGGCTCACGAACGGACTCGTCGTTATGGGCTTGAGGATCTTATAAGGATTAATTACAGTTCACTAACGCAAGATCGTTCGGACGATCGTACTGCTTTTTCGTTCGCGCAACTTGAGAACGAACGTCCGACTCTTCTATTCGTGACGAGCTGGCAGTAGCTCGTCGAGACATCGCTGAACTGCGTGAACAGGTCGCTTTGCTAGTCGACCAGAATGGCTAGTTGAAACGGGACCACTCGAAGGTGGTCTCGGCTCTCGACCGCGGAGGTGTTCTTTGCATCTCGAAACGGGCTCGTACTGATAGTACGGGCGGAGACGTCCAACGTAAAACGTAGGATGCATTCGCATCTTACGGGGCAGTTCAATCGTGTATGTGTTGCCCGTTCGGCGCAACACACAAAACGGACCGATGTACTTGGGCAGTAATTTACTGCTGCCCACGTTTGTCACTGCGTGTTTCGGTAAGTTTACTGTAGACAGTAAAACTAAGTCTCCTTCATCAAATGAAAGAACATTTACTCTTCCATGTTTGTCTGCGTTTCTCTTCTATCTGTCTAGTGCATCTGCAACAGAGTCTTGAAAGAAGCGGACAACCGCCTCGCGAGTCAGCAGAAATTCATCTGCTGGTTCATCCTTGTCAACAGCAGTGCGCTTCATGTTACTGCTGATAGAACGTTGTCTTCACCAGTGAGGGTGTCATCGTTCTCACTTTAGCAGTCGTTGGAGATGCTGAATGTACCAGCATCGTCGTCATCATCATCATCGATGTCGATCGCATCGACATCGGCATCCATCACGTCGACACCATTGTCGACGGGTGATGAGCAAGAACCAGATCGGTTTTTGTTCGAGCGAGTCCACCCCCCCCTTAAACTAGAGTCACACTCTAATAAGGCGGGTAAACGTGGATGGCGTAGGCCATTCACGAAGAACAGTGTACGGGTTGTCGACGCATGCACCGAGTTGTTGATGGCGAACTCTGCCATCGGCAAGAACTCACTCCAACTCGTAAACGAGTGGACATACACTCGAAGTATCCATTCGAGGACACAGTTGACGCGTTTCGTCTGAGCATCTGTTTCTGCATGGTCAGAAGTCGACATCGTTAAACGTGTTCCAAGTGAACGGAACACGGATTGCCAGAACTCCGCTGTAAGGCGGGGGTTCCTTTCAGGCACGGGCTCATGGGGTAACCCGTGAAGTCGGAAGAAAGTATCGATGAAGACACAAGCTCAGCCCTGGGATATGAAAGACTTCGATATAGCAACAAGGTTTACCATCCTGATGAACTGATCAACAAACACAAGAATACAAGTATTCTTGTGAATGTCTTTGGGAAACCCGAAGACGAAGTCCATCGATCTGGACTGCCAACACTCTGCCGGAATCGGAAGAGGCTACAAGGGTGACGTTGTCCTCTAACAGGTAATCCTAAGTGGGATGAAGGAATAGGCTTCACCTGCTTTCAAACTTAGCAAGCGCGATTGTATTTGCGCAAAAACTCATACTGGCGGGGCCAGTAGAAGTCACGACTCACCATGAGGCAAGTCTATTCTCTACCGCGATGCCCACTTGTCGGGGCATCGTGACACTCATACATGATGCGCAATAGAAAATCATTATAGGCCGGAACGACGACACGAGGTGTGTCGTCGTTGACTGCTGGATAGTACAGCAGTCCACAACGAACAGAATACCGTTCGTTTGAAGAGAGGTATTGAGACGACAAGCTTTTCAAAGCTTAATTACACAAACTAGATACGTAATCCATCAACCGCAGACAAGACTCATCTTCTGTGTATGCTTTTTGCACGTCATCGAGCAGATTCGACGAAGAAACACTCACTGTAAGTGTTGCTACAATGGGATCACCCCTACTGTTAAGTTGCGCAGTCGGCTCGAATCGGTCCGACGTGAAAGAGCATAAGCGACGACATTAAGTCGTCCTAGTTTAGAATCGACGGAGAAGTTGTACTCCGCGAAGAAAGACAGCCACCTCGCCATTCGTTGCGAGAGGTGTGGACTGTTTACGGCCGTGCGTAACGACGCATGGTCAGTATTAACGCTGAAGGGACTATCTCCTGAGAGATATACCCGAAACTTGGCCGGTGCATATTTCATGGCAAGGAGTTCCTTGTCATGCACCGGATAATTTAGCTCATCTGGTTGCAGCTGACGCGATTGATAACAGACGACGCGCTTAACGCCGTCTGAGTTGTACTGCAATAACGCGCAGCCGATCGCAAAATCGCTGGTGTCACAGAACACATGGAATGGCCTATCCTGGTCTACAAACGACAACACAGGCGATTGTGCCAAGCTTTGATACCTCCAAAGGAGTGCTGACACTCAGCGCTCCATGACCACCTCTCGTTTTTCTTTAGCAGGCGAGAGAGACGTACGGTAATCTTGGCATAGTTGCGCGAGTATTTGTGCAGGTACGCTACCAAGCCAGGGAACTTTCGAAGTCCCTTGACGTCGACTGGCACAGGCCAGTCGCTACTCATCTTGATCTTTTCCGGATCAGGGCGTCACCGTTTTTACCCACGATGCAGCCAAGAATTGGTATCTAGTTCGCTGCGAATATGTACTTCTTAAGGTTCGCGAACAACTAATGCTCACGCATAAGTGTAAGAACCTTCTGGACGTAAATTCTGTGAGCCTCCACGTCCGTCTTTCCATACATAGCCCGGCTATGGACGAAGACATCGTCAAAGCAATTCGGTGCAAAATCTCGCATCAATCGCAACAGGTTCGTGGCACATCTATTAAACTTTGCGGGGGCGTTACTTAGCCCCTGTGTCATCACTAGCCACTCCCAAAGCATACCACTGGGGGTGCTCACTGCTGTGTACGGGATGTCCTGTTTACGCATGAGGATCGGGGGATCTGATAGAATCCATCCATCAGATACATGCACGGAAAGATGGTACTTTTTGACATACCATAAATGATGACGTCCTTTCTTGGTAATCGGAGTCCGAGACGGTACCGTTACAGCGTTTAATTTGTTAAACGCGTGCACTATCCACCACCCTCCTGTGGCCTTTCGCACACAGAAGGTCAGACAGCTGTGTGGGAATGTTGAATCCCACGCATGACCAGCCGCTAAACTATCGGCAAAGAATTTGTCGATCGCTATGACCTGTTCACGAGGCAGTGGCCACTGCTTCATGACACAGTACTTAGAACCAGTTTTTAGTTCGATCTCATGCCGAGTTCCTTTGTCCTTATGCAGCTCGCATGGCACGGATTCAGGAAAAACATCCCTGCATTCTACCAAATTCTTGTACAAAGGATTTGTCTTCACAGACTCCCAAAATTGAGACGTGTATCGCTCAATCCGAGTCTTCTCATCGAGGACACTCTCATCTATTGATGAGCTACTGAGAACCCGTTCGTTCTCAGCAAACACTTGTGCCGACCGAACATCGGCGACGTACTCGTCCTCTGTGATGACTACGCAGATCTACTTGATCTTGTCACTACGCAGATCTCGAAAGAATCGCTTAGATTCTAGCGTTGGCAACTTGACTTCCTCCTAAGCTTACTTCGGGGGTGTAACCAGATTAAGTGTATAAGCGCCTACACTTGATCCTTCATTTACCAAGACATTTACTGACTCGGTGATTTTCTGGGAATACACATCCGCAGGTGGTTGGGGATACACACCCTCAACATAACTCTCTCGGGAGTCATCAATCTCAGGAACGCTGGATTTTTCTTCCATTACTTGTACTATCACGGTCACGTCCTCTTCGATCGACTTTCAGTCGATCGGACTTGCTCTACGATCGACTCTCTGACAGTCGATCTTGCTTCAACGTGTTGTTTATCCTGAACAACACTAGTCTCTCTTCTTGGATGCACCCTTCTTGGTGTGCATCCGCATTCCAGTCCACTCGATCTCTTCGAGTGGTGAACCTTCGGCGCACCCTGTGTCTCTGCACAGGTGCCGGAAGCTGGTTCCACAGTGTAGTGGTCTTCTACAATGTGATCTTGTGCAATCGTACTATCGACCATAGCACAAGTGAGTCCATCGCACTCACTCGTAGTACATCCACACGCTTGTGGACGCTCCAAGACGTTCATCAGATGGACATCCGATGAAAAAACGGCAGGCATCTTCACGGATCGATGCTGCCAGCTAAACCATGGCTGGTACTTTCTAAGCCATGGCAGGCCAAGGATGACATCAAATTTGTCATCCAAATCTAATACGATAAAGTCATCATCGTACTGCTTTCCTTCTAGCGTGTAGTGGATTCCCACTACACGTTTGTTCACTGTTACGGATGCGCCTGTAGCAAGGCACACCGTCATCCTCGTTGGAAGGAACGCTTGCTCAACATAGTTGAGCCTACTGTCCCCTAGCGAATGGCTTCGAATAAAACTGTTCGACGCCCCACGGTCAACTAGGGCGCGAAGTGACATTCCACTTGTCACTTCGATCTTCAAAGTGATGAGAGACTTCTCATCACTAAGGGCAGTAACACAGCGATTGTGTATTGGGAGCAATCTTCGTCAAGAGTCCTGCAAATTCTCTTGACGTTGCTGGATCAGCAGGGTGCTCCGCCCCCACTGACCCTGACCGTCTTTTGACGGTCCGACTTGCTGTCGCGGCTTAGCGACCTGGTCGTGTCTATGCCTCGGACCTTTCCCTGGCCAACGGTGGTCATCACATCCTGTCTTTGGACGTGTTGCAGTGCTCGGGACACTACAATCATGAGCGTAGTGTCCAATCTTCTGACAGCGATGGCATCTTGCCGTTCGCTTGTGACGTAGAGCGAGAGTTCTCGCTCTCGACATAACAGAGGTCTATTGGTTCTGGACCTACTGTTTCCTGCCGTCTCGTCGGACGATAGTTTGACGAGTTAGCCTGAGACTGTCTCAGGCTGAAGTCTTCTTGTTCCGCATACGCTATCGCCTTTTCCAGCGTATGGAAGTCCTCTTGGAACATGTAGGTCTTCACCGGCCCATCCACACAAGGCCATTAATGAACACGTTGATGAGCGTGTGCTCATCAACAGGATTTTCCGTAACGCTACTCGCAAGGTAGAGTAGGTGCTGTGCGTAAGCGTGCACATCACGCTTACCTTGCTAAGCCTCAGGAGTGCAGAGCCTGCTCTGAACTCGGCTCTCGGCGGCTCAAACGTATCTTTGAGACGAGACTTTAAGATCTCCAACGACTCAAACACGTTTGGGTCGTGAAACTTGAGCCCTAAGGCCCAAGTCTTGGCTCGTCTCGTCAAATTTGACAGGGCGAGGGTGACTTGCATCTCGTCACACTCGATGTGATGGGCCCTGATGGCATCGTCTAACTCGACGAACCATCTCAAAAGGGAATCTTCATCGGTTCCCTTGTACTTTGATATACCTATCTTCAAGGTTTCGGGTCGATGCGTGTGAGTCAGCCCGCCCATCGACTGATGAGAGCCTTGCTGCTGTAGCAAGGCGATCTTCTGTCGTTCGACAGCAAGTTCGCCTTGTAGGAACTTGTTAATAGCAGCATGTTGCTGGTCTCTGCTTGGAGCCTTTAACATACCACTGATGGCAGGTTCGCCCATGAGCACACTCATGCGGCCGACTACCTCCAATTCTGATTTACTCAGATGGGAGTAGCCTTCATGTGTGACGGGAAAGCTGTCGTCTTCTACGTCCAACATGTTCATGTTGGACGGACACTAAGTAGGCGTTGGACGGACTGCAAAGTGCTACCAGGTGTAACGGGCACCTTTTATTTGGGATGGCACGAAACTTCACGCACATTAGTACGTGCAGAGGAAGCTGATCTACTTAAACGACTCGTTTAAGTAAGGGTAAAAAGAGAACTGTATTTAATATAGTTAATCTATCAATATAACTTTAATCTTTATCTAACTATATTAAATTATGTCATCGTATGACGACAACCCGCTCACCACTCATTGCGCGCATCCAGCAGCGATTGGTGGCAATCTATGGTTGATATGTCGAAAATCAACCAATCTTGGAGCAGCGCATGAATATTATCCTAAAAGGGGATAAAGTTCCTTCAATATTATCCATCTCGGATAACATTGGTAAACTATTGTCATGCTAGACAATATTCCTATTGACACCGTTTGGTGTCAATTTCATGTAGCGGGCTGTCCCGTTACAATTACTGTTTGGCTTTTAAAGAAGCAAGTGTTATTTATTCAGATTAAATCGTGTATGACACATGTATTTATCCACATCTTCGGCGTTACTTTCTTAAGATTTGATAACCCCTGCTCTTATCAACCATCTTCACCACTGTCATCTTCTTCTTGTACAGTTTGACCTGTTGATGCTGCTCCTATGTTTGTCTAACGCCGCTCGGAGCCGCACGTGACCGTCTTGACCTTATCATCTGATGAGTTCCTCGTTTTTATCGTAAATATCGTCCAGCCCTGTAAACAATCGATATCGTCCAGTCTTCAATCTTCGACAGCTTCCTGGCTTCATTCAACTGATGTCACCCTGGCCTCGATCATCTCACGTATTCCTGGCCTTAATTATCTGACCGCAACCTAGGTCTTGTAAAAGACCAATTTTAGTCATAAAGTCTTTTCCATTAGACAGAAAAGGAGATTAAGCCATTTCTAAAGTTAGACGCCGCTTTAGAATTCCTTTACTCAAAATTTAAACTTTTACCCTTAGCGCGAAAGATCCCCGCAACCCCGCTATTTACGCCGTCCAATTCGCATCCCTGTGACTCAATTCCGTGATAATTGCAGTGGCAGCTTGGCTATCGGTCAATCCCATTTATATCGCGGGATTCGTGGTGCATACGGGTGAGGGTACGAATAGAAAACTGAAATGTGTCACACATAGTATAGACCAATCAGAATTATTGTTTCGTGTGTTTGCCTTACGGGTTAAAATATAAATCTAATCAAAATAGAGTGAATCTATCCAAAAAGGGAGTGAATCTAAGGACTCTTTAAATTAGTCCTTATGTCCACCACACATCATAACCGGTTATAATAACCGGCATGCGACTCGTTGCAGCCGCTTCAATGGATAAACTTGGAATACGGATACTCGTTCGAGTTCTTCACGGGACAGATTCTTGCTACGGAACAAACAGAGCGTTTTCTACGCAATCTTATTCATGGCATCCATAAATAGTCGGTGGACAGTTGCTGTTCCGTGCGTTCCCTTGTTTACATAACGGCTTGATTACGGAGCGTAATAAAAGAGCCTGTTCGAACATTTAACCATCGCCATTGACTTGACCACTGCTATAACTGCTCTTTCTCTCCCTTCCACTCCAGCGTCTGAGTAAAAAAGGATCTACACCTCGATCCGATGAGCGAGACGACGCCACTCGCGGGTGGACAACGCTTGGCCAGTCAGCCGCCGCCACCCACAAGATCCTCACACGGTTTGCTGTCCACCTCGAGTCGTCGTTTTTTGATCCGCTACGGCGTCTCGTGTCTCCTGTTCGTCGCTGTAGGAAATCTCATGGTATCGCTTCACCGCTCACTGCAGACGGAAAATCGCCTTTGTACGGACGGAACAATGGCTGATACCACTCTAGTCGAAGACTCGATCGACTCAAGAGCAGTGAACGCGTCGAGCGAGCACTTTACGGGCTCTTCCGACGAGGTCTTGACGCTTGTTGGCAAACCCAGCACGTACACGGGACGGCTGTTCTCGGGCTATTTGCCACTGGAAAATGGAGGCCAAGCCTTTTACTTTCTGGCCGAGTCGCAGAGTGCCACGTCTCGGACGGACCCAGTGCTGTTGTGGCTCAACGGGGGACCAGGGGCGAGCTCGCTCCTTGGCTGCTTCTCGGAGAACGGGCCGCTGCTGGTCAATGAAGATGGGAAAACTCTCCGAGTGAACAACTTTGCGTGGAACGAGCGAGCCAATCTGTTGTGTGTAGAGTCTCCAGTGGGCGTCGGATTTAGCTACAACATCAGCGGAGTGTACGAAGCTGACGATCTCTCTCAAGCGCAAGACCTATACGACGCATTGCACAAGTTCTTTGGAAAATTTCCTTGGCTCCAAGAAAATGACTTCGTCATCGCTGGGGAAAGCTATGGCGGGGTCTATGTGCCGACGACGGCGTTGGCCATTCTAAAAGGGAACACAGCAGCTACACAATCATCGGAACGTATTAATTTGAAAAAGTATGCGGTGGGCAACGGGGTGAATGAGTACTCGGGATTGGCGACCACCATGTTCGCATACTATCATGGGCTTCTCAGCACGGAAAAGTACCGGAACATCCGATCAGTCTGCTCGAACCTCCATGAATACGAAAAGAGCGCTCTAGTACCAGGTATTGGTCGTGCTAGCCCGGATTGCACAGCTGCTTTAGCGGACGTGATCACGACACTCGTTCATGACCGCATCAACATCTACGACGTATTCGGATCGTGCGCTGGCTCAGTCGAGGAGGATATCCAGCGTCTCGTGAATCGAACCTCAATCCCGCCGACTCCAGGTAAACTTCCGCACCCAGTTGGCAACACGATCGAGATGTGTCTTGATACAAAGCACATTGAAGCGTACTTCAACTTGGTCGAGGTCCGTGATGCACTGCACGCTGACCCAGCACTCGCGTATTGGAGTGGCAACGCACTTACTACTGCCTCACTGGATCTGTTCAGCGTGGTTTTCGGCCTTGATCGTTCGTTGTTTCAGCATTCTCTGACGTTGAAGTACACACTTTCATTCAACTTTGAAGTCACGAAGTTGTGGCGCCAACTACTTGACGCTGGACTGGAGGGTGTGATCTATCACGGTGACGCAGATTTAATGTGCAATGCTATGGGTGGGCTCTGGGCAGTGGAATCGCTGGGTCTGCCCCGCCTGGCTCCTCGCTCGGCTTGGACTTATGCGGAGAAGGACACAAACCAAACGGGTGGCTTTGTGGAGCTGTTCGAGGGGATCAAGTATGTTACCGTGAAGGGAGCAGGGCACCTCGTACCTGCAAGTAAACCTGCGGAGGCGAAGCAGATGCTCGATTTGTTTATCCTGAACGACTTGGTGGTGTAGGCGTGACGCATTTTTCTACGGAAAAGTCAATTATATGCGAACCATTAGCCCGCCACTGGTTTAATTTGACTGCATTCCTCTTGATTCAAACCAGCATTTCAAATAATGTCGCCGCCGAATATAAATCGTAGAATCTGAAGGTACGTTGGCTTAAAATAGCGTGCCGGGCTTGACATGATCAGCGACATCGAGACGCAAAACATGACCACTTCACTGTGCTTCACATAGCGCACAATACCTCGACGCTTCAATACTTGCCACACAATGTCGATTGCGCGTGGCAGGCAGTACAGCATGAGCTCGAAACGGCGCTTGGTGTGCTCAAAGAACAAAGCGCCGCCCGTCGCAACCTGATAGGATTTACATGAATATGTCTGCGTTAGGACCCACAGACTTGCACATAACGCACAGCGAGATCAATGTACTCACTCCAGCAGCCAGCATGGTGGTAGTTTCGTCTCGGTGTAAAGTACTGCGAGCCATGCAAATCACCAACTTCGCCACCGTCTGAACGAGCAAACGCACATTTGTGTTAGTGCACTTATGTGCTAATTCTTGTCGCACCACACTCGAACCTGATACGACGTAAGAAACGCCGAAGAGCACAGTGCTGCGTAGGAGATGCGAGCGGTTGTGCAAGCTGGAGCGCCTCGGAGCTGCTGAAAGCGAAAAATCATAGCGGGAAGAAAATGTACAGGGAGGTAGACCTGCATCGACCTCCCCAAGCCGTTGATCCATTCCTTGGCTGCGTGCGTCACACAGGACTCCCTGCAAGGCAATTCACATGCAACGCACGGTGCACACCGTTACCAAAGTAATTACATGCAGTCACCTGACTTTGCAAGACCGTGATGAGCGTACATGTGATAGTGAGGTTGGCACAGACGAAATGGCAACGGCTTTCCACGGGCGTCTAGCTGACCACGCATACGCTGACGCAAAGTGTAATCCAAGCCATGATGAGTGACAGCGCCAATCCGACAGATCCATTGGTAATAGTTCTGCCAAAGCAAACAACACAGAAATGCGTGCGAAATGTCGTAACGTCAGTCGCATCCATCGACAACAACCACTACAACGACGACGCTATCGACAGCAGCAAAAGAGGGCAAGGAAAAAGCAAAAAAAGACTCGCCTCAGGTAACAAACTCGGGTCCACCACGAAAGCATACATGATGGCCGCATTGCTCATGGCAAAAAGCATCTCCGACGAGTACCGCCACGTCGGCAAGACACCAATGGACGTCAAGTGGCGACACACGACGTCCACCATGCGTACAAACATGTACAGCGACACAGTCTTCCGTCTCGCAGGGGAATCCAGCAACAAGGCCGAGCCAGAGACTGCACCTGCAATAGCCAAATTCACTGCATCTTTCCGTCCACCTCGAGCTGCTCGTGCTGCAAGTTCCGTGATGCGAAACGTCCCCACTAACGTCCCGAAAAAAGCCCCAAATCGGAGCGTATCGCGCCTCAACAAGAGCCTCGCTGCGTCGGCGTAGCCATACTCGAGACTGCTCCACTTGCGTGACGCCAGCAGCACAGCAGTGAACGCTTTGGCTCCGTACGCCAAGACAAAAGCTCGGGCTGCTGCTTGACCCGCGGCTTCAAGATCCTTTGGAAAAAGCTGTTTCCAGTCGGTCGTCACATTGTGGAGCTCTTGGCGGCCGGCGGTCGCATGTCGCAGAATTTCGGTAACCGATTCCGCCTGTCTCTTGTCCCCATCACGACGTCGACGGTCGCGGTCGCTCGAACACACGCGCTGCGGTACGTCCGAGGGCTTATCTTGGCTCTCGTTATGAAGTGCGAGGGCTGCTGCCGTGAGCTCCCGCGCCTCGGGACGTCGCTCGGACGTGAAAAACGCCGAGTACACGCGCTCCATTAGGACCTTAGTGCGCAATAGCGAAGACGACCTTGAGAACGGCTGGGCGCGTGGAAAACCGGTAAAACGAACCGGTTTTGACACGCAAGGCAAGTTTTGGGGTCGATGTAGTTTATGCGTTGTAGAAAATACATGGACCCAGAAAGGGCAGCATCTCTTTGATGGCTGCACTCGAGTGTTGGAAATGGCGTCGTGAAAGCAGTGCTGTTGTGATCTGAGATCCGGTATCGTTTTTTCTGGGCTTACAAAACCATGGGACTGTGTGAAACGCACACGAACTTGCAAGTCCACTACTGTCTTACATCAGTTTCGTACGCTTAGCGTCTTATGGACATGAGGGGCCAATTGACCAAGCAAACGAGTCAATGAACAACACATTTTAGCAACCCTATACGAGATTGCTAAGTACCACTACTGCACACACACAGTTTCAGCCGTAATACACGGCGAAACGGAGCTTTACCACAATTTCAGGCGTTCCCTTTGACGTCCGTGAAAAAACCACTTTTACAATGTACCGATTCCATTGTCAATACCTGCGTCGACGCCTGTCTCAAATCCGTTCGGAGAAAGCGCGTGGAGCCGGCACAGGACACACGGAAAGTCCTGGCAACTTCTCTGGTGCACCCGGCACATCTCTGACCCGATGGTAAATTTGTCGCAAAAGTCGTGACGGCATTTCGGAGCATGCGAGTGATGTAGGCAGCCACTTTCGTGCTGTTCGGAGCTGAACATGCAGCCTTCGTAAGCACACTGTTTGCGGAATTCGTGAAACCCACAGAAGCGGCCGCGTTCCACTATGTTTTCGCATCCAGGCTGCCAGCAAAAAGTCGCTTCGGCATGTGCCAAGCACAGCGACGTGCCGGAGCGAGCGAGTTGCGAACATCCGAGAAAATGACAGGCTATGGTTGGTCGAGAGAAGACTGAGTGTTGAGGCCCAGTAACGCAACTGCTGGGGTTGGTTTCGGGCTCGGACCTCTCGGGTGGGACGCTCGCGTGAAGACGATAGTGACGCTTACAAAAGCGTTGCCGTTGAGCTTGCTTACCACAGCCATTAATTTTGCAGTAGTATTTCTTTGTCCTACCGGATGGTGTCGGATTCATTTGGTTGACTTCTTGTGCAGCGGTCGCTGTCGTCTCTGCCAATGCCCACGATTGTCCCAGCATTTGGACGTTCACGTTCACCTGATCCACTAACATCGAGCCTATCCCGGATGTTCGACAATGCGACGCACATAACCCACCAGAGACGGGTTCTTGCCCACAGTTTGCTGCACGACGACGCAAGGCATTTCCTTCAAATGGTGCCCCGCCACCAGCTGCAATCTTACACGGGTATCCCGATGAACCAGCTAGGGTTTCATGCGTCGGTACCACAACAAATGAAAACAGTCTCTGGCATTCATCACAGTAGTCACAACCATGGCTTTCCCGGTTGCACATTGCGTTCATGCAAGTCGTGCCTCGAGTACTTGCAAGTACTGCTTGTCTTTGTGCACAATCGTCACTCCCCACGACAATTCCTGCAGAAACCCTAGATAAAAATGGGTCACCACTACGTCTTTTTCGACCAGGAATTAGGTTCTGAACTTCGTTTAGATACTCCACAGACGGCTCCATCGCATACGGGAGAACGTCGCAATCTAATTTCTGGCATTCAGTCCGTCCGGCAGATTGGACAGTGCTGTCTTCAGCACCCACTCGCCAACTCGGCCCACCCTTTTCCCTACGTACTATCGCCGCGCCAGAAGTAACCGGTGTCGCACCATTCATTTGCAGGTTCTGCTTCTCGTTATAGTGTGTACTGCACAGTCGATCTCGCTGCGAATTTTTCATGCAGTTTTCCTGCGTGCATCGACGCATATCCTTTTCGATCTTGGCTAAAATGTCTTCAAAACTTTCAGTGGCTCCAGGTTGGTTCGCCAGTCCTTGGGCTTGCTTAATCAAGAGGTTTCCATGGGTCCGGCACAAGTGACGCCGCTGAGAATGCTTTGTACACTCGGGATAGCTGCACATGGTGTACGCACTGTTAAGACGGCGCTTACTGATGTGCAAAGGCAAGCGTCCAGTCGCCATCATTAAGTTTTCATGGCCACGGCAGTATCCTCTGCCTTGATCATTCTTAAAGCACCCGTCTGTTCGACACACGGGTACGTTCTGCGTGCGGGTATTCAACACTTTGTTGAGTGCGTCTTTGCCCAGATTCAGGTGTTTCATACACATAGCAGCATACTCCACAGCCTTGTCCCGACAACCAGGAAACCCACAAGGGGCGACAATCACGTGTCGATTGCAGAAATTCCCAAAGTGCTGGGAAACTCGAGCGCGGTTGGGACAGTCAGGGAACTTGCATCTCATTTTTCTGTGTGTGGGAATTTTCTCGGTTGTCAATGCTGGGTCCCTTGGTTGGCTCTGTTGCGTGTATGCTGCATCTACCACGACACTGGTTGTCGAATCGACTGTTACGGTCGATGGTAACGTCGCTTGCTTGTCCGTTGTAAGAGCAAGTGAAGATGACACATCCGTTGCTGTACTCGAAAGGAGGTCCCTAACATCGTTCACTACCAAAGCTTTTGTCGACCCTGAACTCGCATTGTGGAGTACGTTGACATCAGCACTAGCCATGTTCATCTCCGACACTGCTTCCGACAAGGAGACACGTGTTGCTGCTTCGTTGCCACCTCGAAGCAAACCTGGAACTTCAACACCCACCATCCCTCCCAAATCCACGGTGGTGCTATAACATCCCTGTTTCTTGTAGGTTGGCGGCTCCATCCCCATTGGGGTCTGCCAATCGCGTCCTGGATGCAGCTGCAGCTGGTTGTAACTACGGACGGAAAAGTCTGTCATAGGCACCTGTAAATAGGTCGACGATCGTTCATGGTGACGCTGATAAGGCGCTGAGGTTGTTGCGAACGAGTTTATCAGCGCACGTCGAGGTGCGTCCCCGCTCATGAAGTCGCTATTCTCTCGCTGTCGTCGCTGCATTCTTTGGCCCACAAAAAGGAGGAATCTGCTGACCGACTCGTAGAAAAAACGACCGCAATGCTTTCGACGATCCTGTTCCCGTGAAAACGAGCGATCGAATGGTCAAGACGTCGGTGGAATTCAGTGAGACGAAGTGGTATCACTTCACCCTGCTGAGCTGTGAGTAGCGTGGGAGGTCCTATGGGCGAGATGGGCTCAAGCTATTTAATGTGTGTGACTGGGTTGTTCTTACCGGCACTTATTGGACAAAACCCCTGTTCGTGCGTGAGGCTACGAAGAATCGAGACGGCGATGATGACGATGATGATGGTGATGGTCTTTTCCTACTTTACACGTGAAGGTCGCGTGCAGGTGCGAATTGCAGAGCCGGCTGGTCAAATCGAGCAAAAACGAGTGTGGACACGCCCCTTTACAGACTTCCTCTACTATTGGCGAAACAAACAAACATCGGCCGACGCGAAAAAAAGGAGGCCAGCCGGGCCAGGTGCCGTCGAAAGTCAATGTTGCATCAAGTAGCTGATGCGCGAGGAGGTTCTTTGTCCAAAGACCAGTAGTACTCTACAACGCCGACAAGGGCTTTTGTCAACGCGGTCGAAGGTTCCGTATTTTTTCCGTCGAAACTGGTCGAGGGTAAACTTGCTGTATGAAGGAGGAAATTGACTCGCATATAAACACGCGGCGTCTTTCTTGAAGCTAGCGACAAGGACGGGACACGCACCGACCCTCTGACTTCCGTGAAAACAGCAGGAAACGCGTCAGGTGCATAGACGAGGTTTTTCGAACCTTGCTCAAGTGAACTTCAAGTTGCTATTGCACAGCGCCAGGGGCAAAGTGATCGCATCATTGGAAGCAGCGTCCCGTACGGAGAAAGACTCGCCCCTCTCGCAAATACAGGTCAATCCAGACCGCACGGTCCTGGTCGATGCTTGATAGCCAGCTGGCCTTTTCCTAGCAGTGACTCAAGCGGCAAGTACCTACTGTACGGTCCTGCATGTCACGGGAACAGAAGCTTGGCTGTTCCCAGTTTTGCTTGTAACACCAAAAGTTCAGTCAGTCCGTCACTCAGTGCGTCACGGCCGTACTTAATGGCCGTCCGCTAAGTACGATTCGTACTATTATTGTAGCCATTCAATTGTCAGCAGCTCCACACGAAAACCGATGTCGTCTTTGCGACTATTGCGCTACACAGTGCGTCGCCCGGTGACACGCCCATCGTCTCTTCACTTCCTTGATGCATCTACCAGCAGTACCAGTCGTTCTGTCTGTGCAACGGCGTTCCAACGACTCGCACACGACCATTGTAGCCGTCACCCCGCTGAGTTCCGTGCGCCAGTTGGTGTTTCCTGCTTGAGTACGTCTCCGTATCATGACGACGACGCTCAAAAGACCACGAATGGAGAAGAAAGAGGAGTCCAATCCGATTTGAAGTTGATAGGCAAACATGTGTATCAGGCGCCAATGTCGCGAGCCGTGCGTCTCATGAAAGCCGTGTCCGTCACGAGTTGCACCCTCACGTCTATTGGCATGCCCGTGCTTTGTCTAGTGAGCGAGCAGGACACCTCAGCAATCGGCAAGGTGAGTGATCATGTACGTGCACGATATGGAGAGAGCAGCAGTGAAACTGATGGTTTCTGGGACGGGGCTGTCCGTTGTTTGTTTCGGTCGTTTGTTTGTTTGTTTGTTGCTGTTGAGGGAAGTGGGCCATGTGTGGAACGATCATGATGTTCGGGCTCGGCACGACGTCGTTGTTTCACTACCTGTTCAAGCCGTACGTCATGAAAATGTGGCTAGCAAGCCCGGAGGTGGCTGACAGTTGCTCGACGTCAACGAGCGAGGCGACAGACGATCCGGTGGTAACGGTCGAGACAGTAACTCTGTTTGCTCAATTGACGCAGAACTCGTTCCGACTGTCCGACGTGTCACCGCCGAAGCAGTCGATGCACCCCATGGTGTCGTTTCAGGCTCGTGATCACCACTACTTTATTCACCCTGAGGCATTTGAAGACCGAAACTTGCTGACTAGGCTTGGAGCGGGGAAGCGTGCGTAGAAATTGTCTAGTCTGGTGATCGAAGCTGCTCTCGGCCAGCAGTGTGTTATTGCGCTCATTATCGTTTACATTGATCCCTGCAAGAGGCGCTTATAGTGCGTGCCAGACACCGCATATTCTTCACAACGAACGACAAGGCAGTTCGGTCAGAGGTCTCCATAGACAAACTACTAAGCCGCGAGATCGAGACGCTTTATTTCGCAAAGCCCTCGCACTCATACATACCTACCAAAAAACACAGCACAAAGCTTTGCTTCAAGTTTCGCTATCCGCACCAGCTTTTCCGCCTCTGCAACATCACCTGCCGCCCATGCAATGTTTGCCAGGAGACCTCTTCCAGCACTGCAGCACATGGCAACCCGTGTACGCTCTAATGCGACTGAAAGCTCTTGGAGACCGTTCTAATCGAGACATCAAGTTAATGCGCAAGTCACAGGTATTGCTACGTGCTGCCGTCCACGGTCTGGATGCGGTCACTTTGTTGATAACTTTGTCGTCCCCAAATTATTTTCTGCATATGCGCTGCCTTCGCCATCACACATAACTTTTGTGCGGGCGTCATGACTTGGCTGCAACGAGAGCATCAGCATCCGCGCACATATCGTCATACAGACGCTCAAAGCCCAGTGGCGTGAACGGCGTAAATCCCGCAGCATACGTCCACAAAGACGTGCAGAGTTCATCAGCTTCGCGAGATGGCAAATCCACTTCAACCGTGTCTTGATGCTGCGTCACAATCCGATCGATCGCTTCCCCAATTGTGCTCACATACTTGAATACCTTCTCCACTACCGTCTCATCATTCTGGTTGCGTGACCACTCGGCCATTATCTTCATCTTTTTCAGCACCAGCCGGATCTCCTGTAACTTCTTGTTTGGTTTCCACTTTTCAAAACACGCATCGACCGAGAGCAGCGGCAACGGTCCTACTTCTACAACCGGACCTGATACCACCGAGGTAGACTGTGGGTGAGTTCGCGACTTATGACGGTCACGCCGTCGATGCCCCTTCTTCAGTTTATCATTCTTACTTGAGCTCTCAGTATTATCTTTTCGCTGTCTCTTGCGGGATGAGGTCTGATTTCGAATGTCAACAGAGGATGACCGTCTCTTGTGTCGTAGCACCGTCGGATGAGTCGGTGATACACCGCCAATTTCGCCGTCTTCGGGTTTGTGATCAACCAAGTCAGATTCGGCAGTTGCTTTCGTGGCCACTGCGTTGTGCTGTCGCCCACCATCCACTGTTTGACCATTCGGCATCGCTGAACCATTACTGGATGCAACAGGGTGCCGACTCGCTGTTTTTTCGCCGTTCTGTTGCCGTGCAGCGAATCGTTCCGCTGCACGCACCATTCGACCACATCCAGACGTTGAAGCCGCAGGGACCGATGCGGTCACCCCAGCGATAGATCCACTCTGTATGATTGCGCTAAATTGTGCACCTAATGACTGGCTCGAGTTCGTGCCCCCCGGACCAAAGGAGCTAGCTAGCTGCACGATGCGCGGATCGCCAGCGTCAAAATCGGGCGGTGGCAGTCGCTTTAGTAAGTTCTCGGCTCGCTTCTTCAAGCGCTCGCCTTTCAAAGCTCGTTGGCCCTGAAAATGGAGCAAGTCGTCGTTTAAAATGTCTTCCCAGCCACCGAATCCGTGCACGTAGACACCAAGTAACAGCGCTGCATCCTTACGCTGTGACCAGTCGTAGTCCTTTTCTGCCCAGGTCCAGTTGAGCAAGTCCCGTGTGTTCACGCCCAGAATAGAAAGATCACTTTGTTTCGCGACCAACACGTACGCGCCTTGCGCATTGGCATGTGCGTTGCCCGACGAACATCCGGCGACGCGCAACGCACGCTGAACAGCAATGCGGAGTTTTAAATTTTCGTAAAGGCGCTCGATAATATGTGTTGATCTCGCCTCGACGTCAGCAATTTTAATGTTGTCGTGTGGTGGCCGCGCCTCAACTGCCTCCTTAGCTTTTTGCGCGACTTCATGTGCAAGAGCGTGCAGACGATCGGTAGAAACGTTTGTAATTGTCTGCAAAGTCGCCCGCTCAACGAAGCTCGGCATTTTGTACTCGTCAGCAAAGGTGGTAGCTGTTGGATAAAGGCCCACATCGGTCAGGTCTCCATAGCGCAGCATCGCACGCAGCACTGCACGCACTACCTTGCCGTCCACAGCTGCCTGCGGTGACCTGCTAACACTGCTATTGTATCCATCGCCTCCGGTATCACCTCCATGCTCACTGCTGCTGCTATTTTCAGTAGTCACCGCTGTTGTCGTGGCAGCCATCGGTTTGATCATCGGTTTACTCGTCATTACTAGCACTGGTGGCATGGTCCCGCTTGGAGCAGCCAGCTTGGTCGGCTTCTTAGCACCCGTCCTTTTGCGGCCATTCAGTTTCATCGCCAATCGATCATGGGCCGACACGGGCTTCCTCTTGATAGACAGACGGCCTGCCGTGCCAAACTGACCGATTGGTCCACCTACAGCCATTGGCGCTCCACTGTCTACTGCCGCTTCAGCTTCCGGAGATCGTATGGGTGAACCCCTTGGCGGTGGCGGACTCGACCTCGCACTTAGTGTCCCTGCAGGTTTCTTCCTCTTATCCCGTAAATCTCTCTGGATCTCCTCAATTGTCCGTCGGTCTCGCTTGCGCGTCCCCAGCGGCATCATCGACTCGGTCTCCGACGCTTTAAACCTCGCTGCTGCCCGTGTCGAGTTGACGTTCATCGTTTTGGCAGTAGCTGCCATGCCATGAGCACGAGGGGCGGACAACGAAGGACCACCAGAGGTACCACTGAAACCATCAGCACGGCTGTGACTACCGCCAGCTGGAGCGCCATCTCTGGCTCCAGCAGCGTCCCCCGTCTCCGCTTCCTCGTCCGACTCCGAATCAGAGGACGACGAAGACGACGACGAGCCCGAACCCGAGCTGGAAGATGACGAATCGTCGCCAGCGTTCGCGGGAAGCGCGTCCTTGTCCTCCTCGTGGCTCAGGACGTGCGTGTCCTGCAGGTTCCCGGTCATTTTTGAGTCTGTTCGCGCCTGTTTGAAGCAGAAAGAAATGGCACGTGAACACCACCGAGCAAATGATTCGGCGCCGAGGTGAACGAGGACAACCGCAGGGCCAGACGAGGCCCTTGACGACGCGATACGAGACTTGCTCCGACGTCTTGAGGGCGACGGCGAGCGAGTATTTCTGAGCTCGTCAGTGGCTGTCGATCCGGTTTCGTCTTGTGATTGGTGGAAACTCAGAGCACTTAGTGCTACTTCATCCTGAAGTTCGAGTCGCCAAAAGGTAGAAAGACGGGAAGCGACGGCTGGTCGGTCGGTCTCGGTCAGTCACATGAAAGGTCTCAATTTTCATGGCGTCATTGAGTTTTGCCGCGTTTTAACACACCAGCCGCACCTTCTTCTGCCCCAACTCGCTGTGAAAGGCAAGGAATACGTGCTGTCGATATATTGTGTGCTCCTTTCGATTGTCATACAATAGTTGCGATTCAGTGTCTTGGATCAGCTGTTGGTTCTTTGCCGCCCCATTATTGGTCTTGTTGTTGGCAATAAGAATGAGGATGAGGATAGCGGTCATAAAGTTGACATGTGTGCGTTTCTGTCGCCACAAAATTGGACTTAGATGTGACGCAAGTGCCGTTTCAGACGCTTCGAGACCGAGGGTTTCGTGGCGTGATTTTTGACAAAGACAATACGTTGACGGCGCCGCACGAGTTGCACATTGCGGGGCATCTCAAGTCCTCTGTAGCTGATTGTCGACGAGTTTTTGGAGACGCGAGTGTTGTGATTTTCTCCAACTCGGCTGGGTCATCGGATGACCAGGACGGAGAGGAAGCCAAGGAAATTGAAGCAAGGCTGCATGTTGCTGTGCTGCGTCATAATGAAAAGGTTTTTGAGGGGGAGTCAGTGCTTTGGGACACGTTTCTGCATCCAGGACGGATCACTGATAGTCGTGTGTTTTGCCATCTTAGAAACCCGGAGGCATTGCGTTTGTGAAAAAACACTTTGGTGACGTCGATCCAGCGACACTGGTGATGATTGGCGACCGGTACTCGACGGACGTGCTGTTTGGCAACCTTCATGGTGAGATTTGGTTCAATTGGAACAGACTATTGTGCGTGGCATCTTTTCTCACCGGTTTTTCCACTTGTCGGACGCTGAACAGGCCTTTTGACGATTCGGACAGAGCAATTTACACTGGAGAGTGAGAGTGTTGTAAACAGACAGCTGCAACGCGTCGAAAAAGCAGCTGTGCGCGTGCTGGTGCGTGCTGGAGTCAAGCCGCGCACACATCCACTGTGGCAATGATACGACAATCGTGACCGCTTGTGACGAAGAAGTCGGACTGTCAAGACCCTGCTATATTTCGACCATTTGCTTACTAGATGTCCGGCATCTGCAGACAGGAGTGCGCCAGTCCTTTAGCTCTAAACTTTTACACTCTAAAGCACTAAAGCTGGTCCAGATTTCGTTCATACCGACAGCACTGCTCAAGTTTCTGTCCGTGTGTCTTGCATGTTGAACATCTTACTCCCGACACTTGCGTATCGAGGATCCTCGAACGCCGTCGTCGGCTGTTGTGCTACTATCTTCAGCCTTGTCGAGTGCACGCACTTTATCGACTGCAATGTGCGACTTGAGATGCACTTTGGAACAAGTGTCGTGCAACGATCTGAGCTTTGGTCCCACGACTGTTTTTCGACTTACAAAGCACGAGTTGATTTCGCGTGCTGACTCGGAGACAAGTTGAACAACACCTCACCCAACTTCATCCGACTCGTAAGCGATTAAAAAGACAGCAAGTGTCATGTATTAAGATGATGGACTGACTTTCGTCCTGCTAGCGTGGGGCATGCCACGACACCACGTTCAAGCGTAGTGTTCATGTAGCCCGAACTTTTCATAAATAGGTGCAACGCTCACTTTCCCCTCACATCAAATGAAAGACTTCGACACCCTCTCTTTGTGACGCGATTTCACATGATCGAGCACATCTCGCCGTGGCGTTCACTGCAATACGTCGAGGAGCTGCTGACACTGCTGCTCGGACTCGAAGAGCTGACAAACTCGTTGAGATTGTTCATCGCCACAGCGACGTTGCTCATAAAGTACGGCCGCCAAATCTTGCGGTACATGAACTTCGCAGAGAACGGCAGCATGTCTTTGATACTGAGCTGTTCCGTTTCGCCGCCCCAGATCTTGCTGCGCTCGACAATCCACGGCACGACAACGCGCTTGGCTCGAATAGCGCGAAAGATACGCGGCATAATGTGGCTATGGAACGCGCTCTCGGTGAACGCCGCGCCCATTGCAGCATTCAACGTCGTCTCCTCCATATTCAACGTCGTATGCAGCGTCCGGTTCAGCTGTCGAATCTCCGTCTGCAGCACCTGAAGCCGCAAGAGCCACGACGATGCACTGCACGCGCCACTTACACACAAAGCGCGCTCGAGTTGCTGGATCTGCGCCAGTAGCTGCGAAATGTCCTGGTACACGTCCATAATTTGCTGCTTCGTCGACACGGGCAAGTTCAGCAGCGGCAGCAGCACCGTCACTTTGACGTCGTGCTGGCACTGCAAATACTCGACAAAGTACGTCTTGAACCACACAAAGAACTCGGCCACGTGCGTCTCCAGCGCCAACGTCTCGGCCGCGTCCGGTTTCGCCTGACTCTGCGACTGCTCCAAGAACCGGTCCATCACAAACAGCGCGTGTCGAATGGGCTCGTGGATGCCCAGGAGAAACTTGGCGCTCCACGTCCAGTCCTGCTGCTCCGAGAAGACGTCACTAAAGACGACGCTGCCGTTGTGGGACGACGGCGGCGGGACCGGCGTGCTGTTCATCGTGAGCTGCTGCTCCTGCTTCTTGCCACTGTCTTGTCGCATATTACTACTTGCTGCGTGCTTCCCCGCACTGGGCCGCACGACCTCGGGCGTGTTCACGCGCTGGAGCTGTCCGGGCCAATGGCGGTTCAATACCGACGACCCCAAGCTACTGAGCTCCTCGTCGCTGTCTTCGCAACTGACTTCCGTGATGCGATTGGCGCGACTGCTACGGCCACTGGACGACTGCGGGCGAGTCCCTTGCGACTCGGGCTCGCAAGCCACCGAGTCAACCTCGCTCTGGCTGCGCGAATTAGCAGCAGCGTCGATCACCGTGAGACTGCCGTCGTCCCAGAGGTTCACGCGTGGCACTGTCTTCACGTCGTCATCGTCGTCGTACTCGGCTCGGAAGTCCGACATGGTCGTGACCACGTGCGCCACCTGCGCAATGTCCACGAGCGGACCAGTGGCCACGCGCTTCTTGTACTTCCGAGACGACGTCGAGGTGGACGAGCGACTCGCGCTCTTATTGGAGCGAGCGCGACGGCGCAGCGCCGCGTCCTCTTCGTCACTGGGACCCCAGATGTTGCGGTAGAACTCGCACGGCAGCACTGTCGGGGGCGGCTTGGCGGCGGCTGCCTCGTGCAGGGCGACGCTCTGGTACGACGAGCTCGCGGTGGCGCTGCTGTCGCCGCGTTTGCTGTGGTAGAAGGAGATCGACACGGGCATTGCTGCTGCTGTGGTGGCGGTAGTGGTGTTGTTGATGTTTCGGGTGTTGCTAGAGTGCGTGTGAGTGAGTGTCTTCTGTGCTTCTGTAACGTGTGAGCGTGTGGGTGCTGGAGAGGGCGCACTTTGGACAATGGACAGAGTCAAGTCACGTCGAGTGAGTGTGAGTGAGTGTCGAACTGTGTCGATCAGTGTCTGTCTGTCTGTCTATCAGTCAGTCACTTGGTCACTTTGTCTGTCTATTGGCGTTTCGGAAGCCAATTCACAAGTGGGGAGGTCGAACGACGTGAAACCGAACGGAAGTGCGATTGTGCCGACCGACCGACCGACCGACCAGTGAGTGAGTGAACTAAGCAACAGCAACGGGCGAACAAAAGACGGCAAGTTGCTAGTAGTCGGTTGAGAGGCGGAGCGGTTCGTGGCGTGACGTGACGTGACGTGATGTGACGACGTGACGAGGAGCCCGCCCCTCTTCGCTCTCGACACATGGAAAAAGGAAAGGGAAACGACCGGTTCCGCTCGAAGTTGCCATTGGATGGAAGAACGTGGCCGAAGGCAGTGGGAAAGAAGCTACACGGGCGACTTGCGCACTTGGACTGCCTTTTGTTTCGACCATCGAGTTCGGTCACGGCCGACTGCTTCTTCTATCGCCCATGTGGAGCAAAACATGGTGACCCAGACGGTTGCGCCATGTGCGTGTAACACGGAAACACAGACGTGGCCTAACCTTCATTGCCTCTTTGTGGTCGATGTAACTGCAATGTTGCCGTGCAGATACCCTATGAAAAATGGCACACGTCAACTGCCTCTTTCCTTTTCTACTGTCTCAGCAATGCGACCGCCGACTTTCGCCATATGGTCCCCGGTTTTTGTTTTTTCGGGCAGACTGCAACGTTCGTTTACATGGAGCAATGCAAAAGTGCAACGAACGGTTACCGGTGTCAGCGACACTGGTAGTTAAGTCCCCCGATTGAACGAAAGCGGGTTCGACGTGCGGACGCGAAACCGAAAGGCCTCGACAGTAAACATGGACGCGAGTTTCCCATTTGGCCTCTTTCTTTCGTCTGATCTGGCAACTCTTCCGTTGGGATGCCGACAACCCCGAGCTCGATCATGTTATAGCTTTAGCTTGCTGGTCGAAAGATCGATCGTCTGTGGTTGCTGCCAGCTGGAGACGAGTACGCGCGTCACATGACAGCAGTCTATATTCTACAAGTCGCCCATGGGGTTGACCGCATTACTACAGTACAGTCACACATTGCAGCAAGTCGCCCAAAGTGTTGCGTTTTGCACCTGATAATGCGCAATTGCAGCAGCACCTACAGGGCGGCGTGTCAAAAAGTTGCCCGAAGATGTTATAACAGAAATTTCTGATCTTCGGCAACATTTCAGTGCTGGTGACGACTGTCTGTGGCAAGTGCAACGAGCAAGTGGTAAGTGGCGAATGGATCACAAAGAGAAGTCAGCCGAGTTCTGGCTTTTTTCCCACGGCAACGGAAGACTTGACACTTTTGCCATTGCAGCCAATCACCGTGGCGCATAATGGACTCGCGAGTGCAAGTCAGGATACAGTCTCGTCTATCGTTGCAAGTTGCATTACTTGACCAACTAATCGAGTTCTTTTTCCTTTCTTTTGCTACTCGTCTGTGATGACACCGCTGTCCAAGTCCGTCTCCTCCTTGTGAGGCGACAATCCGTGAGTTCTGTTGCTCGTCGTCGCTGCTCGTGACTTCGTCCGTGATATTTTGCTCACGCGATCCTTCGTCAGCTTCTTGCGCTTCGGCGAGTCGCTGCCATCGACCTTTTGAGCCTTGGTACTACTGCTACTGCTGCTCCTCTTCTTTGTCGCTACCGTCGACGAGTTTTTCGTACTTAAGCTGGACTTGCTTCTTCTTGCTAGTTTCTTTGACGGAGCTGCTGCATTGAGCTTGCACCGGACAGGCACGTGAGTTGGCGTCATTGGCTTTGCCGCGGCTGAGCCGTCACAAGCGCTGCAAACCCATGTCTTCGCCTTGCGAGCTGCTTGACGAGCCGACATGTTGATGCACTTGGGGTGAAACTTCGTGCTGCACGTGGAGCACATTAACGCGAGCGGCGGATCCTCCTCCTCGTTGCTCTCGCAAACACAGACACGCGTCGGTTCCTTCTGCGCAGCTGCGTGAACCTTGCAGTGTAGGGCGTACGTGGAGCTGTCAATCTCCCCGCCGCTTTCCACCGCGCAGCGCAAATGATAGTTATGCCGACACTTGGCGACAATGCAGCCCACTGTGGCACCAAATCGATGACAACCGGTACACTTGAGCTGTCGTCCGCGTTTGATGGCTTTGGGCAGATTCATAATGAGCCCATCGGCCTTCACGTACACCTCTGGCGAGTGCATGGCACAGTTCAAGTGCACGTACACCGTCTCGTTCGACTTGTCGGCCTGTTTGACACGAACTGGAGCTTCGATAAAAGGCCCCTCGAGGGCTGTATCTGTAGTCGTAGTCCCCGCTGAGTCTACGCTTGCACCTGCAGTGCCAGTACGCGCTCCTTCGTCGTCGAGAGGTCGGGATGGCAATCCTTGGCTATCACCACCTCCCATGACGTTGCCGCGGTGGCACAACCCACACACCCTTGCTTTAGGTAGTTTTGCACCAGCTTTCTCCAACGGCGTCGACGATCTCTTTCTCTTCAACGCGCTTGAGCTGACTCTGTTGGCGGACGACGCGCGTTTGCGCTTACCGTCTGACGTTCCCACTTCTTGGACTTCGTATTTATCGAAAGAAAGGGCCTGCGGAGCTTTCAGCTGCTGCAGTGCTGCCGCAGCAGTCAGTGTCGTATCAGCAACACGACGGTTCACCGCTTTCGGTCCAGTAATAGGACTAGCAGTGGCTGGTGACTTTTTCCCGTTCAAATGATTGGCGCAAATCATGAGGTTCTTGGAAAGTCGAATAAACTTCTCTGAAGACATAATGCACTCCGGGTGGAAGGCTTGTGAGCAATGGATGCAGCTCACGACACCGGTTTGATTGTCGTCCTTCTTCTTGCGCTTGGTAGCAGTAGTCGTCCTACTACCCTGCAAGCAGGTATGGCAAAAGTGACTTGGACAACGGAATCGCTTCTTACCCACCCACTCGACGCGCGAGTTCTTGGCGAGACAACCTTTATGGTAAAACCTGCCGCACTTGGCTACTGAACATTGGTTGACACCAAACTCGACGCCCATTTCGCCGACCTGCTTGCAGATTAAGCACATATGACGTCCCTCAGCACAATCTGGGCACAACCACTGCTCGTCATTCGGCTCATTGTCCATACCCACACACTCAAGATGAAACGAGCGATGGCATGGGCCATCACAAAGCAATATTAACCCGCCGTCGCCGCAAAGAGTACACAAATCGTCACTGTCGTTACCGACGCCCACTTGAGGAAAAGCAGCTGTCGACTTTGTGCGCACAGCTCCCATACGTTTTGCGGGACGATGTTTACCGCCTCTCTTTTTCACGGGGGTACCACCGTACGCCTCATCCTCACTGCTTGCGATCCTGCCGCCTGTTGGAGTGCTTCTCCTACGCCGTTTCTTCTTCTTTGGGGTGTCGAACTCCTCGTCTTGGTACATGTTTGCTCGGGACGGAGCTAGACGGCAGCTTCGTACGCGCGATTTTTCTAGTTGTGTCAAGTATTCTTTCACGAGATCAATTTGTTCGTTGGAAAACTCATCATGGTATTTTGAGCTCACGGTGCTCAGCACTTGAATCGCAATATCATATTCGTGTTGGATATCTCGACCACCAACCCGATCATCGTCGGGATTGTGGCTCGAGCTCATCTCGGCAACCAAGCTAGACAAGGCAATATCCAAATTGCCAATGAACTTGATCTTCGACTGACGCGAGTTCATCGCACTGCCATCTTCGAGTTTCAAACTCAGCATTTCCACCGAGACAGCCCCTGGAAGTACCTTCTCCCAGAAATTTGGATCATCCACGGACAACTCGCCTGTGGATCCCTCGGCAACAAACGATGAACGGTCTACCGCCATCCCACCAAGCGACTTACGCTTGTAAGAGCCCGTTGGCGACTTTCGATGCATCGGTGTTGTCAAACCACTCGCATTATCGTCCGCGCCCTTGCTAGCGTTGGAGCCACCACCCACGACCAGAACACGAGCGTTTTCCTTCAGAATAGTCTCAATATCTCGCTCAGCAAACTCTTTGGACGCTGTATCATCGTCTTTCATCAGCGCATACGCCCCGCGCTTGAGCAGCTCTACAAGTTGCTCCGCTGATGGCTTTGTAATCTGCGAGTTCTCATTGAATGACGCTGTACCTAACACGGCGTGCTCAAGACCAAGCTTTCGTGATGCGCGATCGAACATTTCGCTTTCGTACGTGTTCCGTGTCACCAGACGGTAAATCTGCACACTCTTCTTCTGGCCAATGCGGTGGCAACGAGACTGGGCTTGCAAATCGTTCATCGGATTCCAATCGCTGTCAAAAATAATTACTGTATCGGCTGCAATGAGATTAATGCCCACACCGCCAGCTTTCGTACTAAGCAAAAATACAAAAGACTTTGAGTGTGGTCGAGAAAAACGGTCGATCGCGCTCTGACGCATGCTACCACCAGTAGAACCGTCCAAACGTTCATACACAAAGAGTTGGCATCGCAATAGCGCTCGAGCAAGTCGAGCTGCTTCAGAAACTGGCTAAATATCAAAATCTTGTGCCCATCCCGCTTAAGCTTTGGAATCAGTTTGGACACGAGCATCATTTTACCAGAACATTCGATCGTCTTTTCCATCACTTGGGCTGATGTTGGATTGCTGCCAAGTTCGTCCAGCTCCCTCTCTTCAACACCTTTGATAAGGAAAGGGTGGTTGCAGCACTTTCGCAGTTGCAGCTGAATGTTGTTCAGCGTTGGCAAACCGTTTTTCGTACCACGATACAGGAAGCTTTTATTTTTGTCGTAGATGGCTCTATAGTACTGCTTTTGCAGCGTCGTCAATTCGACAGAGATGATCGTCTCTTCCTTTGGCGGAATGCTTTTTTCAACATCCTCCTTCACTCGACGCAGAATGTACGGCGACAGCAGCAGCTGAAGCCGTACAACCTGCTCCTGCGAATGCAGCTTTCCAAAATTCTTGTTAAACTCGTCCAAACTTGCAAACTTGACCGGTTCTAGATAATTCAGCAACACCCAGAGCTCTTGTGTGTTGTTCTGTAATGGTGTTCCCGTCAGCAACACCTTCCGATCCACGTGGAGCACGCGCATCATCTTCAGTACCCGTGATCCAGCACCCTTCAGTCGATGTGCCTCATCAACCACAACTAATCGCCAGTGAATGTGCTCGAACTCTTCAAAATCAGCCAGAATGGTCTCAAACGTAGTCAGCAAAATGTGGAACTTGAAAATGGAATTCCCCAAACCTGGGTAATACCATTCTTGATCTCGAATGACCGCACGCATATCCTTTGCAGTAAATTTAGTAGTGCGGTCACCAATGTCGTGGTAAACGCAGACGTTGAGATCCGTCCAGCTCTCAATTTCACGACGCCAGTGCTGAATCGTAGAAAGCGGTACAACAATTAGATACGGACCACGAATGGACTCTTCTGACTTCATGTGCTCAATCAGTGACACAATCTGGACCGTCTTTCCCAGTCCCATCTCATCTGCCAGTATGCAGGAGCGCTGGGCTTTGATACACGATACCATCCAGTTGAGACCTTCCACTTGATAAGTACGCAGCGTGCGACCGCCTTTGTATGTCGGCGACTGTTCGTAAGGCACGAATTCATTCCCGTCTCCATGCTTACGTGCACCACCAATCTTGCCGTTCGGTCGACCTTTTAAATGAACTGCTCCTCTCTGGAAGCAAGCTCGCAAAATGTTCGTGCGGATCAATACTGTTGTCCACGACTCCCGCATACAAATGTTGCATGGGACCGTTTGGCGCGATGTAGTTGGAATGCTGCAGCAATGTCTTCGTCAAAGCTGATGGTGCCACGCCTGAGCCTGCTACTCCAACTTTGAGCATCCGTTTGTACTTGTTATAACTAAAGTCTGCGAAATTGGAATATTCTGGAGCTGCATCGACCGGAACCATTTCCAAGCGCATCTTTGTAACTTGTTTTGCTTGGCAGTATGGAGGGTACATAAACGCAGGTCGCGGAGAGTGGAAGTGGAAAAGAATTTGGTTGGGGGACGCACTGATTAACCCCACGACGTCTTGAAACGAAAGACCGGCCACCGAGACGTTGTTCACTGCGACCAGCACATCACCGATCGAAATAGCCCCAGACGCCTGCGCAGGACCCATCATACCATTTGCCAGAATTTGGAATCCCAAAACTGATACACTACTGGTACTGCTGATTCCAAGACGCATACCTAGACCAAAAGGGGATCGACCTAGCATGACACAAAACTCCGAAAAGGCTAGAAGCTCATTGAAAGCTGTCGCTGGATATGTCGAGTCGAACCGACATTCGGCACTGACTGGCTCGAGGTCGGTCGGGTATCCAAGCGCAACGTGCTCGACCAGACAGCTAAGAACTTCTCCAACTTCTTCCCCGATTTTCTTCTTGCGACTTCTACTTTCGTCGTCGTCATCGTCACCCTCACTATCAACGGTGAGGATCCCCGGATAAAGAGCAGCCCGATTCAAATATTCATGCTCGGCATCAAAGTCTGCATCATCATCAGATGACACTCCGTCTCCGTCTGAGTAGTCCTCGTCGTCGTCCTCTTTCACAACCATGGGTGCCAGGTGTTGTTTTGTGGTGACATATGCGTTCGTGTAAACGCCACACTGTTTGAGCACGTCTCTGTCGGGCGTGTGATTGTTTAGCAAGCAATGGAAGGCAAACAGTTGTGCCTTCACTTGCTCTGCCATGTGTAAACGTCGATACGAGCTGCTCCCGTAGGCCCCTCCCAACACTTTGATACTACGGCTACAATCTCCTTCGTGGCTAAATCCCAGAGTACAAAAGCGGTCTTTCACACAGCATTTCGCCCCGTTTGTGCTACTTGCTAGCGCGTACTGGTGTCTCTTGGCACAGCAAGGCAACTGACACGTAGTCTCACTGATCTCTTTTGCACTGGGCACACGGCTAAACTTAAAATACCTGTGAATCTGTTCATCGTCACCAATATCTTCGGGGCGTTCCCAAGTTGAGAAGCGGACCGACATGCCAACCCACTTGACCAAGAAAAATGTAGCAGCACGATCTTTCACGCTGATGGGCGCCAAGCTCTTTGTCGCACTGCTACCTTTGAGACTGCGTTTTGACGTCTTCTTGTTTACTTTGCCCTCACCGTCTGCGCGTTCCATGAGAATTCTCGGCGTTTGCACCAATGAGGTGGCTGGTTTCATGTTAGACGAGGAAGCTGTTGTGGTATTCGAAGTCAAAGGCACAGCGACACCAGATGTTTCAGCGGAGGCCCCCGTCCCAATGGTCTTTACTGTGCTGTTAGTGACTTTCTGCTTTGCCTCATTCATTCTCTCACTAAATTTTGCACGTATTCGACAATACCCGCAAAACCACTCCCCGTCTGGTAATTCCGCGATTGCTGGGGTAGCACAGCGCATGTGAACCTCACCATCGCATTGATCGCACAACAGTAGCTCCTCACTATGGTCGTTGCTCCCGCACACGCAACAGCCGACCTGCCAAGGCGCCCACACATCATAAAAACTCTCGGCTTCCGCACGAAACTCTTTGTACAAGCTTAGCTCTTTTTCTGTGGTTCCTGTGGACGAGAGCTTCAGCCAAGCCGTTGGAGAGAGAATCCAATCGTACAGCCACTTTTCAAGGCAGCGTAAAAGCTCATTTGCAGTGCACCAGATGGCAGATCCTTCTGCATTGTACGTCTTGCAGTTGTGGAACACCAGTCGCACATCTGAAGCAAACAAAGACACGGCGGATGGGCCGATATAGTAACTCTCGCGACCGATTCGCGTCAATATCGTCCCCAGGTCGATAGGATTCGGGATGAAGTTAAGATAGTCGGGGACCTCTTCAACATCAACGGGGTGCTCAAAGATATCACCACCCGGTTCTTTCATCAACTTTGTCACAATGCCCAGCATGCGCTCAGGAATCGCGTCAGTCTTATCCATAAAAAAATAGTCTGTCACACGGGGAAACCTCGGCTCGTACCGCAACTGCCGTCGGCGCTTTTCAATCTGTTCATCCAAATGGCTGGCTGGGTCCACTTTGTGGCTCAAGATCCTTTCTACTGTCAGTTTGTTTGCCTCCAGGTCATCGACTTCATCCAGCGGTTGATATCCCTCCCGTCTCAGCTTTCGATCGTACACTTGCACGCGGTGGAACTTTTGATACCCTTCTGGGATAAAGAGATCCACCTCATCAAACGTGAGCCAGTACAGGTGCAAATACGAGCGACCGAGAAACTTGCACAAATATTCCACAAGTCCTGTCGACTCGTTTATGCGTCGCCCGACAATTTGGTCCAATCGTGGGTAGCCAACATCCTATTCACACAAGAGAGTACACACATACAAAAAACAATAACCCGTCAGTGCATCAACACACACACTCACACGCGTACGTCACGTCCACGTCACCAACGTACTGCTCTCAGCTGGCAGTCCAGCTGCTGCGCCCGTTTCTTCTTGTCCGCAAGCAGAACCTCTTCTTCTTCCGACACATCGTCCTCTTGCACATACTTCACCTTCTTCACGCCCGTGCGTCGTTGACGGCGCTTGCCATCGTCCTGACTGTTCTTCGTCAGCTCCTGCTTCTCCGTCTTCTCTGACACCACAGTCACCTCACGCACCGCATTCGTGACGGGACTGGCCTCGGGCTCAAGCGCCTTCGCCTCGTGCTGTATAGACTCAGGCGACCCTGTAATCCCTTGGAGCAGTCCTTCTTGTTTCCTGGCCAACGCAGCGACTGCGACACGCATTAACAATCAGCTCAATCCCCGTCACGTTCTGCTACTCCAGGCCACACATGTCGCAATGCACGCGAGAAAACAAGACGCAAGAGAAGAGACATGGACGACCGAGACGATGATCTCGACCATTCATTTCGCTCTTCATGCAGTTTTGCAGACAGCGTACCGTGCTTCGAAGCGCTTGTGTCCATGGACGCGTTGCGTAAATGCACTAGTGATAGATAGGGTCCAGAGATAGAGAGAGAGAGAGACGGCGGCAGGCGGCCAATGGCTCGCAGTAGTGACGAGTGCGCGCTGCTTTCTTCTCGCTGTTCGTGCTGCGGTCCAAACCCGCGAAATGGGGCGCAGAGTGTTTGTGCGTGTGTGTTTTGTTGGAGGTATCGACGGAACCTGGCGTTTGTATGGTACCAAAGTCCTTGAGTTGATGAGGGGTTTTGATCAAGTACGATGGCAGTGAAACTGCTTTTTAGACGTGGGGTTACCGGCTTACATAAAGTGTTTTTCTGCTGGGCGTTTTGTGTCAGCCTTCAAGCTTTGGCACAAAACGAGAGTGACAGGGTTTTTAATTGGATGAGGAGGACCAATTTCGTTTTTGTTAATACGTCAATGATGATGCAAGCATGCGGCAACGATCTGATCAATCTGGTGACAGCACAGCCGACTCGATTTTTTGTTACCGATTTTGCTGTCGACTTTTGTCGTTGTAAGTGCTGCTGAACTTCAAACAGATTCGTATTTAAAAAACAGAGATTGACAAAGGTATCAGGCGAGGCTAATCCGTGCTTTGAATTTTACTATTCTGTGCTGCAAACGCCGTCAAACGTTTCTACAAACAGCTAATCAGCTTAACAGTCAAATTTATCTGTTTATGCTATATCTAGGAGGTCAGAGGTGCGGAGATCAAAAGTCTTCCATTGCCAGGTAGTGCTTGACCGTCGTGTAACCCACTGACGGCGGTGCATTCCATAGGGGTCAACACGCAAGTTCTGACCGCATGTTGGTGTACCCCTCGTATCCTCATCATGCACCGGATCTTCAGGACAGTTGCCGAACACGAGCGAGACGAGGATCGAAAGGAAATAGCGCTGTAAAGTGACGTCATACAGCCATCGGTAACGGTCCGGGATGACAGCAACAGGCGGGTTGAACCCAGCAAAAAGCAGGAAAATGACGTTAATGAGGACGCCCACAACGGCAACGACTTCGCCGCTGGACAGCGAGTAGACGAGCGGCTGGCCCAGGAGCGTCTGCATGAGCACGGAGAGGGAGATGTTGAGTCAGTAGAGCACAGCCGTGTTGAAGGACCAGATGCCGAGGAGAGGAAAGAGAACAATGGTGAAGAGGAGATTGCTGCCAAAGACGTAGGGGATCTCGACGAACGTGATGCCGAGAAAGTACCAGAGAGTGTCGTACGTCTACGCATCGCACTCGCGGTAGTAGACGGCTCGTTCCCGCATGGTGGAGGATAGACTAGCAACGTAACTCACGTATCCTCGAAACAGTGTTGTCATGAAATGATACCCAAGGCTGATTTCAGCCCTTGATACGTTGTGTAGTCGGCGTTGACAAGCACGAGGCCGAAGGTGATGGCCAGGATAAGTGCGAGCCAACACCAAGTCAAGTTGTACAATGGTGTTCGCCAGTACATTGACTGGAATCGCTGCATGATCAAGTCAGAATTGTATTTAGGAAGTAGCAGCTCGCTTGTGTGCTAAACGCTAGCTTTGGTACACTATCGGGTGTAGGTGCCGTCACGCCACGTGCAGCTAGACGAGTCAGCAACACTTGGTGCTCCAGAGATAGATTTGGAAATGGTGATCTTCCAGTTGGAGATGTTCAACCCGTCCCTAAGGCTCAGCACTGAATCCAGTTAATGGAAGCTCTTGATCTCCGCACCTTCTGACCTTCTACAGATAGCATAATTTAGATAAATGTTAACTATTAAGCTAATTAGCTGCTCGTAAAAACGTTTGACGGCGTTTGCAGTACGGAATAGTAAATTTCAAAGTACGGAATAGTCTCGTCGTTAAGGTATCCTATAACATTCATTTCTTCGTCGGGCAAGTGCTATGTTGCAACGCTGTGTAGTATTTCAAAATAACACGATATTTTCGCCTTTTAATCGGTATGCTTTCAGGACGACCGATACTATCTGCAATACCAGCTATCAAAGCCATGCATCGAAATCATTATCCGGTCGTTTATCAAGCATACTCACGCTTAGCATTCTATGTATTTGCTATACCACATCGCAACCTCACCTCACAGCACCGCCGGTTTGATTTTTGTTGTCGATTATTAGCAGTCGACTTTTGATATTGTAGGTGCTGCTAAACTTCGAAAAGATTCGTGTTGAATAAGTTTCTACAACATTCATTTTCGGTCGATAAATGCTACGCTGCAACACTACGAAAAATTTCACGCAATCGAAAGCGAGTACTTTAGGATAACTCGACATCCTGACCTCGATCGGTAGTTTCAGGATTACTCATACTACCCTGCAATACTAGCTAACCACAGGACGTTAATTTACAAAGCTTCCACGTTCGAAAACCGACGTTAGTTACAAGGAAAATCAATCAGCTGACTACAAATTGGCTTGCTTCAAACGGGCTACATACAAGTCGACTTGAAGAGTATGCGCACTGTAGCTAGCAGTGCTCCATGAAAGTCGATTTCGTATCCTCTCTGAGACCACCACCGAAGAAATCCATCGGTAAATCCGTAGCCTAAATGTAGAGTTTTTCCACCTTCTGCTATGGCGACTTCAGTCGAGTAATATACCCGACGAAGCAGAAGAATCGCAGCAACTTCCTTCCATTCTCTTCATGTCGGGCCGAGCTCGTGCGCTGGCGGGGCACGAAGTCCGAACAACTGAACTCGTTCAGATGAAAAGGCTCTGAACCTCGACAGCGGAGCCATTCTACCATTCGAGATTGCTCTTCGGAACACCGAAACGTGACATGCAATTGTGAATGAAATCCAGAATTTCCAAACAGCTCGTCGAGAACGTACGTGCATTTATCACGGTGCGTGAGCGCGTCGAGTGCCTCTTTTCGTTTTGACCTTGGTTTTGGAGTCCTCCTCAGGGCGTGATACTTCCTTTCGGAAGCAGAATCGTTGGCAGTGACATGCTCCAGTTCCGTCGCCAACGGTGAAACATGGAATTTCCGCTTCGCTCATGAGTACCGCGACCGGGTTGACCCTGTAAGTGGCATTTTTGAACACTTTCTCGTGTTTCAGCTTGAACTTTGGATTCGTCAAATCCACTTCAATACTCCTTGTCGCACGAGATATGCTCGTGTCGTGAATCAAACCACGAGCAATAAGCTCGTGCATGTCCTCCGTCCCAAGATACTCGGGCAATAAATCTCCACCCTCAAGCTTCGACATATCACCGCAAAGAGACACGACGCATTCTCCCATATAGTGCCGAGTTGTCTTGAGCTGGCCTCGGTTGCCAGGATACAACTGCACACCCGTCCGCCAGCGCTTATCGCCCAGGGCAATATGTTTAAGCGCTGTCAGCGCCAATTCTTCGTAAGTCATGGATGACAGTTGAATCTCGATCCACAACGCGCCCGGTCCCTTTGTCTCAACGTTAAACCACGCACCTGCAGGAAGATAAGCAACCGAACCAGGTTTCAGTACATAATCTTGTTGATTAGCAGCCACTTCTTCTCCATGTTCTTTGAAGACGTTCAGATCTTCATCTGGTGTCGCAAGAAACCCCAACGAGGTCCTGTCCACCGTGGCCATCCGGTGAACTTTGGCAATGTGAATCATATCGTCCCAGAGCCAAGACTGTGGGTGAAAGCATCGACGCGGATGCTCTACTTGGCCCATCTTTGTTCTCCAGATTGATCTACCACGAAGCTGGAACACCACAGTCTCGGCTTGATGAAATCGCCAGTCCAGCACAGCTCCTGCAAGAGGGCAGCTCGTCAAAGTGGCAGTGTGTTGGTGCATTGAATACTCAAGCCCTAACTCTTTCGCCAACGGTGCAATGAATTGATCAGCCACACTCCGAGGTGTAGGAAAGCGAAGGCAGGAGCTTTCCAAGCACCGAGCTTTTGCTTTGATACGGGGTCCACCTGGTCCTGTCCAGTAGTACGCCGAACGCCCGGCCATCTTAGGTGCAGTTGCAATATAGGGCCATCCAACTGGTTTACAGCGTCCAGCAATCGGTACACATTTAGGTGCCGCAATCCAGTGACGTCGTCTCCAATCAAGTGCTGAAAACGAGAAACCGGCGCATGTCCTGAAAACGTAGCACTCTGGAACGATCGTTTCAGCTTTGCTGCCAACGCCTTCGTTCCCATGAGATCTACCAGTGCGTAAGCCACACCTGGCTCATCACAACCGGACTCCGTTTTAACGGCCTGCACCGTTGAGGGTGCCGATGGCGACGCCGGTGCCTTGTCTTCGACATCATCGGCTTCATCGAGTTGCGATACCTTTCGTCCAAAGGATCGACACTTCTCAAGATGTATTGCAGCTTCACCTCTCGATGCCGTAACCTGAGCTCCACCAGACTTACAAACCATACCTGAAGGTGCTGGGGATGAAGCGCTGTTCCCATATTGGCGGTCGAGGTGCGTCAACACGACAGGGTTTGCCATACGTTTTCTTTCCAAGCGCGTAAGCTCCGGCGGCTTTGTCTTTACTCGGGGTGACCGGCGCAGAGATCGTGATCGTGTATGTTCCGGCTGAGACGGCGATTTCTTTCTCTTCTTCTTACTTGCATGTGTTGACCATTGAGGTGAATGGGCTGGAGTTGATGTACAAGCAGAGGAAACATGCTCGTCACAAATATCGCTCTTGGCAAAATCACCTTGCAATTCGGAGCTTTCTTTCCGCTTCGAAGTAACCGCAGCTTTGATGGTCTCCAAAGACTCGGACTTGGCCTCGCTCCCAACTAAACGTTCTGTAGAAACCCGCAAAGCTGCCCGTACCATTCGAGATTCCTGTGGCGGCTCTCGACCGTCACTTTGCGCACTATTTCCAAGGTTTTCATATTCACGTACATTGCCCTCACCCGACGAAATCTCGACGGTTTGATCATCTTCGAGCTCATTCTCCGTGGAGTTTACTGTATGGATGAGTACATCTTTCTTCTCAGGCTGCTCATCTTTTGCCACGGCCGTCGACTCTTCGTTTGCGACACCATTCATTTCTTCACAATGAGAGATGCTACCTCTTGGGCGTTGTGTGAACTCCGTCGGTTGCATCTCCTCCCCTTGACCAGATACTTGGCTGCCATCCGACGATATGCAGCTGCTAGTACTTTCACCAAAATCACTCGTAGACTGAGTAGCTGCAGATTCCCGTGTCAATGCAGTTGTACAATCAATTGTAGCCGCCGATGTGGTAACTGCAGCTGCCAAGACTGTTTCGTCCTGATGTGGAAAGTCAGATAATACATGCGCTTCTTCAGGGTCGCCGCACGAGTGCCATTCAAGACACAGTCGTCTTGACGAGCTATTACAGCTTATGCTGTCTACCTTGTACAACTCAGTGGCCGATGTGCCCGAATCGACGGATCGGGTCGAAATGCTGGCACACAGCTCTTGTTTCGCTAATTCTGGTGCGTCACCTGTGCAGTACATTTCCTTTTGTGTGCTATGCTTCTCGCAAGATTCACTGCCACCTGCAAGCGCTTCTACGGTGGACCAAGTGGAGCCGCAATTGGCTTCACTTTCGTCGTCATCGACCGCCATGTAGTCGCGCTTGACTTCGTCTTCGTCGTCATCACTCCTGGGGCTTTCAGCAAGCTCCGGTGTATGGACTGAGGCTGTAAGAATAGGCACGTCTGCCCCCAATCCAGTCGCAGCCATGTTCTCCATCAACTGCATCACTGACCCAGCCAGCTTTTGGGCTGTCCGGCAACTATTCTCTAGCGATAAGCGCGGCAGGGTGATCAATTGCTTAGCTTCTTGGCGTTGCTTAATCAATTTGAAAGTGAGCGAATGGGAGGCGGCGAAGAAGAGTTCATTAATTCCTCCGGGACGAGACAGGACGCGACAGGAAGATTGACTCAAAGAGAGAATCCACATCTGTCGAGACGCTTTAATACCATCTCAGACATTCACACTCAACTACATGCTTTATGATACGACGAGCTATTTCCATGACGGCATCGGTGTCCTACAACTATGGTACCTTTAAGCATTCGAAGTATCTGCACACCTCGTGAACCGCACAAGTTTCTTGATGACAGCCGCAGTAGAAAGCAACGACTGCGTTTGCGGTAACTCGTTCGACTCTCAATCTCGACCCTGGCACGCGAAACAAGGCCGTTCACACTATTTAAAGTAACGATCTCGCTCTCTTCAGTAATGTTCTTTGGTGCTGCTGCAACTAAAGATACGCGGGCCCAACTACGCTCCAGGAATATCGTGAACACGTCAGTCTCAGCAATCGACGATCATTCCCGATTATGAGCCTATGCTACAGTAAGCTGCAACTCGTAGTTTTATAGCTGCATCAGTTACAGTTGGACCGCTGGGGCTGCGAAAACATTCTTGTCTTGGCAGGTGATTCGAGCATAGCAGCACGCATTACCGCTCGGGTGTTCTAAGTGGGTCTTATATTCTTGGCTTTATGTGCAAGATACTACTAGGCTCACATTGCACGCACAACAGCGACTATTTGAGCGGATGAATGAGCAAGTGCGGATGACCTTTTTTAGTGCGAGAAGGTGGTGTTGGCGCAGTGACTACGACCAGGTTTTTCCTTACTGTGGTGACCTACGTAATAGTGGATCTGTTGTAACCTTGCCAGAATTTTTGACATTTGCCGACTCGATTAGCTCGTAAGCGAGATGGATGCTGATGCTGATGGTGGTGGTACGGATCTCGTCAGCGTAACGGGGTAGCCCGTTACATGAAGTTGACATCAAACGGTGTCAATAGGAATATTGTGTAGCATGACAATATCCTACCAATATTATCCGAGATAGTTATTTTTGAAGGAGTATTATTCCCTTTAGATAATATTCATGCGCTGCTCCAAGGTTGGTTGATATAAGACATGTCAACCGTACATTGCCACCAAACGCTGCTAGACGCGCGCAATGAGTGGTGAGCAGGTTGTCGTCATACGACGACGTAGTTTAATATAGTTCGATAAAGATTAAAGTTACATTGATAGCTTAACTATATTAAACACAGTTCTCTTTTTACCTTTACTTAAACGAGTCGTTCAAGTAGTTTAGCTTCCTCTGCACGTACTAGTGTACGTGAAGTTTCGTGGCACCCCAAACAAAGGTTGCCCCGTTACACCTGGTAGCACTTCGTAGTTCGTTGGACGACTACTTAGTGTCCGTCCAACATGAACATGTTGGACGTAGAAGACGACAGATTTCACGTCACACGTGAAGGCTACTCCCATCTGAGTGACTCAGAATGGGAGGTAGTCAGCCGCGTGAGTGTGCTCATGGGCGAACCCGCCATCAGTGGTATGTTGGAGTCTCTAAGCAGAGATCAGCAACATGCTGCTATCAACAAGTTCCTACGAGGGGAACTTGCCGTCGAAAGACAGAGAGATAGCCTTTCTGCATCAGCAAGGCTCTCATCAGTAGATGGGCGGGCCGACGCACATGCGTCGACCCGAAACGTTGAAGATTGATATCTCAAGGTACAAGGGAACCGACGAAGACTTCCTGTTGAGATGGTTCATGGAGTTAGACGACGCCATCAGGGCCCGTCACATCGAGGGTGACGAGATGCAAGTCACCTTCGCCCTGTCAAATTTGACGGGACGAGCAAAGAATTGGGCCTTAGGGCTCAAGATTCACGACCCAAACGTGTTTGAGTCGTTGCAGATATTGAAGTCTCGGCTCAAAGAGACGTTTGAGCCTCAGAGCACGCTCTGCACTCTTGAGGCTAAAGCAAGGAAAGCGTGACGTGCACGCTTACGCACAACACCTGCTCTACCTTGCGAGTAGCATCACGGATTACTCTGTTGAAGAGCACACGCTCATCAACGTGTTCATCTACGGCCTTGTAGATGGGCTGGTGAATACCTAAATGTTCCGAGTGGACTTTCATACTCTGGAAAAGGCGATAGCGTATGCGGAACAAGAAGACTTCATCCTGAGACAGTCTCAGGCTAACTCGTCAAACTATCGTCCGACGAGACGACAGGAAACTAGGTCCAGAACCAATGGACCTCTGTTACATCGAGAGCGAGAACTCTCGCTCTCTGAGTCACAAGCGAACGGCAAGATGCCACCGTTTTAAGAAGATTGGACACTATGCTCATGAGCGTAGTGTTCCAAGCACCACAACACGACCAAAGAAAGGACGTGATGACCACCGTTGGCCAAGTATAGGTCCAAGGCGTGGGTCCGACCATGTGGCTGAGCCGCGACGGCAAGTCGGACCATCAAAAAACGGTCAGGGTCAGTAGGGGCGGAGCACCCTGCGGATCCAGCAACATCAAGAGAATCTGCAGGATTCTTGAAGAAGATTGCCCCCAACACACAGTCGCTGCGTGTTTCTGCCCCTAGTGATGATATGTCCCTCATCAATTTGAAGATCGAAGTGACGAGTGGAACGTCACTTCGCGCCCTAGTTGACTGTGGGGAGTCAAACAGTTTTATCCGACGCCAGTCTCGAAGGGATAGTAGGCTTGACTATGTTGAGCGAGAGTTCCCTCCAACGAGTATTACGGTGTGCCTTGCTACAGGCGCGTCCGTAACAGTGAACAAACGTGTAGTGGGAATACACTACACGCTAGAAAGAAAGCAGTACGATGTTGACTTAATCGTACTAGGTTTGGATGACAAATTTGATGTTATCCTTGTTCTGCCATGGCTTAGAAAATACCATCCATGGATCAGCTGGCAGCATCGACCCGTGAAGTTGCCTGTCGTTTACTCATCGTATGGCCATCTGATAAACGTCTTGGAGCGTCCAAAAGCGTGTGATTGTACTACGAGTGAGTGCGATGGTCTCACTTGTTGTACGGTCGTTAGTATGACTGCACAAGATCACAGTGTAGAAGGCCACTACACTGTGGAATCAGCTTCCGGAACTTGTGTAGAGACACAGGCTGCGCCGAAGGTTCACCACTCGAAGAGATCGAGTGGACTGGAACGCGGATGCACACCAAGAAGGGTGCATTCAAGAATAGAGGTCAGTGTTGTTCAGGATGAACAACACGTTGAAGCGAGATCGACTATCAGAGAGTCGATCGTAGAGCAAGCCCGATCGACTGAAAGAGAGTCGATCGAAGAGGACGAGACCGTGATAAGACACGTTACGAAAGAACGTTCCAGCATTCCTGAGATCAATAACTCCCGAGAGAGTTATGTTGAGGGTATGGATCCCTAACCACCTGCGGATGTGTTTTTCCAGGAAATCACCGAGTCAGTGAATGTCTTGATGAATAACGGATCAAGTGTAGGCGCTTATACACTTGATCTGGTTACGCTCCCGAAGTCAGCTTCGGAGGTAGTCAATTTGCCAACGCTAGAATCTAAAAGATTCTTGCGAGATCTGCGTAGTGACAAGATCAAGCAGATCTGTTTACTCGTCACAGAGGACGAGTACGCCGCCGATATTCGGTCGGCACAAGTGTTTGCTGAGAACGAACGGGTTCTCAGTAGCTCATCGATGGACGAGAGTGCCCTCAAAGAGAAGACTCGGATTGATCGATACACGTCTCAATTTTGGGAGTCTCTAAAGACAAATCCTTTGTATAAGGATTTGGTAGAATGCAGGGATGTTTTTCCTGAATCCGTGCCATGCGAGCTGCATAAGGACAAAGGAACTCGGAATGAGATCGAACTAAAAACTGGTTCTAAGTACTGTGTCATGAAGCAGTGGCCACTGCCTCGTGAACAGGTCATAGCGATCGACAAATTCTTTGCCGATAGTTTAGCGGCTGGTCATGCGTGGGATTCAACATCCCCACACAGCTGTCTGACCTTCTGTGTGCGAAAGGCCACAGGAGGGTGGTGGATAGTGCACACGTTTAACAAATTAAACGCTGTAACGGTACCGTCTCAGACTCCGATTACCAAGAAAGGACGTCATCATTGATGGTATGTCAAAAAGTACCATCTTTTCGTGCATGTATCTGATGGATGGATTCTATCAGATCCCCCGATCCTTATGCGTAAACATGACATCCCGTACACAGCAGTGAGCACCCCCAATGGTATGCTCTGGGAGTGGCTAGTGATGACACAGGGGCTAAGTAACGCCCCCGCAACGTTTAACAGATGTATTACGAACCTGTTGCGATTGATGCAAGATTTTGCACCGAATTGCTTTGACGATACCTTTCGTCCATAGCCGGGCTTTGTATGGAAAGACGGACGTGGAGGCTCACAGAATCCACGTCCAGAAGGTTCTTACACTTATGCGTGAGCATTAGTTTTTCGCGAACCTCATGAAGTACATATTCGCAGCGAACTAGATACCAATTCTTGGCTGCATCGTGGGTAAAAAACGTTGTAGGCCCTGATCCGGAAAAGATCAAGATGAGTAGCGACTGGCCTGTGCTAGTCGACGTCAAGGGACTTCGAAAGTTCCCTGGCTTGGTGGCGTACCTCCACAAATACTCGCGCAACTATGCCGAGATTACCGTACATCTCTTTCGCCTGCTAAAGAAAAACGAGAGGTGGTCATGGAGCGCTGAGTGTCAGCACTCCTTTGGAGGTATCAAAGCTTGGCACAATCGCCTGTGTTGGCGATTGTAGACCAAGATAGGCCATTCCATGTGGTCTGTGACGCCAGCGATTTTGCGATCGGCTGCGCGTTAATGCAGTACGAATCAGACGGCGTTGAGCGCGTCGTCTGTTATCAATCGCGCCAGCTGCAAGCAGCTGAGCGAAATTACCTAGTGCATGACAAGGAATTCCTTGCCATGAAATATGAAATGGCTAATTTTCGGGTATATCTGTTTGGAGATAGGCCCTTCATCGTTTATACTGACCATGCGTCATTACACACGGCCTTAAACAGTCCACAATTCTCGCAACGATAGGCCAGGTGGATGTCTTTCTTCGCGGAGTACAACTTCTCCGTCGGGTAAAAACCAGGACGAATCAACGTCGTCGCTGATGCTCTTTCGCGTCGGGCCGACGCGAAAGAGCATCAGCGACGACGTTAATGGGGTGATCCCACTGTCGTGACACTAACAGTGAGTGTTCCGTCGTTGAATCTTCTCGACGACGTGCGAAGAGCATACGCAGAAGATGGGTCTCCTCTAAGGTTAATGGATTACGTATCCAATCCGTGCGGTCAAGCTTTGAAAAGCTATTTGTCTCAATAACGCTCTTCAACCGAGCGGTATTCTGTCCGTGATGGACTGCTGTACTTTACAGCAGTCAACGGCGACACACCTCGTGTCGTCGGTCCGGCTCACCATGATTTGCGATTGCGCTCATGCATGAGTGTCACGGTGCCCTAACAAGTGGGCATCGTGGTAGAGAAAAGACTTACCTTATGGTTAGTCGTGACTTCTACTGGCCCCGCCAGTATGAGTTTGTGTGCAAACACATTCGCGCTTGCAAAGTTTGTCAACGGTTGAAGCCTAGTCCTTCATCCCGCGCACACTTGCACCCTCTCCCGATTCCGGCAGAGCGTTGGCAGTCCGTATCGATGGACTTCGTCTTCGGGTTTCCCAAAGACGTTCACAAGAATACTGATACTCTTGTTTTTGTTGACCGGTTCAGCAAGATAGTTTATCTTGTTGCTGTACTGGAGTCAATCACAGCCCTGGGCTGTGCCGTGTCTTCATCGATACTATCTTCCGACTTCACGGGTCACTCCGTGAACTCGTGTCTGATAAAGACCCCCGCTTTACGGCGGAGTTCTAGAAATCCGTGTTCCGTTCACTCGGAACAAGTTTGACGATGTTGAATTTTGATCATCCAGAAACAGATGGTCAGGTGGAACGCGTCGACCGCGTCCTCGAAGAGATACTTCGAGGGTAAGTCCACCCGTTTACGAGTTGGAGTGAGTTCTTGCCGATCGCGGAATTCGCCATCAACTACTTAGTGCATGCGTCGACAACGCATACACCTTTCTTTGTGAATGGCCTACGCCATAGTGGTGGAGTGAGATTCGCTCATTTACGTAGCGATCCTGACTCCCCACTTGCGCTCGGACGACCGACTAACAGAGAGGGTACTCCGGACCGCGTGTCTTGTCTCGTTCCTTCTCACCTTGTGTACCCGTCATCGGACGGTTGCACTCTTCTAGGCGTCTCGATGTCGATGTCTTGTCTTGACCGAGTTGAGAATAGGTGGGGTGTTGTTGCGTGGTATTTCTTCACACGACCAACGGTTACTGGTGGCACTCTCCTAGAGTTGTCTGACCTTCCTTGCGGTCGCCATGCCCAAATGTGGATACTTGATCTCCCTTGTTCTTCTGACTACCTAATCACCTTGTCCTTCTGATCACTTGAGCCGTCTGAAGACCTTTCCTTGTATGCTTGCCGCGTCCGATCGCGGGCTAACTTGAATGAGTATTCTTGTCCCTAGCCAAGCAATCTAGGGAAAAACCTTGAGTAAACACGCAGACAGTAAACCTTGTACGTCGGGTGGCCACTAGTATTCCAGCCCGGAGGAAGGCTGAGGCGTGTCTCTTGTAGGAAAATCAATACTGTTCGTTGTTAACCTGCTAGGGGCTAAAACTACGGTTACACTTCTCTTTATCTCAGTTCTCTGTTACGTTGCTTGCCGGCCACCACCAATTCCCTGTGCTTGAAATAAACCACCTTAACTTCCAGCATGACCGCTGGTCATCTTGCAGTAACCATGACCACTGGTCGCCCATCGTGACCATGACCACTGGTCACCCATCGTGACAGTGACCACTGTTCACCCATCGTGACCGTGACCACTGGTCACTCACTCATCGTGACCGTGACCACTTGTCACCCATCTTGACCGTGACCACTGGTTACCCAACGTGATCATGACCACTGGTCACCCAACGTGACCATGACCACTGGTTACCCATCGTGACCATGACTACTGGCCACCCATCATGACCGTGACCACTGGTCACTCATCATGATTATGACCACTGGTCTACGAATGACTGACCATGACCGGTCAGTCATTCGTCGAAACCCTAACCAGTGGTCATAATCTGTGACCGCCACTGATGACTTGCAAACCGTCCAGCTTATCGTTGGGGAATTCTGTAGCGGTCAGTCCCAAGGCCGTCATGACCGGTCCCCCTGCACTTACGAGGTGATCAAGGCGATTAATCAGGATTTCCTTTGACCACTTCACCACACTCGTCACCTGCTCTTTTAGTCGGCAGCCGGTGCCGATCTGGCTGAGCACATTTTGATCTGCCTTCCCCTAATCATTGCCGGAAGTGTCGCCTCCATCTCACCCGGCCGTTGAACAACCCGTGCCTTCGGGTTCAACGTCTCCTCAGCTGACTCCGCTGCGGTCGACCACTCCTGCTCCTGATGACGAAGATTACACTGGCCTTGAACCAGACGCGACCGAGCCTGACCAAGCCGGCCCCGCTCCGGCTGACCACCTCGCCGACCCTGTTGGCTTTTCGGTCGGATATGATGAAGCCCCGGCGGACGATGCTTCTTCTGCCGATGCTGATCCTGCCGATGCTGAAGTGGAAAGCGACCCAGTGCGTAACTTGGACACTGCCGAGCCTGACCAAGCCAGCCCCGCTCCGGCTGACCACCTAGCCGACCCTGTTCGCTTTTTGGTCGGATCTGATGACGCCCCGGCGGACGATGCCTCTTCTGCCGATTCTGACGTAGAAGTGACCAAGCGCATGACGTGGACACGACCGAGGTTGACCATTTAGCTAAGGAATGTGTATACTTACGGCGAGCGGTAGCGGAAAGTGAGCAGCGTGTTGCTCCACGGTGCGGATCGGTTTCGATGCGCTTGCTCGCAGCTTTGCACATCGTGGTCGGGAGCTTGACCTACTGAAAACGGAGCGCGCTTCAAGCCACCAAGAGCTTCACCGTTTGCGCTCCTCCCATGCTGCTCATATCGAGGAGCTAGCACTGTTGCGAGCAGAACGGGATCTGCTTACTCGCGACCGCCAGGCTAAGCTCAACCATCTGGTCAACTTCGTTATGGGGCTTCCGCCATCGGTGGGGCTCTCCTATGATAAGCGGCAGAGAGAGCAGTCAGCGGCCTATCCTGCGCCACCCCCGAAAAAACGTGCGCGCGTTACAGTCACCTCGAGTTCGGCTTCTAGGTTCCCATCTGCCGTGGTCGCACCCGTAGACCATGTGACCCAACAGCGATCCGCTTCAATTTATCCGGTCATCCTCGCATTGCGATCGGACCCGATTCGTCTGCCAGCCCTTCCTCTACAATCGCAGGGCCCGCCGGCCCAACTACCCATTCACGATCGGTATCCGCTCATCCCAAGTCCCGGCAGGCGCCTCGCCCTCGCCTCGACGTCCCCAAGATTCCAGCATGTGCGACCAGAAAATCGTCCAAGCCCAAGACCGTGACCACGCCATTGTCTGTAATGACTCGGCGGTCACAGACGCAAACACGAGCTCTTTTCCCCTCCGCATCTCATCCTCGGGATAGCGAAGGCTCCGTAGTATCCGCTGACGAGGTCATGCTCATCGCACTGTCACGTTCACGTTCTTCCGTTCGACGGCGGTCTTCTGCCTCGACCACAAGATCTGCTGATGGGTTGGCTGTCACACCGATCGAGATCGATCCAGCCAGTCGTACACCCGCGACTCGTCCTGCTTCGCCAAGACGTGATACTCGTACTTCATCGGCCTTCTCCCGGTCGCCGCCCAGCGCTGCGTTACCTTCGACCGCAGAGCCACCCAGGGCGTCCGACGAGTCCGATGGGATGGTGAATGTACCAAGCTACGATCATGCCCCAGTAAACAAGCTCTTATCCCCGACCGCCTTCAAGGCTTTACCCCCCGTGCGGTCCTCGCGCGATTAGTGGATACCTGGGTATCGCACTCGTGCAACTTATGACCCTGGCCAGTTTTCGCCGTGGTTATCCTATCGCTTGGGCTTGGTCACTGTAAGTCACCTAGACTTGGACCTCTTGTTCCACCACTACTTCTGGCCCAAGCACTACCTGTTCCCCGTTCCGGACGGTTCCCTGCGTCCGCCAACTGAAGCTCAGTGGTCCCCGCGGCTAGTGACCTCCGCCCAGATTGCTGCTTTGTACAGCCAGAAACCTTGGGACGTCTTGGATAGGCCTTTTGCGCCTGTGTCATACCGCCCGACTGGATGGTTCCAAGCTTTAATGACCGCGTATCGTGAGTTTGAAGCCCATCATCGCCAGGCGTCATGTGAGTCTACTCATGTGCTCCCAATCATCGTGGGTCCAAGTCGCGCGAAAGACCCTGGATTGAGCGTCTTCTATGAAGAAAGGCGTCGTCGGCGTTCCCGGTCCAGCCCCCGGTGGAAGGCTGTGCTCCGGATCGTTTTGGAGGGGTTGGTCGGGGGTCAGTGTGATCTCGACATCCTGTTGGACCCCTTCTTCCTGCATTTTCCAGGACGGTTTGATAAATGTTGGTGGTATCCAGGGTTTGGCTGTCGACAGACCAACATCCCGAATCTGGCCTCAGCCTTACTCCTTGCGGATTCTGCTGACGCCTGGCGCAATCAATATCGGGCAGCCATTGCTGACCACCCAGTCTCGTCCATCGACCGTCTCCGAACCAATTTTGTAGCGCAGTGTAAGGTCGTCTCCAGCATGAGAGTCCATGACGTTTATGTTCACAGTCATGACCACCAATTGCTGCTTATTAAATTCACTTCTGCTGAATTCTGTTCACCATGTTTTTTTTGCTTCTGTGTACACATCTTTGGTTGACCACGCAACTCCTTTACATCTGTCGCTTTCGTAGTCATTCCTCCTCCTTTCACAGACCAGGCGGTCACAGTGTTTTGTGACCGCGGTCACCGCTCTTGGTCATCGTAACTGTATGATCACCATGTTAGTTGACCACATCACTTCTTCACATTCACGGTTCACGTGGATCATCCCTCGTACTTTCACAGACCATACAGTACCCATGCTTCAAGGCCGCGGTCACCGTCCCTGGTCACCCTAACATCTGGATTCTTCCTCTTGTACTTGCATCACTTCGAAACGGTTTTGCCTAGCTCGATCAAGTTCAAACTCTTGAAATAAAGCACCACAATTGAGGTTTGCCTCATTCACCCAAGTCTCATCCTTATGACCCTTCCATCGGACCAAGAACTGTCGGTGTACTCTTCCGTACCGATTCTTTCGTCCTGTTCTCACATCTCGGATACTATCCACCTCGTATTCTCCTTCAACTAGATCGTTTTCCCAGATGTCCTCTGAAAGCAGAGCTTCGTCAAAATCAACACGCTCTTTTTCTTCCACCTCCAGCCGCGCAGCAGGTCGATCAGGTAAAATCCGTACTAGCTTCAGCTTGTATACTTGAACGAGTGGGGATAAGCGGTATAAGATTCCTTTCACCTCCAACCGCACTGCATGTTCCCCGCACTTCTCGATCACCCGAAACGGGCCGTGCCACATGTGAGCCAGCTTCCTGGCATATCCCTCCTCCACTCGATCCAAATATAGACATACTTGGCTACCGCGGCTGATTCCATTTGGTCCTTGATCAACGCTGTGTTGGTCAGCTCGGTCTTGAATGGCGTCATTCAGTCGGTCATTCGTCGTAGCGCGGGCTCATTGATATTGTCCCTAAAGGTGATAGCGCCATTTCCGGGGATCCCAATCACGTATTTTTGTACATCCCAACGGCAAGGTCGCTTCCAGCGTTGATCGCGTATCCCAACCATGGATAAGATAGAATGGGGTATCACCTCGTACTCCGTCATGGGCCGTATTGATGGCGAAGGTCAGGCGTTCAGCTTATTCGTCCCAATTGTGTTGATTCACATCCGTGACATACATCTTTAGTGCACTGGTCAATGTTGGACCATACGTTCAGCTGTACCATTGGCTTGAGGCAGATACGCCATTGTGGCACGTTGTTTCTGACCAGCGATGCGGTTATACGCGCGAAAGAAATCCGACATGAACTCGGGTTCGCGGTTGTGACGAATAGATTAACTTGCCCCAAAAACCCGGAAGACACATTCTTCATACCCTTCCGCGATCGTCTAGGCCGTTCTTATCGAGCTAGCTTTAGCGATCACGTAGCCAGAAAACAAATCCACCCAAAGCAACAGTTCGGTATTCCCTTTAAATGACTTGGGTGACGAGGAGATATGATCCATTGCAATGATCTGGAACGGGTACGTGGCCTATAAATTCCTCAGGGATTCGCCTTGTAGGATCGGACATAATTTCCCGGTTTCGCAGTCTACTCACTTCCCCACATACTGCTGCACGCTTCTAAAGAAGCCTCTACAATGAAAGTGAGATAGCACGCGGTGTTACGTTTGGCCTACCCCTTGGTGACCACCTTCCAAACTTGCATGGTAGTGGTGCAGGACATCATCTTGCTGTAATTCTGGAACCACCAAATGGGCGAGATCCGCGCGGTCACTGGGGTTTGCTGCCGCTCGTGGGCAAAAATTAAACAATCCACCTTCATCCACCACGTAATCTGGGGCAAAAATTTCACTTGCTTTTGATTCCTTAGTATCCAATTCGGTAACATCCCCAACTAGGCAAAGTTTAAGGTTGGCGATTCAACTTTCTTCATCTTGTGCTTGCTTTATGCGCTCCAGTCGCATCTGCTGTATTATTTCCTCTTGCATAATCGTGGGCACTTCACGCCTCCGTATGGCTGATCGTGTGATCGCCGTTATCCTGGCCACTTGATTGTTGGTCGCTGGTACTAATATCTCGTCCAGTCGGTTCATCGCTTGTAAATCATGACAATCCTGAATCGTTAGTCTGACCATGCCTTTTCCAGCTTTAAAGCGGAGCTAGCCAATCTATCGGCACTTTGATCCCAATCGCGCTTAACAAATAAGAGTTCATGAGTAGGCCATGATCGCAGTTGACCTAGGGCCTTGAGACGTTGTAACAGCAGTCCCGGTGCCTTGCAAAAAAATTGCACCCCTCATTTGCCTGATGAACAGGTTGGAATCCCCACAAATGTCCACTCGTCCCCTTGTCTGCTTGGCCAACAGCTCGCAACTCAGCAGCAACCCATGGTACTCTGCTTCGTGCACGGTCTACCCAGTGTCGAATCGCGACGCAGCCGATACTACAGTCCACTCGGGAAGCTTCCATATTATCGCACTGTAGGCACCCCCTTTAATCTTGATTAGGGCTGCTCCATCAAAGCTGACGACAAGAAGCGATTCTTCGCGGCGGACCGTAGGGGGCGGCATACTGATAATCTGTCTCGGTTGCTTCCGGGGCGATATCGCGATCAGCATATCATCTGCATTCTCCCGTGGTGTGATACTTGCGGCAAGAGTGCCAATAATTTGTCCTCCCCTTCGTTGCATCGGTTAATCTCCAGAGTCCAGGTTGACAGTAAATCTGCCCAATTTCCAAGTCTCCCGTTAAGGCCCGATGATTGCATCCACCAGGCCAGAGTTGAATACCGTGTAAGCACCTTAAGGTCCCGAGATACTAGTAGTGTGTAACAAAATCTAATATCCAGAGCAGGGCCAGGACTTCTTTCTCCACCACACCGTAGTTGATTTCATTTAATTTTAACGTTCGACTTGTGAACATAACAGCCAATTCACTCCGTCGTGTTCTTGCAACAAAGCTGCGGATATCGCCCATTTGCTGGCAACTACCACTATCACTGGCCGACGGTCAGGGTCAAAACCGGCACCGGGGTCTGGGCAACTTTTGCTTTCAGCATTGTGAACGCGATCATAGCTTTTTCCCAACGATGACCGCTTGTATGTTCGCCATTAGACCCTTCTGTATTCGGTTGGTCATGACCATCCATCAATGTCACAGCTGCCCACCAGCCTCTTGTGGTGGAGTGGGGTTCGCTCATTTTTTGAGGCGATCCCGACTCTCCACTGGCACCCAGACGACCGACTAACGGAGGGGGTACTCCGATTCCGCTTGCACTTTTTTCCTCCTCACCTTGTGTACCCGTCGGCAGGGCGGGTTGCACTCTTCTAGGTGGACTCGACGAGATGCTAAACGTGACCATTGTATAGATTGATGCTGATCGGGTGGAAAATCTTCACCCGATCGCGTGTTCTGGGTTGGCGCTATCCTAGAGTCGCCGTATTCTGCCCTGATCATCTTGTGCCAAAATGTGCACCTGAGCCGCGAGCCTTTCTCGCCACTTGAGCCGTCTCGCGATCTTGTACTTCAACCGATACGGTTGGCTGCGTCCGATCGCAGTAGAGGTGTGTTGAGAGTCGTAGCACTCCTGGCCAAATAGCTCCAGGAGTGATCGTTCTATCCTTGATGTCGAGATTCTCAGACGTCGGGAGGCCAAAATATCCATCCAGGGAGAAGATCGACACGAATGTGTTTAGAAGCAAATTGAATTCTGTTTAATGCTAACCAATCAGACCCTCACACCTTACCCATATAACTCGGAAAATCAGATGCCACGCGTCGCCTCTACAGATCACCCCTTTTACCTATGTGGCACAGACCTGAGACACCAACCGTGTGATCGCATCAGGGCATGGTCCACGCCAGATCGCGGTCCCTTGATCGCGGTTGCCTGATCGCGGTCCATATCACCGTTCAGAACCGTTCTGACTGGATGAGATACTTCCGTGAATAATCCCAACGGTGCCATCCATGTGATTTGCCCTCGTCCCACGATCCTTCCGCCGGTTCCCACTCCGTACTTAGGCATTTGTTTGAGGTTTTACGACACCGATCTTGATCGACTTTACCACAATCGCCCCCTGCACAAATATCCTGTCTGCAATATCTGGCTCGCTTGTGCACGTTCAGTGACCACTTTTCGTTTTATCCTCCCGTTCCCTTCCATGGTTTCCCCGTTGTCCAAGCCCAGCTTGCCACCTACTACTTGTGCGCCATCTCCCTCGATGATGACGCAATCTGGTCCCGCATCTTCGGCCGGTGTTGACATTTAGCCACGCGATTACCTAACTGGCCTAGATTCCACTAAAGACGCGGTTGAAGGTACCTCGGTGAGCGGAGGTCCTATCGGCCCTGCTTCGGGACTCGATGTTGCTGAGGACCTCGCTTCAAGTACGGAAACGATCGGCTACACGTTGACGCCTAATGTCCTTGACAGTTCTGCTGCAAGTGACGAGCCAATTGAGGTCGGAGAATCTGCTACAACCACTATTCCACAGAGCTTTGCGTTGACGCTTGATGTCGTCGACAATTTTGCTGCAAGTGGCGGCCCTATTGGGGCTATTCCGTTGCCTATCACTCGAGTTGAAACACCTATAGTTGATGTAACGACCGCGGTTGGTATGATCGCTGGACTTTATCAGCGGATCGCATCCCAACAGGATCTTGTGGATAGCTATCGCGATCTGGAGCAAGCGTTGCGGGAGCAAACTCGGAGGGGTGATCGACTAGAACGGGAACTCCGTTCTCTTACCAAGTCGGCCTCTCCTTTTGTGATCTTCGCTCAAACTCGTTGTGACCGCTTTCGTCTGGATTTGAAAAATGCACTCGCTGAAGTCGCCTTGCTTCAGGAGACAATTCGCGCGGGGGATTGCTACGAGCAGCAAGTTAGCGACCTAAAGTCAAAACTTCTGAAAACGACCCGATCACTTCATACGTTTAAAGAACGTCATGACCTCGAGCTGGCTTCCTTGCGACGGCACATAGATGAAGAAAACGCTCGATTTCAAGCCGCACTCTTGGAGGCCAAATCTAAGAGAGCCAGGTACAAGGCAGACTGTATCAAGGCTCAGACCACGGTTCGCCACCTGCATGCTGCTCTTGCCTCTGTATCAGTGGAGCGCAGTCAATATCGGGATAATCTGGCTGAGTGGGAAGCTGAATATGACTGATTGCGCCCCGTGCTCTCCGATCGTGACGATCGGGTGGGTCTGCTTCAAGCTACTATCACAAGTTTGGAGCTAGAGCGCGATCAGGTGTGGTGCGATCGCGACGTTCTTCGAACGAGCATTGCCGTGCTCGTTACCGTCCCCAGTTTACTTTCCTCGTCCCGTCCAGTTAAGACGGTCCCATCTACGAGTGCTCGTGTCAAACGCCCTATTACTTCCGCTCTAACTCCTCCTCCTGCGGACCAAGAGAGCCAGAATCGAGGCTACCTAGCAGTCGGTCGTCAAGATGACACCCAAAACTCATTCTCTGACTGCGTCCGGTATCGTCGCCGAGCCTTTTCCGCCGTGTTAAACCCCGAAGAACAACCCTTCCCGATCTTCCCACAGTTCCACACGATCTCAAGAAAAACTTATGCCCAAGACTCCCGCTCTTCCCGGACCTGGTTTTCGAAAAGGCAAAGGCAGAGCGCGCAATCCGACGCCTGCTCCAGCTAGCTCGGATGATGACGATTCATCGAATGCTGGGCCTCGAACCTTGGCTGCACTCTCCCGATCATGCTCTTCTTCACGGCGTAAAGTCCCGTTGGGTAATCCGACGACTCCGTCTTCTACGTTACCAGAGTTGATCGTAGTGAATACCTCCAGCCCGGATGGGGATCCCCCCGCCTCACCAGTTGACGCTTCCCTAATGCCAATCCCCATGGTTTCCAAGGTCGGCTTGTTTGGCGAATCTTCTAGCAGTTCGGAGGGTCCGATGAGCGTTAAGGAAGACGTCCAAGCCACAGCCAATAATCTGTTGTCTTCGGCCGAGTACAAAGATCTTCCCAAGACTAAGGTGCCCCACGAACAGTGGATACCCGGGTATCATTGTCGCGTACCAAAATCTTCTGTTCAAGTTTCACCTTGATCTGCGCGCCGGGTGAGCTGGATTAGCGTGTTGGAATTGGATTTGGAGTTCTTCTATCGCCATCTCGCCAGGCCCAAGCATTACCCCTTTCCAGCCTCTCCTGCTGTATCGAAAGCACCTCCCATGTCTGAGTGTTCTCCCCACTTGATTTCTTCGGCGCGGGTTGCCGCGCTTTATCGCCAGGAGCCTTGAAAATCTTTGCGCGTGAAGATTGCGCCCATATCTTTCCAGCCCGTTGGGTGGTTCGAGCGGTTGCTGGACCTATACCACTCTTACGAAGAACGCTGTATCCAGACGTTGTGGGAATCAACCCATACCTTGCCCATTTCTTCCGCCGATCGGGTTAAAGATTCTGGGCTGGCGTTATTTTGCCATCTGCGCAAACAGCGGCGATCGCGATCTGGACCTCCTTCGAATACCGTACTCAAGTTCATACTCCATGGAATGGTAGAAGGCCATTACCACTTGGACGTTCTGCTGGACCCGGTTTTCTTGCACCTACCTCGCTTATATGAGATGCAGTTCTGGTACCCAGGGTCGGGGACTGGGAAGACTAACATTCCCAACCTGGCTTCCGCTTTATCGTTGACGAACTCTGCTTAGCCATGGCTTAATCAGTACCGGACTTCGATCGCGAATCACCGAGGCATGTCAATCTCTCGCCTGTCCAGTAAGTTCTTCACCCCGTAGTTTATCGAGTTCAACACATTTCGTATTTCAATTTCCTTTTTCACTGTCTTTAATCTTGATCTCTCTGGAAATTTCTTCTCCTTTTTTTCAGGCCTCTTGGGCCGCAATCGTGCTTCGATCGCTACACATACTTACAAACATAACTTCCTCCTTCAAACACCGCCTCCTGGTGTAGCTTTTCCCACCGTAAGACCATGTGCAACCTCCTTGCACACTTACACACCCCATCCACCTCGATCTGGTCTAGACTCCTGGCTCTTCTTCGTGCGTTTGCATCACTTCGAACCTATTTCGACTTATCCGATCGCGATCAAATTCTTGTAACAGAGCGCCACAATTCAAGTCTGCTTCATCCCCCCATGATGGATCACTATTACCTTTCCATTGAGCCAGAAATAGACGGTGTACTCGTCCGTAATGCGTCTTTCGACCCGATCGGACGTCCACAATCTTTGTCACCTCGAATTCACCATCATCCAACTCGCCTTCCCAGCTATCTTCTGGTAGTAAGGCTTCGTCGAAATCGACTCGATCGGACTCATCTACCTTCGGTTAAATTTGAGGCCGCTCTGGGAACATCTTCACTGGCTTTAGCTTGGACACATGTACTATCGGGAACAACCTATAAAGTGTGCCTGCGATATCCAATTTTACTGCATTATCTCCGCATTTTTCAATTACTTGAAAGGGTCTGTGCCACATATGGGCTAACTTCCGAGCATATCCATCCTTCACGCGATCCAAATACAACCACACTTGTGCCCCTTGATCGATCTCTAGCAGATTTCGGTCGTCAATGTGACGATCCGATCGGTACTGGATAGCGATCTTTAACCGATCGTTCACGATTGCTCTTGCCTGTTGAGACTGACGCTGTATGCTGTTTCTTTATCTTCTTGGACCTCGATCGCGAGGTTTGACAATTCCCATAGGCAATGCCGCTTCCAACGTCGATCAGGGGTCCCAGCCATGGATCAGATAAAATGGTGTCTCTCCGCGGACACGATCTTGTGCGGCATTAATCGCATAGGTTAATTTTTCTGCATATTCATCCCGATATCTCTGGTTTTCGACAGCGACGTACATCTTAATCGATCGCGTTGGAGTTTGAACCATACGTTCTGCGGTTCCGTTCACTTGTGGTCGATGCGCCATTGTGGCTCGTTGCTTCTGTCCCGCGATCTTGTTGAAAGCTCGAAAGAAGTCAGACATAAATCCTGGCTCCCGATCATGAGGGATAATTTCACTCGCACCAAATCTTCGAAATACGCCTTCTTCATAGTTCTCTGCAATCGTCTGTGCAGTTCGGGAAGAACTCGCTTTTGCGATCACGTAACCCGAGAACAGATTGACCCACAACAGCAACTCAGTATCCTCCTTAAACGATCGCGGTAAAGATAGGTTATGATCCATTGCCAAAATTCGGAATGGGTACGTCGCTTGCAAGTTGCCTGGAGATCCACCCCGATCTTGCGGGCGACCTTTGCCGGTTTCACAATCAATACATTCGCCAACATAGCGTTGCACGCTCCGTTACAATCCTCGCCAATGGAAATTCGCCCTGATCCGATGGCATGTACGGCCTACCACTTGGTGCCCACCCTCCAGACTATTATGGTAATGGTGTAGGACGTCTTGTTGCAGCAACTCTGGAATTACCAGACGAATTGACTCTCCACGATATTCGCTCTTTGTTGCCACCCTGGGGCACAAAAATAGCAGTTCACTTTAGTCGACTTCACAGTCTGGTGAGATTAGGGCGCAAATCTTTGCGTCTCAAGCACTCAGCGTGGCTACATTATCGATTAGAAATGTCTTTAAGTCCGATGTCCAACTTTCCTCATTTCGCGCCTGGTTTATACGTTCGATCCGGACTTGTTGTACAATTTATTCTTGTAAAACTGTCTGGGGGAATCGTCTTCGCGTCGTTGATCGCGTGATCGCGGCTACCTTGAATGTGTGGTTAGTCTGTTTTGGTATCAGTAGTTCATTTTACCGATTAAGGGTCACGAGATCGTCTCGTTATTGGTCTGATACTGCGACATTTCCTTTCTTTTGACGTAACGCCTCGCTCGCTAGTCGATCAGCACCCTGGTTCCAGTTCCGTTTCACATGTAGTAATTCGTGTTTTGGCCACGATCGGAGTTTCTCCATTGCCTTATGTTCCAAAAGTTGTAGACCTGGTGCTTTACAGTCGATTTCAACTCGCGTCTGTCTTATTACCAAGTTCGAGTCACCACAAAACATCACCCGACCTCTGATCTGATCGGACAGTGACTCCAGACCCAGCAACAGCCCACGATAGTTATCCTCGTTTACCGTCAAATCTTCCGCAAATTCTGAAGTAGCCACCACGATCGTCCATTCGGGAAACTTCCATATTATTGCGCTGCAAGCGCCACCTTTCTTTTTTACTCTAGCCGATCCATCGAAACTGACCACCAGGACACTTTCATCTACTTCGACTGTGGGTGGTGGCATACTAATGTTTTACGTGGTTGTTTCCTTGGAGCGATCGCGATCAGCACTTCATTTACATCCTTTCGAGGTGTTATACTTGCAGCCAGCGTACCTAGCACTTCGTCTTCGCCTTTTTAGCACCGTCTGGTATCTAACGTCCAGTTCGATAGTAACGCCGCCCATATCCCTAGTCTTCCGTTAAGACCCGACGACTGCAATAGCCAAGCCAACGTCGAGTATCTCGTAAGCACCATGATCTCCAGCGAAACCAACATCGCATAACAAATGTCTAACATTCGGAGGAGGGCTAGCACTTCTTTCTCAATAATTCCGTAATTGACTTCGTTGGATTTCAGCGTGCGACTAGAAAAAATGACAGGCCAATACGTGCCGTCATACTCTTGAAGCAATGCGGCTGATACTGTCCACTTACTGGCGTACACCACAATCACCGGTGCTCGATCTGGATCGAAATGTCTTAAGATCGGTGTTTCAGCAGTTCTGCCCTTTAGCAAGCTAAAAGCCATCACCGCTTCCTTCCATCGACTTCCATTTCCAGAATCTAGATTGCCCCCTGTTTTCCTGTCCAGATCACCCCCTGTTTTTCGGTCCAGATCGTCGCCAGACTCATTTCGCGAATCGTGATCACGATTTAGTTCATTGTTGGAAATCATTATCCGAACTTCTTTATCTTGGCTGATCTCGTGGAAATCTGCTTTCCGTGGCTCGTACGAGCCACGGAAAGCAGATATAGCGAAGTCTTGGATAAAACGACTGTAGTAATTTAGGCTTCCCAAGAATGATTGAATTGATCGCAGAGTTCGAGGGAAGGTAATATCCGCAATTGAGTTTAAATCCTTGAGGTGGGCTTCCAACTATTTGTGTGAAACTTGGTGGCCTAGATAGTCGACCTTACAGCGCCCCCAGAAACTCTTTGCCACACTGATCGATAGGTTCCATTAGTCACACATCTCTAGCAATCGTTCCACCTTTTCATACAGAAATGACCAGGATTCAGCAGGTATTAAGATGTCATCGATATAGGACCTTCGGCCTAAAACTGATGGTCTTGAATCTGTGTCCGGCACTCCGTCAGTGAACACATCGGTTGGTGTCGAAGATGGTACTGCATGCTAGTTAGGTATTGGGTTGATCTTAAGATAACCATGTAGTGCATTGTCGATAAGTCGTAGGTATATCTGGGGAGCGTTTTTCAGCCCAAAAGGAATTTGCAACCAATCAAACAAACCCGACGGCGTGATGAATGCAGAAATAGCTCTTGCTCGTTCCTTCATTTCCACTACCCAAAAACCACTCGCCATATCTAGCGAACAATACCACATTGATGGATCCAAGTCTTGTGATAATTCGCTTATTAGTGGCATGGGGTATATCATCAATCTTGTCAACTAATTCACCCTCCTGTAATCGATGCACAGCCTTATGTCCTCCCATTTTTCTTGATAATCACCACGATCAGAGAAGCCCAAGGCGAAATGGACGGTTGAATGATCTTGGCTGATAATAATCCCTTGATCAGGTCCGCCAATTTTTTTCGACACTTAGGTACCACTGGCCGTACTCTTTGCGCGATCGGTTTGGCACCTCCAACATCAGTGTCACATACTGCTCCACGCACGGCTGGAGGCAAGGAGTTACCTTTGCCTATGCGTAAATGTCGATTCTATTAAATCAGTCGCCTCAGCTTCTCCTGATCGTCTGTCAGCGGGACACCTGGATCGCCAACCTGGATGTCATCTATAGCTACTTTTTTTGTGGGCGCAATTATTTCTGGCAAGAGTGCCATATGTTGGTCCACATCTTCCGCACATAAATCACCACTTTCGTGGCGATAAGCCACCAATTTCGTTTGAGTTTCGTCTGTCACGACCCCCTCGAGATTCAGTACTGTAGCATTCTGTATCTTTTGATCTGACAATTCGAGCTCTTGATCGTCTCAGACCGGGTGATCATCGCCGATCGCGATCTCTTGGGCTTGTCGGATTACGTCGTCCGAGTGTTCCTGTGACCGAAAGCCCTCTTCTGCCTTCACTGCGGTATTGACCATCGGCAGGTGCCTCTAGTGATCGCTTCTCGTCGCTGTCGGGGCGATCCTCTTTCACGATCTGGCGTTCTATGACATCCGTCATCTTTACTTTGTGGATCTAGCATATCGGATCGGCTTCCCTCCAGATTCCTTCCTTGTTTATCTCTGTGGGTCAGAATCTTTTTGAAGATGGGGTATGACGGGTGATTCACTAAGTGCCTCGAATACTTGATCGGGTGTTCCTTGGTTGATTCCGTTGTAGCTTTAAACGCCAGAGTCTGCCATTCATTATACCGGCGTGATCCAACTGATACATAGATCGGCGACCGGGGTATCATGTTCGTCATCATCCACCACCCTAAAGGGATATCGTGATTGAGAAGTACCCGCTGATCGACGATGTTGGTAAGTATCAAGTATTGATCTGGCCCGGTCCGGTATTCACCGTCGGCAACGGCACCCATTTTTTATCCCGTCTCACCCATAATTTGGACTTAGGGAACCTTGATCAATCTTCACCTCCGTGGATTCTCCAGCAGGAATTACAATAAGTCGGTCTGGGATATAAATCGGTTGTATATTTACCCCACACGGAGGCCTTCGCCCTGCCAAGTGATTTTTCACCTCATCTGGCAAGCAAAGCGTACCGTCCGCCAGATTTAACTGTATTCCCGCTGGCACCATAAAGTCGATACCTAAAATTGCTTCTTGGCCCACTTGATCGCCCACCCAAACGTCTAAGTAATACACCAGCGTCCCGTTTCATGTGATCTTGATTTTGGTGTGTCCTTCCGTCATGTAGAGATTCTCCCCGATTCCCACACATTCCTGTCTCTGGCTGTCATCAATCACACAACCCGCCTTACGAGCAAAGGTGACGTCTACGATTAAGACTTCGGCTCCAGAATCAAATAGCATGGTGGCCTTCTCGTTATTTGATTTTACCCATTGCTTTAGCCTGTTTAAATTATTTTCCTGGCGTGTGACAGTTCCAATATCCTCTCACTTCCCCCGGCGCTAGATCGAGTTCCATCTTAACGGGAGATCGTGAATGTTCATCCACCTTTTTTACACTTGAAATATCACACAAACGATGGTTTCCAAATCGCATGTATTAGCGGTCGGGTCGATCCGATTGTTACTCCCTTGATCGATCCTGCCCTGCTCCACCAATGCATATATGCATAGCCTAGAACGCTCGGCTCGTGCCAGATTCCATCCTGGCGAGCGTCCTAGTTTGACATCTCTTCTGCCTTGGTCGGTAGTTTTCCTGCGTGCTTCGTTGGGACGTACCACTTGCGGATCAGGTTGTAGAAATCTTCCATGGGACATTGGCCGCTCTCGTGAACTTCCCCAAAAGCGGAACACACATGTAGACATTTGTCCGAGGGGTGCCCTTTTCGGCCACACTTCTGACAAGTCAATCTTTTCCAGCATCCGCGATCGTCATGTCATTTCGAGCCGCAGTGTGTGCAGGCTTTCGCAAATCCGCCCCAATCGCGATCATCATCTCGGTCTGTCTTTCGCGACCTGTCTCGTTGATCCCCTGGGTCTGCAGCCTGATCAGTGATAGTCGTCACATGAACCTTACGGTGAAAATCTTCTTCGTCTGCATTGTCCGAACTTGAGCCTGAGTCGCTTTTCTCACTTTCTGCACGAATGGCCTTCACCATTCGTGGTGTCTTCAAATGTACTTCGGCTGGCGTCGTAGCCGATCGCGATCGGTACTTGTTCGAGTCAGTCGGATCCTTTTTCTGTCGAAAACTCGTACGCTGATAAGCGCGTAGAGTTTTTTCTATCGTGTTAGCATCATGCACTCGCAATAGAGTCAGTGCTTCGCCAACTCTCGATTTTCCAAAGTGTCAATGAAGTGTTGTACATGCTCACGTCGGCTTGCTGGCGCTCCATCTCTAGACACCACTTTTGCTCGCATTCCTGCTACATTCAACTGGTCCAAGTATTCCAACGGGGTTTCATTCGGTCTCTTCCGCGCGTGTTAGTATTGTCTTCTTGATGACATTCCATATCCCCCATATCGGACCATGAACCGTTCCGACAACGACTTCCATTCATCGTGGGTCGATCGGCTCAACCGGCTGTAACAATTTTGGGCAGGTCCTTTGAGCAGGTCTTCGAGTACCAGAAATTTCTCGTCGTCTGGATCCCGATCGCGTATAAAGGCAGTCTTCATCTTTTTAAACCAACCCTCTAGCAAGTTCTTCGTCTTGATCACGTCCTGAAAATTCTTTCAGATCGGCCATCGCCGACAATCTGATCTTCTGTGCGCTGAAACCTCCCGTAGGGGCGGTTCCTGCAGTTGCCACTTGTGGTCGTCTTAGATCATATGGTCCCCTGCGATCTGACTCATGTTCTCCCGGTCGATAGCGGTATGAGTCGACTGACTACATTTCGACATCTGGGACGATCGGGTAGTCAGCTCCTTGGTTTTCGCGATCGCGAATGAATTTGTCCATGGCGGCCTTAAAACATGTTTGAAACTGGCTTGGCTCCACCGTGTTTGCATTATGTGAAGGCGGAATTTGAGTCGATCGTATTCCACTGTTAGCCAGGTCGAGCCTGTTTTTAAGCATTGCTGCCCCTGTCGGTCCCAGCGACATCCGCTGAATCTTAAATGACTCGTCTGAGTCTATATCTGATTCTGCCGAGGCATAGCGTGACGACCCCGTGCATTCCTCTTTCACCTTGCGGTAGGTTGTATCTCTTACTTGGCTCAGGTGTTCTTCCTCTCTCTAGACTCGCTGGCTCAGACTCGCTGGCTCAGGTGTCCTTCTTCACTCTTGATTTGCTGGCTCAGATGTCCCTCTTCACTCTTGATCCGTTGGCTTATAGTGTTGTGAGACCCTGTCAGTGGAGTTTGCTTTTCGAATAGTAGCTGTCCTGCTTTGATCACCCAATTGTGATTAAATTCGAATATCATTTGTGCGTCGAAAGCTCTAGCTGTAAATCCAGTGTCTCTTAGCAGCTAAATAAGCCGATGCAATGCCTCCAACTGATTCGAGGTCACTTTCCGTGGCGATACTGGACCTTAGATCGACCTGATCAGCTTAGGTGTCAGCACCTTTAGGACTGGGTCTTCGGCAAGAAGTTTCTTTAGTTGTTGCCAATGGAATTCCCAGGTGATCCGTTCCAATTGCCAGCCTTCTGATTCCACATCATGACCTTCTGCTTTGATCTGTTGCTTGTTTCGATGTGGCTTTGCCGTCTTCGTCTTTAAACAGGCCAACCTAGGAGTGTGTTTCTTCGCCTTTGGTTGGGCGGTAGTTTTAAATGAAGATCTTTCAGTTTTTACTGTGAAGTTTCCATCTGGAAGATCGAGCTTTGCAGCACGATCCACGGTGGTGCCCGAAGGGACCTCAGGAGGGGGTTGAGGTTTTCTTCTAGATCAGCTTGGTGATCTTCCTCTTTGACTTTCTTGTCACCATATCCCCTCCCCAAACTACGTTGATCTTGGGATCCTTTCTCTTCGCGCGTCTGTGGCGATCCATATTCCGCTGACGCTCCAATCTCAGGTTCAGTCTTGATCTTAACATCTTCATCTCGGGACTCACGGTGAAATCTCGAGTCACCAGAAGATCCGTGCACACGCACCATTGTGGTGGAGTGGGGTTCTATCATTTTTTGAGGCGATCCCGACTCTCCACTGGCGCCCAGACGACCTATTAACGGAGGGGTAGTCCGGATCGTGTGTCTTACACTTGCTTCCTCCGCACTTTGTGTACCCGTCGGCAGGGCGGGTTGCACTCTTCTAGGTGGACTCGACAAGATGCTAAACTTGACCGTTCCTGCCGATCATGTACCGAATTACAACCCGAATCACGTGTGGTGATCTTGTTAGTAGCTACTGGTGATCGTTCTGGTTGTGGTCCTTTTTGATCCTCCTGGTCATCTACCTGGTCACATGTTAGCACATTGCTTTCCCATTCCGCTTCCTCTCTCCCCGCGGTCATCTCTACCATATCCTGTGAGGGTAATTTTAGAATTTGCGTCGGCGCTGGGTAAGACTGGCGTTCGACTAACGGTCCTTCTGCTTCCGGTACTTCTTCTGCTTCATCTCTATCTGTAAAAGCTTCGTATGCAAGTGTTTGCCACTCCTGGTTAAGATGTGACCCTACCGACACATACCCGGGTGACCGTGGTATCATGTCCGCCAGCATCCATCGCCCGAACGGCGTCCCCTGTCGGATAATTATCTCTTGATCGGTTAGGTTGGTTAGGCGGAGGTACGTAAGTCTTCCGGGTCCGGTCAAAGCCGTGGGTTATCAATGTGCGTGGTGCGCTAACCACAATTTTGACTGTAGTGGTCCCCGACCAACATTGACCTCCACTGAGTCACCCACAGATATCGCCAAATACTTCTCATCCGCCGCAATTCGTTGTATCTTCGCCCCATAAGGTGATCTCCTACCTTCCACTTGAATTCTGACTTTGTCCGGCAAGCACACTATTCCGTCTGCCAGGTCAAGGCATACTTCAGCCGGCACCATGAAATCCATCCCTAGAATTGCTTCTTGTCCCACTTGGTTACCCACCCATACATCAAAGTATTAAACCAATGAGCCATTCAGCGTGATCTTCACCTTTGTGCGGCCTTCTGCCATGTGTGAATTTTCTCCAATACCCACGCATTCTTGCTTCTGACTTTCATCTATGACACAGCCAACCTTACGAGCAAAGGTGGTGTCGATGATTGAGACTTCAGCTCCCGAGTCAAACAATAGGGTGGCCTTCTCACTGTTGATTTTCCCTTCCGCCTTTGCTTGCCTGACCCACCTGTTTGGAGTATGGTACTTCCAGTAAACACGTGATTCGCCAGGAGACAACTTGAGTTACATCTTTGCAGTTGATCGTGCGTATTCATCCGGTCCCTGCAAACTTGCAATTAATGGAAAAGAACTAGAGTCCAAATCTCATGAACTGAAAGTCCGGCCGGTCAGGCAATTCACACTGTTATAAACCCCTCCTTTATCAATGAATGCATATATGCATAGTCTAGAACGCTCGGCTCATATCAGGTTCTAACCTGGCGAGCGTCCTGGTTAAACATCTTCTCAGTGTCGGGAGGAAGCCTTCCGGCGTGTGTGGTCGGCACGTGCAGAATCACTTGTCGGAGGGGTGAACTCGGCGCCCGCATTTCTGACAAGTCAGGCGTTTTCAGCATACCCTCTCAGTATGTCTTTTGAATTTACAATGAGTGCACGACTTGTGCCCTTCTGCATGCTCGTGATCACGGTCACGGTCGGTCGATCTTGGCTTGGTCGGACGATAACTTCCCCGGTCCTTTAAATGGTCGGCTTCAGTGACGCTGTAAACACGTCGTTGTTCTTCGTCTGGTTCCGCACTGCTTATATCTGATCCCGACGAACTGCTCTCGCCCCCCATGTGGATTGCACGCACAGCTTGAGCCAATTTGGATGGACTCGGAGAGTATGGCGACGCTGATCGTGAGCGGAACTTGCCTGTACTGATCGGGAGAATGCCTTTGCGCTTTTGCATACGTTTATATGTGTGTAGCGTTAACTCCAGCGTATCCACGTCGTCCAAAAGCAGCAAGGTCAATTCATTTGCGAGATCGTGGTCATCCAGTGTCTCGATATAGTATTCCACGTGTTCTCGGCGATCAGCGACGCTCCCGTCCTTCACGTGGAATTCTGCTCGCTCCCAGCAACGTTCAATCAATAGAGGTATTCTCGAGGAGTTTCATCGGCACGCTTGTACACGTGATAATACTGGCGACCAGCAGATATGCCGCTTCAACAGTATTGTATAAGAGAATTCTCCAGCAAGTTTTTCCACCTATTGCGTGTCGATCGGCTTAGCTGGGAGTACTGGTTTCGTGCTGGGCCTATTAGAAAATCTCTAAAAACCAAGCATTTCTCCGATCCGGGGGCTTGGTCACGCAAGAAAGCTAAATTGACCTTTGCACCCAGCTTCGAGCGCGGTCATCATCGTGAGCGCGGACTGAGAACTCCTTTAGATCGTCGATCGCAGACATGCGAATCCGCTGCGTAGCAAATACTTCTCACATGATGGCTTCCGTAGTAGACAATTGAGGTCGACGGGACGCCGTCAATGTTGAGGTCGTCAGGGTCAAATGTGTTACCGCGACTACCATGCGAGTCAGCCGATTCCATGTCCGTGTCTGGCATACCTACCCCGAACACATTGTGGTTGGGGTTGGGGCGACTGGTCAACTCAGAATGTGGCGGCCGTCACTTTTGGTCTCGCATGAACTTTTCCATGGCCTTTGCAAAGTAGATTTGTATCTGGTCGGGCTCATCCGAAGCATCGACTGGCTCTGTAGTTAGTCTCAAGGGTCCGGTGGCTGGAGTCGGTTGCTCGTGGCGGTCACGTAAAAGTGCTGCACCGAAAGGTCCTAACGACATTCGCTATATTTACAAGCCGTCGCTATCGTCCGCAATCGACTCCGCTGAAGCGTAATGTGACGACGCCGCTGGTGAACCGTCTTCCTCTTTGACCATGATACTGGTCGTGAGCTCGCTATCAGCGGAGTCATAGTTGCCGATTATTGGGACTAGCGCTTTGGACAGTGATCGGCTGGCCGTGGTCACTTGATCAAGGTCGCAGTCACGCAGAACCTGCGCGTCAAACTCCCCCGGCACAAATCCCGCGCCGTATAGCAGTTGAATGAGACGTTGCACTGCTTCCACTTTGCTAGTGGCTGCTGGTGGAGTCGATGTTGGTCCCCGAAGCGGTTCGATCAGCTCCGGTTCCAAGATGGTCAGCACTGGCTCCGTAGATAGCAACGCTTGAAGCTGGATGTAGTGCAAACGATGTTGCAACTGATCGATAGCCAACCTTCCATCTTGACCTCTGCTGCCCTGCTTATTTCTTGATCATCACCCTCGGAGTCAGGCGTACATCCTTAGGAGCCGTAGTCTTCAATCTTTTTTCTTGTTTTTTTTGTGTGGTTTTGTTTTGAGACGAAACGTGTCCTGCTTTGGCTGGACGTGTTTCCACTAGCGGGTCGTACTTTGCAATACGATCCGCGGTGGTCCCCAAAGTGACCTCAGGAGGGAAAAGAGGTTTTTCTTCTTCGGGATCACCTTGGCGATCTTCCTCTTTGAATTTCGATTCGTTTCGAGCCCCTCCCAAAACTCTGCCGGGCCAAGGGTCCTTTATAATATCGTGTCTGCGACGATCCCTTCTTCGCTGACACTTGCGTCCCCGTTTTACCTTGAACTTGACATCTTCGCTCCGGGATTCACGGTAAAATCCCGAGGCACCAGAAGATCCGGGCACGCGCACCATCGTGGTGGAGTGAGATTCGCTCATTTACGTAGCGATCCTGACTCCCCACTTGCGCTCGGATGACCGACTAACAGAGAGGGTACTCCGGACCTTGTGTCGTGTCTCGTTCCTTCTCACCTTGTGTACCCGTCATCGGACGGTTGCACTCTTCTAGGCGTCTTGATGTCGATGTCTTGTCTTGACCGAGTTGAGAATAGGTGGGGTGTTGTTGCGTGGTATTTCTTCACACGACCAACGGTTACTGGTGGCACTCTCCTAGAGTTGTCTGACCTTCCTTGAGGTCGCCATGCCCAAATGTGGATACTTGATCTCCCTTGTTCTTCTGACTACCTAATCACCTTGTCCTTCTGATCACTTGAGCCGTCTGAAGACCTTTCCTTGTATGCTTGCCGCGTCCGATCGCGGGCTAACTTGAATGAGTATTCTTGTCCCTAGCCAAGCAATCTAGGGAAAAACCTTGAGTAAACACGCAGACAGTAAACCTTGTATGTCGGGTGGCCACTATTATTTCAGCCCGGAGGAAGGCTGAGGCGTGTCTTTTGTAGGAAAATCAATACTGTTCGTTGTTAACCTGCTAGGGGCTAAAACTACGGTTACACTTCTCTTTAACTCAGTTCTCTGTTACGTTGCTTGCCTGCCATCACCCATTCCCTGTGCTTAAAATAAACCACCTTAACTGCCAGCATGACCGCTGGTCATCTTGCAGTGACTATGACCACTGGTCACCCATCGTGACCATGACCACTAGTCACCCATCGTGACAGTGACCACTGGTCACCCATCATGACCGTGACCACTTGTCACCCATCATGACCGTGACCACTTGTCACCCATCTTGACCGTGACCACTTTTCACCCATCATGACCGTGACCACTGGTCACCCATCTTGACCATGAACACTGGTTACCCATCATGACCGTGACCACTTGTCACCCATCATGACTGTGACCACTTGTCACCCATCGTGACCATGACCACTGGTCACCCGTCGTGACCATGACCACTTGTCACCCATCTTGACCATGACCACTGGTTACCCATCGTGACAAGTGACTACTAGTCACCATCGTGACCATGACCACTGGTTACCCATCGTGACCATGACTACTGGCCACCCATAATGACCGTGACCACTGGTCACTCATCATGATTATGACCACTGATCGAAGAATGACTAATCATGACCGGTCAGTCATTCGTCGAAACCCTAACCAGTGGTCATGATCTATGACCGCCACTGATGACTTTCAAACCGTCCAGCTTATCGTTGGGGATTTCTGTAGCGGTCAGTCCCAAGGCCGTCATGACCGGTCCCCCTGCACTTACGAGGTGATCAAGGCGATTGGTCAGAATTGCCTTTGACCACTTCATTATACCATGCACGTTTATCCGCCTTCTTAGAGTGTGACTCTAGTTGAATGGGGGTTGTACTCGGTCGAGCACAAAATCGATCTGCTACTTTCGCATCACAATTTGACAACGGTGACGACGTGATGGATGCCGATGTCGATGGGATAGATATCGATGATGACGATGACGACGATGCTGGCATATTCAGCATCGCCAATGACCGCCAAAGTGAGGACGATGAAACCCTCACTGGTGAAGACAACGTTCTTAGCAGTGCACACGAAGCGCACTGCTGTTGACAAGGATGAATCAGCAGAGGTATTTCTGATGACTCGAGAAGCAGTTGTTTGCTTCGTCCAAGACTCTTTTGCAGATGCACTGGACAGACAGAGACGAAACGCAGACAAACATGGAGGAGCAAATGTTCTTTCGTTTGGTTTATAAGACCTTGTTTTACTGTATACAGTAAACTTACCGAAACACGCAGTGAAAAACGTGGGCAGCAATAAATTACTGTCCAAGTGTATCTGTACAATTCGTGTGTTGCGCCGAATGAGCTACGCATACACGATTGAACTGCCCTGTAAGATGCGTACGCATCCTACGTTTTACTTTGGCCGTCTCCGCCCGCACTATCAGTACAAGCCCGTTTCGAGATGCGAAGAACACCTCCACGGTCAAGAGCCGAGACCACCTTCGCGTGGTCCTGTTTCAACAATCCAGTCTGTCCGACTAGCGAAGCGACCTGCTCATGCAATTAAGCAATCTCTCGACGAGCTGGAGTCAGCTCGTCACAAAGAAAACGAATAGAACGTTCGTTCTCAAGTTGCGCGAACGCAAAAGCGGTACGATCGTCCGAACGATCGTGCAATAGAAAATTGTAATTATCCTTTACAAGATCCTAAATCTCATAACGCCGAGTCAGTTTGTGAGCGAGGTCATCTTGCAACTGCTCCGTCACACGGTTCAGCTCCTGAACATCAAGCTGATCGGGCCCTCGAGCCGGATCAGGTGTTCCCGCCAGCACCACATCCGTTGGTGGACTCAAGCGTTGGTCAACGCTTTCTAGTGGAGCGTATTTTGAATCACCGTGATGTGAATGGCGTCCGGACGTGTTACCCTGTCCGCTGGCGTGGGACAGATGGGAGCCTCGTGCCCAGCTACTCGTTGATGTGATTGGTCTCGTCGAGCAGTACGACGATACCCACCCGCTGCGTTTGAAGAAGGGCCGTCGGAAAACGACCTCCCCGAACGCGAGTACAGGGATTCCAAAGTGTCAATCCCTTCGGCCATCTCGGAAGAGATGCGCGCCCTCCAGTAGGGATCATTAGGGAGGAAGGCCTCCCTAGGGGCACGGTTCGAGTTGTCCAGTCAACCTGGACACGAATCACCCCACGAGAGACAGGGTAATCCCGCCTCTCTTAAAAGCCGGTGCAACTTGTATCGCACCCCAACTGGGTTGCGTTTCTCAAACCTGATGCGAGCTGCATCAAGTTTACCGAGCCAGTCATCACGGCCAATGCAATCAATGTTATGGATGAGGGCATTTCATTCGTGCGCCAAGGCTTTACCGTCTAGAACACGGCTGCCATTGTACCACCGATTTTTTAAAAACACACCGATGAAGCATTCTTCCTCAGCACGGATAGTTTCCGTGCTGTAATTAGAAAGACAGACCCTCCTACAGTCGAACAACGGAATTCGATCCTGTTCAGTAGTCATGCCGGCCAACCGGTCCAACTCTCTGGATGAAGGCATTCAAAGGGACCCATTTGAGGAGCGTGGCGCAGAACATTTTGGTCCTTGGCCTCTTGATTGGTGCCAGCGTGAGCGCTGACACCAGTGACACCCCGATCCCGCGAGTTGCTTCGCCGCGGTGATGTAAAGGTGCATTATTACCATTCCCACGCGTCCTATCGTTGGATGGACTCGCGTGAAGCGGAGATTTGTTGGAATAATCGCTCAATCCGAAGATCTTGGACATGATACCGCCACGTTGACCAGAGCCAGTCAACCTGGCTCTTGCAGTGTCCGCCACAGGTGACCCGGAGGCGTGAGGTGTCGCCTCGAGTTGAATACATCATCCAACTCGCCAGAATAGATGAGCTCTATTTCAGACTCATCTTGATTACGACTTGTAGTACCCGTTGCAGACACAGCGGATGTACCTGTTGCGCGTGGTGACTCACCACGTGGACGATTCACAGCAGCAGGCGAAGAATCACCTGCTGCTGAGGTGTGAGAGGCACTCTCCGCGGCTGCAAGCATACGTGCAGCCGCTTTTCTTGCTGCTACAGTAGCAAAACTAGCTTATTTTTTAAACCCATGCGTTGGATTGGCAAATGATCGGATTTGACCAACAGTTGCTCCCTTTCCCAGAGTGATTCAACGGTGGTCACCCTGTCCCAATCGATTCTGATTCATTTAACGGGTGGTTGATGGTTAAAAAGGGGGGGATGTAACGGGGTAGCCCGTTACATGAAGTTGACATCAAACGGTGTCAATAGGGATATTGTGTAGCATGACAGTATCCTACCACTATTATCCGAGATAGTTATTTTTGAAGGAGTATTATTCCCTTTAGATAATATTCATGCGCTGCTCCAAGGTTGGTTGATATAAGACATGTCAACCGTACATTGCCACCAAACGCTGCTAGACGCGCGCAATGAGTGGTGAGCAGGTTGTCGTCATACGACAACGTAGTTTAATATAGTTCGATAAAGATTAAAGTTACATTGATAGCTTAACTGTATTAAACACAGTTCTCATTCTACCTTTACTTAAACGAGTCGTTTAAGAAGATTAGATTCCTCTGCACGTACTAGTGTACGTGAAGTTTCGTGGCACCCCAAACAAAGGGTGCCCCGTTACAGTCGGTGTAATCACCGAAATGATCAGGTGTTAAACCAGCTCTGACCGTAGACTCTTGTTGTAACGGAGTGCCTCCGTTGCAGGATAATTTACATTGATTATTTATCAAGTAAAGTTATTGTATTAGAACAAACACAATCTTCTTACAATGTTATACTATAAGATAGCATTGCTGCGCGGATGTAACACACTGCTTATTGGTAAATAAAGGTTCAAAATATCAACCAAGAAAGTCTATCCACGCAGAAGCGCACATTGAGTAGTAGGCAGATAGTTACAATACATCTCTGCATGTAGACATGGTTAAATGAAGTCAAATAGGGATTTTTAAAAAGGATTAACTATACTACATACGGTTCTACTTTTTACCTATGCCGAGTAATCTTAACCCGTTTAGCAATCTTCCTCTGCACGTATATACGTGAGGTAGTGGGACGCACACACCGTCGCACTGTCAGTAGTGCAAGGTGCATTCAACTTGCTGAATAAGGTGGCATCGTTACACCTGGTAGCACTTGTGGTCCGTTCAACGACCATGAACATGTTGGATAATGAGGGGGATTATTTTCATTCCATGCATGAAATCTCCTTCCATTTAAGTCAAATTGAATGGGATGCTGTCGAACGTTTGAGCTCGACGATAGGGCAAGAAGCCGTTGGCGCAATCTATCCGCCCTGCGGCCATACCAACAGCACGCCACCATCGCCAAGTTCATTTAGAATGAACTAGACGTCGAGCGGGAAAAGGTAACCTTGCTTCACCAATAAGTTTCCC